AGTACATACTGTACAAGTTATACTGTGCTTGCACTCGTTCATTTTCTCCAGAGCCCTTCCTCTCATCACACTGTTTAACGGAGCCCAGCAAATTTGAACCACCTAATCGAGGACCATATATGGATCTCGTCCAAGTCATGTGACCTGAATATCACGAACAAGCTCCAACACGTGACAACATCGACCAACCACAGCCTCGTGCCATTAAGTTTTTACAGCCAACATCCTGTCTCGTGTCTTGCAATAAGCCGACTCTAGTGTTCACGAATTTGAGTCCCCTACCTCCCAACGTTCATTGTACTGTACAGACTTGACTGACAGTCGATGTGCAGATCTCAGGCAAAACACACAACCACAACGATAATATTCTCTGTAAAAACAAAATATGCTGTATTTAATATTTTCGCTTCTCTCTTATCTATCACATGTCAGAGTACAGAGACGAGTGACGCAAACGTGTTCCAGTCGCGGACAGTATGAGTACGTACTCAGCTATGTTAGTGTCTAGATTACAGTCAAGCAAGACTACAGTACAGTAGGCGCCATTTTTTTTTTCTGCATATACATTCATTTAATTATAACTTTGCCGTGAAAGAATAACCTTTGAAATGAATGTACGCTTATACGAATATTACTAATTAAACACGTTTAGTGTCATGGTCCAACTTGGCACGTACCTATTTCCAGTAAAAAAATCATAAAAAAACCTGGTTCAGTCCGTGTTGTATGTTGGTCCACATAGCTTCGCGTGTTTGTTCGTTCATCGGGAAAACGCCACTCCAGTCTCCAGTTCTCTAATCTCAATCCTTCCATTGCCCTCTTCATTTGCATTGCCTTTGAAAACGTCTCCTTGTGGTTCTTCTTCGTCATTGGTTTGGTTCTGCGTCCCCTGTGGTGACTACGCGCCCTGTTACGCTGTTCTCTCGGTGGCCTCGGCCGCCTTTTACGCTTGCTACTGTCTCTACTCTCGCTCATCGTGAAGTGTTGGCGGTTGTCCATCGTAGAAACACATCTGGGCTTCCTTCAGGAATTGAAGCAAACCCTGTTGGACATGTCCCAGGGTGGCGTCGTCCCCTGAGTACCGGAGGGATCTCTCCATCTTCCAGATCCCATAAGCCAATTCCCGCAGATATTTGCGTGTCTTGACTTGTTGATGTTTCCGGGGGGCGTCACTGTTCACATGCCCTGGGAAAGAGGGGAGTACTCCACATTTCGACTCGGTAAAGATCCAGTCCTTTAGAGAGTCCACTGACGGAATCTTCATCCTGGTCAACATGGAAAGAAGAACTTCGCACTTGCAGAAGATATGCTCGTGCAGATCCTGAATGATGGCCTTATCACAGAGCCCGCATCCTGGATTCTTCTTGGTGAAAACGTGGTCGTCAGGGTATCTCCATTTCACGAGCGGAAGTCGAGATATCCGCATGAGGTGAAGAACTTGTGCTTTGTTGGCGTCGGCGATGTAGTGTTTTCGAAGGTCATGCATTACCTCCTGCCAGACCATGTCGTCAGAGATGCCCCCGTAGTCGCTTCGTTGAGTCCACTTCTTCGGTCGTGCAAGTGTTTGTGGGAAGTTTGGCAAGTCGGGAGACGAGGTCTTGTGAAACATGAAGTTCTCCAGAGTAAGTGGTCCCATGCTCCACCGGAGGTGGTCGATTTCCGCTGTGGACACCATTCTGACCGGATGGTATCGTCTCGCGGCTGCGATGTCGACGTGCGCTTCCCGGAAAGATTCTGCTGCTCTCACGTTCACCTGGTTTCGTTCCCAGATTCTGTGATTAACTGTGTCTGTTGTAGAGGGCTCGTGATCTTCTCGAGGGTTGGCATGTTCCGCGGTGAGGGGCTTGTTGAGCTCGAAAGAAGCTCTGATTGCGTCTCGCATGGTGGGGGAGGCTGCGTAGCCCCAAGCTTGGCCTGTCGGAAAGCGGCAGTCGACGCGCTGGTGTGGCTTTTCCTGTGTGAGACTGTGAGTTCTGCTGTAGAACTGGAAGGTGCAGTCCCAAAGGGCCGGCGATGAGCCATGGAAGAACCTGTAAGCCCGAGCGGCCTTCAGGCACACCATGAAACGTCCCATGTCCCGCAGGTTCAGTCCTCCTCTGCCTACCGGAGTTTGGATGAAACCATTGCTGAAGGTTTTGCGTGTTTTGTCGGGTGATAATTTGTTGATCTTGTCGCACGCTAGTTCGTTCAGCTCTCGGATGAAGGTGTTGTCGATCTGGCTGACGTAGGGTCCAAGGAAATTCAGTTTCGAGAAGAAGTAGATGTTGATCATCCACGCCTTGCTGTAATAGGGGAGACCCCATAGTGAAAGGCGTCGCAGCGACTCCTTGAGGTCCTCCTTGATCTGAGCGTAGTGCGTGTCCAACCTTTCGCGATTTCCGAAGTGTACTCCGAGGTACCGGAAAATGTTGTCAGATGTCCGGAGCGTCGGGGCCTGTCGTGTGTTGTTGTCGGTTGGCCAGGTGGCGTCAATTGTTCGCTGCCATTCTGCGTCAATAAAGGTTAGTGGAACAAAACAATCGGGGGGGGCGATCTTCTGAAGCACCGTCTTTGACGGGTTTAGTGTGAGGCCTGAGACCCGTTGGAAGAGGCAGAGCACTCTACCAACCGTGGCCACGTCCTGGATGTTGTTGAGGAACACCGCTATGTCGTCCGCGAAAGCCGACACCTTCATGTGTCCAGCTGCCACTGCCTCCGGGTGAGTAGGGGGTTGTGGCGGCCTGTGCCCAGTGGTGTGGTGGTGGGATAGTGGCAGGCCTGGGGCCAGTCCAAACATCTCTCGGTCCAGACGACGCACAAGTGCGTCTACTGCGATGATGAAGAGGGTTGGAGAGAGAGGGCATCCTTGTCTCACTCCGATCTTGATGCGGACTGGGCGAGATAGGACACCTCTGATGTTGATTCTCGTTACTGCGTTCTGTTGTACAGCTAGGATACGGTTGATCATCAGTTCCGAGACACCCACATTTCGAAGCGTCTTTATCACCCAACTCTGGCTGATAGTGTCGTAGGCTTTCCGGAAGTCCAGTGATCCTACGACCCAACCCATGTTCAGCTGGGAGTAGGCGTTGCAAAAATGATCCATGGTGTCGAGATTGTTAGTGATGTGTCGACCCGGTACGAAACCGTTTTGGGCGCCGTGAATGCTGTCCGGAAGAATGTTCTGGATGGCTTTGTTAATGAGCTGTGTGTAGATCTTCACCTCTGTGTTGATCAAAGAAATAGGCCTGTAGTTGGAGATGTCGGCCTGATCTCCCGACTTGTACAGTAGTTTGATGATAGCGGTGTTGCGTTCGGTGCTGATGGGCGAGTCGGCTCCAGCTTCGTTGTAGACGTCCGTCATCAAGTCCCCCAGCTCATCCCAGCAGTCGCTTTCATAACCAATGGGGAGTTAGAAGTATTAAAGCTGATACTCATTCCTATTAGTACCGGTACAGTACCATAAGTTTTTGTCAACCCATCGTCCGTGGACCTAATGTTTCAGCTTACCACATTGAGCAGTCTGAGATCATTTCTAGCGTCAATCATGTATTCCAACGGTGGGATCATTCGTTTCAAATTAGTTGACTTTAGTTGGGAATTAGTTTAACTGGAAATTCTGCTGGGGGTTCATTTTTAGTAATCCCAAACGCTGACAAGGAAAAATACAATATAATTAGATATTAAATGTACTACTTTTTAACAGATTTTCAATATCAAACCCTTACATCAGACAATTTCCAAAGATTATTGTTGTTTCGATATCCAAAGCTAAGTGTAACTTGGTGATCATTCATAAACACCACTGCCAGGGAGATGACAAACATGACGCTATAACCTGGTGTAAGCAACATTGCCGTCTACTACACCTGTTCAGCAAGCTCTCGCTGTGTTGGAACCAGCAGATACGTCAAACAGACTACACACTACAAGCACGGTATCGCACACCCGTACTGGTGCTTTCGTGCTGTATATACAGACTTCGTAGACAAGGCCTCGCATCAAAATGTCAGACAAGGCGAAGGTTGAAAATGAGATGCACTTTATTGTTGATTAGCTCACATTCACCATCGAGGAGATGTACCATCGAGGAGGAAATGAAGCAGTGTGAAAAGCCGATGTTTTGTCAAATTCACGTGATCTAGCCTACTGGATCTAATCTAGGGGCTTACTAATCACATTGTTTACATTTCAGCCCCAAAAATCCACATTCATCTCCACAAAATAAACTTTGACTTGTTGTGAGCACTGTACTCCCAAGACTCACATCTAAAACATCGTCAGTCGTCCCTAACTCGCCTCACACAACCGGAGGGGCTTCCGGCGGTTTATTCCTAGAACGAAAACACTACACCCAGCATTGTGAACACAAAAACCCCCCTAATTATCCTCTATACTAGCTCCCACGGCCAGTGTTTACAAAGACCCGGTTCTCTTGATTAGGTTAGGGTTGTACAGTATGCGGCTACAGCTGTAAACATAACATTGATCGGCGGACGGTGTCAAGGGCCCGATGTTGGTGCGTGTGAAACTGATAGAAGCGATACCACAGCACCTTGTACTGTACAGGGAACCTCTGGGAGTATGTAGGGTGCTTCTAAGGTGTATCTACAGAGTGTTTTGACAGAATTGATGATTTGGAAAGTGTTGATTTTGGGGCAGAATCAAACCCGGAAGGTAGATAACAACACTGCCAATGGACTCACCAGAACCACGACAGTCCATTGAAGCCCTTTCCACGCCAATTTGACCCAAATTCACCTTCTTCAACCTCATTCCTTCTGTTGTTTCGATACTATGTTGCTGTGACAACCCCCGAACCTAATGCCCAATATGGCAATAACCCAACTGAAGCCGAACAATATAAGCACTGGGCCATGGCCTACCACTGAACACACAACACTACATCACCATCTTGACACTCGGTCACCAATTACCCAAAAAAATATAAGAAGATGTTCAAGCGACCAGATCCCTTGAGGCCTCTGGGCAGCGAGCATCGAGACAATGTCGTCAACCCCATGAAGCTGCGGGCAGGCAAGGAGAACAACGACGCCTATCACAACAACAAGTACACCTCGGAGAACCAGCCACAACCAACAACCCCGTACTACACCGGCAAGGGCAACTACTACAATCCCAGCAGCAAGCCCGCCGTGAGCAGTGCCCATGCTGCTGCCGCCGCTGCCGCCATTGCCCCTACAGCCTCCTCCAGAGCTCCCACAGCCGCTACTCACAAGACTCCCCGGAAAAAGGAAAAGCTTTCCAGCTTGTGCAAGACTCCTCCTTCTCTCATCAAGAGTCGAACCGGCGACCACTTCGCCCGGGGCTCGTGTCTGGGCGAGGGTGGTTTCGCTAGATGTTTCCAGGTGAAGAATGATGCTGGCAAGACCTACGCTGCCAAGACGGTGGCCAAGGAGAGCGTGCGCAACGAAAAGACGAAAAACAAGCTGCTGGCGGAAATCAAGATCCACAAGTCGCTAAAGCACCCCAACATTGTCGAGTTCGTCGACTGCTTTGAAGACGACCACAATGTGTACATTCTTCTGGAAATGTGCTCCAACCAGAGCATGATGGAGATGCTGCGGGCCCGAAAGGGTTTTACCGAGGGCGAGGCAAAGTACTACATGGTGCAGATTCTCGGCGCTATCAACTTTATGCACAGACGACGAGTCATCCACAGAGACCTCAAGCTCGGCAATATCTTCCTCGACGAGCACATGCATGTCAAGATTGGAGACTTTGGACTTGCTACGGTTCTGGACAAGCCCACCGACCGACGGGTCACCATCTGTGGCACCCCCAACTACATTGCTCCCGAGGTTCTTGCTGGCAAGCATAAGGGCCATTCGTTTGAGGTCGACATTTGGTCTGCTGGTGTCATTCTATTTACCATGGTCACAGGTAAGCCTCCATTCCAGTCCAAGGACGTGGAGACCATCTACCAGCGAATCAAGAAGAACGACTGGAAGTTTCCCGCCGATCTTCCTATCAGCAGCGAATGCAAGGATCTTGTTCGACAGATGCTAGTTGGAGATCCTCACCAGCGTATCAACCTGGCCAACATTCTCAAGCACCCATTCTTCTTCACTGACTTCCCCGCCTCCATTCATCCTCAGGCTGCTAAGCTGAGACAACCTGAAACCCGAGTCAGCTACACTCAGTCACACAAGAATTTTGAGGCCATCAAGATTGCCGCCAGACTCGATAGCAGACACCTGGCACCCCGATCGACATCTCCTCCCGTCACAATTGAGCGTCAGGACGTTGAGGCCGACCAGCCAGCCAAGATTCTCCCCCAGTCTCTGTCTCCGGCTTCCACCAAGGAGAAGTACAAGATGGTTGACGTCAAACCCGATCCCCAGGGTCCCCAGGCGATTGAAGCCGACCGGCGAGTCATGGAGAACGTGCCTCAGTCTATGAGCCTCAAACCCCAGAATCAGCTCTTCAAAATCTTTCATGAGGCACTGGACAGGCAACTCCGAAGTGGACCCTCACACCACAACTCCAGTGGCCGGGCAGACGAGAAGACCATCTTCATTTCCAAGTGGGTGGACTACTCCAACAAGTTTGGATTTGCCTACCAGCTGTCGTCCAACGTCGTCGGCGTTCTCATGGAGCAGGAAAAAACCATTCTTATGGACATGCGGTACGAGGAGCATCTGTTCCAGGTGGTGATGGAGCAGGAGGCAAAGGACGTGGCCACCCGAAGCAATCCCAAGAGCAACTGGTCTATTGACACCTTCACGAGCACACAATATCCTGCCGAGCACAAGCACCGAATCAAGCTCGTCAAGCAGTTCCACAAATTCATGAACGACCATCTGTGTATGGTGGAGGACGAGAAGGAGATTGGCCTGGACATGGTGTGGGTACTGAGCTGGCAGCGGTCGGCCGGATTCGTGGTCTTTCACCTGTCCAACGACTCGTTCCAGTTTAACTTTGAGGATCACTGCAAGATGGTCATTAGCCACTGTGGTCAATCCATGATGTTCATCGACGACGACAAGATGTTCCACCACTGGACGCTGGACGAGGCCTGCATGCACGCAGGAGAGGGACACTGGAATCTTCAGGAAAAGTTGGTGCGTGTGTACCAGTACTTTGAGGGTCTCCTTAACTAGAGAGGCTCAGAGACTCCGCGCAACAATTGTTGTGTCATTAAATTAGCTAACTTAATAATGCATGATACCATAATATTTGTGGGGAGAAAGTAGGGTGTCTATATCGAAGTTTTCGTCTGAAAAAAGTGGAATCTGTCTCATTCATGTGGCGAATAATGAGGAGGCTAAAACAAGGAAATGCTCAAACGGAATAATCATTTGGTTCGAAAAAAAAAGATTACAGCACCCAGGATTCTCGTATGGTCTCCCACTACAATACTAACTAGGCTCTCTGGTGCTTGACTATGGCTGATCGGACGGGAAGCCGTATTTTCACCAGGATATGGCCGTAACCAAGACTCCGATACGGGGAATCGAACCCCGGTCTCCACGGTTCTCAGAATGAGAGCGTGATGTGATAGCCCCTACACTATATCGGAAGGTTAAAACAAAACCTTATTGGGTCAATAGAACGTGATATGAAGACCACGTGACCATTTTTGATTTGTCTTATTGCGAGAGCCTGAGAGGATCTATGAGAATAAATCCAGTGTGGGGTTGTTAAGAGCACTTTAAATACATGCCTTAGATATAAACATGACTGTTAGAGGAGTGTTGTTGCTGGTATCATTGTTGTTGCTTTTCATGAAAGTGACAGCTACAAGTCCACAATGGTGAAAACTAATATCCCAAGTAACAAATCAGTTATTTATTAAGAGAGTTAGAATTATTGAAGAATCGTAGTTATAACCTGCAGTACGGTATGCACTATAAGAGTATACAAAGCATTATCATTAGCAATTTTGGCTGTTGTATTTTGTTATATTTACCAAGAGAAAGCCTCTTCATAATAATCGACCTTGGTACAATCCGTCGAATGAACCAGAGATAGTCGGATATCGTCGTTGAGAACAGGAGGGCCGCAGACCACCACAGCTGTAGTACCAGGACACCGTTCGACGTAGGCTGGCATTTCAGTAAGCATATCGGGTCGTCCATAGATGATATTGAGACGAGAAGAGTTAGTCAGTGAAGTAGACTTTTCAGAGTGTTTGGAATCAGACTCAGAACCTGTAGAAGCCAGAGCATTGGCACCACCGCCACCGGTGATATAGAGATTGACCTCGACTCTTGTATCTGCCAGAAGAGTGTCCAGTTCGGTTTTGAACCAGGTGAGACACGTATCATTCCGCACAACCCAGGTGAAGATGAGGTTCTTGGCTGTACTCTTTTGAATGACATCCACTGCGTACGAGTAAGTGGCAGTGATACCGATTCCTCCAGCAACGTAAATTGAGGAGTCGTACTTTCCAATGGGGTGCTTGGCACCATAAGGCCCCTCAATAAACGTTTTCAGTCGCCTGGATCCTCCACCTTTTGCCAGGAGGTTGGCTAAAGATAGAGTCTTGCCTTCTTTGGCCTTAAGAAGCACCGTCATCTTACCAGTCTTCAGAGCATAGGGGCTTTGATAGACGGTGAACGGGTGAGACTCCCAGAACTTACCGTTGAGAATGTAAATATAGACGTGAACTCCAGGGTAGATTTTCCACCAGTTGGAGTACTCCATCTCGGCCTTGACAATGAGCTGGTCTGAGTCCACAAGTTCAAAATCTCCTTTAACAACCCCTCCTGACCAGATGATGCGAGCGATTCTTGCTGCTCTGTCAAACGCCCAGACGGCAATAGTAGCGTAGACCCACTGCATCCAGCCAAGAGTAACACAGTGATACCACAGTCCCACAATAAAGGCCACAGCGAGGATGAGGTGGATGACAAGAAAAGTCTCGTACCACCTAGACCGGAAGAAATGCAAACCTTGGAACAGAATCAAAGAGCCACAGATGGTAGCTACTGTTCCCATGATCCAATAGAACTGTGAAGCTGCCACGCTGAAGAAATCTCGTTGGAGATACGAGTAACAAATGGAGTGGATGACGGCATACAAAATCATGACTCGAGAGGTCCACCGGTGGTAGATGTTGAAGGTATCGAAAGACCAGCCTGTAAGCCACATGAAGAAGTTGTTTCTTCCTCCAAACAAAAACACAATGGGTACCTGGGTGAAAGACATGATTCCAGTTCGGTCGGCAATGTATCGTGCCAGCTGGTCTCCATGGGCTTTCCAGTAAAAGTTGGGTGTGAACAGATTGTACTGAGTGAACAAGAAGATGAAGGCCATAATCAGGTATCCAAGGACCACGAGAGCCTGCATTCGGGTAGGAGTACACATACTGATGAAGCCTCCCAGATATCCTCCTGCAGGCTGGCAGTGTTTGTATCCCCACAGAGCAGGCATAGAGACATGTTTTCTGAACCTGTGACCCTTGATTTTCTGGTAGAGTCCGAAAAAGGCATGTTTTCCGAGATTAGAGGCCATTCCAACCAGAAAGATTAACATCCACCATGAAAGAAGACCAGCTCCGTAGTAGGTTCCCAGATCCAGTTGTTTCAGGAATTCATGCACAGTAGGAAAGTATTCATCATAAGCAGTCTGATTGAAAGCGACAGGAGCATGAAGAACTGCAGAGGTGTTCTGGTTGGATACGGCATACTTGGTTCCGTTCTCGTAGACCTCCATCATGTCATCCATGGTGAGGTTGAGCATTCCCCGCTTGTTGTAGATCTGGATAATGTCCTTGTCCAAAGCCCGCTTCCATTGCTCATCATCGGGAAGAACGGCACGGTACCAGATGGCTCGAGTCTGAATGAACGGCTTGTTATCCCATCTCGATTGGTAGTAAGCTGCTCCAAAGCCTTTAACAGGCTTGAAATCAAAATTGAACTTGCCAGTAGCTCCCTGAACAGTACTGGTGACGAGAAGGACATGATCACCAGGATGATCTCTGTAAGCAGTTACCAGGGTGACCAGAAAAGCAACGGCGAGAAGAAGGGTGAACTTCATGTTGGTTTTGACGCTCAGTAATCGATCTGCCCTTCCGTCGGCCCCTGTACGACTTTATAAACTGACACAAGTATCCAAGCTCTGGGCGTCACCCATTCCCGTCTTGGCAGGGCCTCCGAGGCTAGGCGCATGCCAAGACAAGGCACCGTGCCTGTCCCCTGATTTTATCCTTCTCCAGAGATTCTTTTGGGTTTTTCAGCTAATCAGATAAATCAATCTTTTCCATCAATAGGATTAGATCGTCATCTCAACCTTGTGTATCGGATGCAACATCGGAACCACGGAACTGAAAATGAACATTTTTAGCGAGTTATGTAAGAGTATACAATTGGGGGGTTCTGCAATATCTGTTCCGGGTTGACCTTGGTGGTCGAAGCAGCAACAGCGCACAATGGTCAATAATATACTCCAGTTGGCACCGTGGTGAAGCTGACCGCATCCTCCGTACACACTACTATACCAATCCCGGTACGTACACACTGGCTTCAGTGATCCTCGCAATTTTTTTTCAAATACTAATCAAACTAAGATGTGATTCAAAGCATCAATCCACATGACAATGTCCTACTTGCAAGTCTCTGGCTGATGGACATGGTGCCAATGCAGTTGATACACACACCAGGGATGATTGGTGATTGGAGGACACTTGTGTGTCATCAACCTGTCACCAGACAAAATTCACCGTCCGAAATCTTGAAAACATCGACCCAAAGAAGTCTACTACTCACTTGTAGTACAAGTACATACTCGTATCGTACCGAATGTACCGAAGTTGTGCCGTATATAACCTCCTCGTGCATTGTCTCAAGTGTACTGCGCCATCTACATGTATGTATACACCTTGTTTTGTAGCTTATTTTTTTTTTTGGTTCTCGCGACTCAAAAGTTGCTCATCAATGGCGCATTCTGACTTTTTGGTAAGATCTTGAGTGGAAGTAATGACTTTTGGTGACCAGGGATGGAACCTGAGACACCGATAGAGATACATATATAGATACAACTCTGGGTCATGACTGGTACTGTGGGTGTGAACCGTAAGACCTCCATCAGATAACATCGTGTGAATGACAGGACTGAGGAGGGCAAAATTCAATCGAATATTACCTTTATACTCAATATACAGCCAGATGGTGGTTCTTGTTTATGCCTCACCTACGGCCAATCGTCTCCATTACGCCAATTTGCTCCGGTCGCTGCTGCATTATTTCCCATTGAATCAATCGTACGACATCCTTGTACCGGTACGAGTACTGTACTGTACCGGGACTTGTTGTCCGTTCCCCATCTACGGTAGGTTATTCCCGTTCTTTCGTAATCTACAATAACTTATCTATAACATACATACAGCTAGAACTCCCAGTCCTCGTCCGCACTCTGAATGGCCCACTGGAACTTGTCCCGTAGGGTCTTGGTGAAGAGCTTCTCAATGGGCACGTCGTACTTTTTGCTGAACTTGACTGTCAATCTAGGATCAATATAGTTCATTTTCGAGGTGCCCAGCGCCACAGACGAGTTGTCTTCCTTGTCCTTGAGCTGCATTCGCATCGTGGTTACCCGGGTCTCCAGCTTCTCTACCTGGGCACGTAGCTTCTCCACAGTTCCCTTACCCTCGACCTTGTTGGATTTGATCTCCTTGAGATACTGCTTGTTAGTGTCGGCGAGGTCCTTGAGCTTGGCGTTGAGCTCGGACTTGGGCTTGGGCTTTTGTTTCTCGGCCACCAGCTTCTCGTTGTCCCGCTCAAACTTCTTTGTCCATCGCTCCGAGTCCTTCTCAAGAAGTCGATTGGCACAAGCAGTCTTCTCCTCCTTGGACAGCTCGTCGAGATCCTCAAACAGCTTGGGCTCCTTCTTGAGCAGCTTTGGTTCGAGATCTAGCAACATTCGCTTGTGACGCCACTTTTGCCACACCACCTCGTTGATTCGGTCTTCAATCTTGCCAACCGACTCGCCGTGCGTCTTGGACACGGTCTTTTGATGGTTACACAGAATGGCAACGGCTCGGTTGGCAGCATTGAACTTGACGAGCTTCTCAGCGACAGTTCCCTCGTTGGGAATGAGAGCCAGCTGGTCATCCATGGTCTTGGAAGCGTTGTAGGTTCGGAAAACCTTGGCGGTGAGACCAGGCATGTAGTTCTGCAGATGCTTATTAAGCACAGAAGGGTCCAGACGGTCAAAGATATCATCTCCAACCTTCTTGGGGGCCTTCTTGAAGATGCGCAGGTTCTTGAACACTTGAGGAGACACTTCGACCTCCTGGTGGTACCGAATGGAGTCCTTACCGAGGAAATCAAACTCCACGATGTTTGGCGGAGAGAGAGTAATGTGTTCGTATCGAAGAGAACAACAACCCACAGTGTCGGCCTCATCGTCTCCCTTCTCTCCTCCAGCTCGCAGTGCCAACACATCAATCAGGTACATGGCTGTGGCTCTCTGACGTTCAAACATGGCCTCTGATTTGAGCTCCTTCTCGTAGTCCTTTCGGATGGTAGCGACGTGTTTCTTGAGCTCTCGGGCTTTCTCAAACTTCTTGTAGTCGGACATTCCCTTGAGAGACGAATTTGCAGCAAACAAGACATACTTGATGGAGTTGTTGATGTTCTCGTGCCACATGGCAAGCCATGCAACCGAATTGTCGTGTCGCACCTCCCCCCACTTGTGTCCAGCAGGAGGCTCGGGCACAGGAACGCCCTTGCCAATGTTGATGGTGATTTGCTCGGGCATGACTCGACGCTTGAGCTTACCAGTCTTGGGGTGGGCTCCTCGGCCACGGAATAGACCCGGAGGCTCGATTCGGAAGTTGCCAACCTGTTCCTTTCGGCCGTTGAGCAGACACACTTTGAAGGGCTCCTCGATCTTGTCTCGCTCGGCCTTGATTGCCTTCTTCTCCGCGGCGCTCATGGCTTTCTTCTCCTCCCGCATCTTTTCAAAGTGAGCGTACATGTCGGAAAAGTCGCACTTGGAAAAGGCTTTGATTTGCACATTGTTACCATCCTTGTCCTTAGCGCCCCCGCTCTCCTTGAGAACCGCCTTGAAGTCGTTGAAGAAGTTCTTCTGGAAAGTCGGGTTCTTGGCGTGGTCGGTTTCCAGCATGGCTCCAAAGAAGCCTGCAACCTCCTCAGCAGCATGGGGGAGCACCACAGGAGTTCCGTCGTACTTCATGAGCACACTTTTGGGCAATGGTTCGTATTCAGGAGGAAACATGACTCCCTTGTGCTCTAGAGTCTCCCACTTGATGGAATCGTCCTGGTTGTCATTCTCCCACCATTTGTACACATCTTCGGCCTCTTCGGTCTCCTCCTTCTTGATCTTGCCGTCGGCTCCGACCGTCTCCTTCTTGATGGTGGTTTTCTTGACCGTTTGCTGTTTCACAGGGTCCTTCTTGATGGTAGTTGTGGTGGTCTTCTTGACAGGGGCCTTTTTGGCATTGGTTGTGCTCTCTTTTTTAACCTTAGTGGTGGTGGTAGCCTTCTTCACCTTAGGAGAAGCCTTAGGAGTAGAGGACTCCTTCTTGACCTTCTTCACTACAGGCGCGTCGTCGTCGTCTTCGTCCTTCACTCGCTTGACAGTGGAGGGTCGAGAGGGAGGCATGAGGTCGTCCTCGTCATCCGAAGTGATGATCCTGGCAGGCATGGTTGTGAGTAGTCGTGAAACAGGTCGGTGAACAAATCGATTAATAGGTCGATTGACAGATCGAATCAGAGGGCGAAGCGGACAAAGAATCGGGACCCGTCTGATCAAAAACACGTTGATTTCTGCGTTTCGCGGCCGTCTGAAGCTGAGAGAGGAAGAAAAAAAAAAAGAGAAAAGAGAGAAGCAAAAGTTTCGCGACGCGCACTGCAATGTATCGGACCTCTCTATACCGCCAGCTTTTAAAGTTGGGCTGCTAGTGTAGCATGATACACTGTCGGAAGCTGTTCTTAGTGCTTCCCCAGTGTCCAGAATGGGTTTAGCGAGAGGCTGGAAATCACAAGAAACGGAGCATTTGCCATTTTTTGTTTTCCCCGGTAAAATTTTGTCTACACCGCTGTGTATTTTCTCATCCGACACCGTCAGCTCACAGCAAGTAAGAGTAACTTTTACAACGCAAGTCTGGAAGCCTGACAGATAGACATTGCCAGTGCATGGCATATATTGTGTTGTTTCATCAGATAAGACCAGATCACGTGATTAGACATAGATTAGGAGCAAACAAACCGACCATTGTCCCCATCAATCAATTGAAATCGTTCCCAGCCCTTCTCATCATCTCATTGCGAACATTCTTCAGTTGTTCTGTCACTGCATGACTTCAAACTTTTTTGGCATTACTGTAGCTAAATGCCCAACACGACAATAGCCCTGCCTGGGAGGAGTGATGTTGTGAAGGGAAGATTCCCGTTGCCGCCGTTTCACCACAGCAGAAGTATTATGTAAGCTGTCTTTGGTTGATTAGTCAGAACAATCTATTTTCCATCTCCCATATCCATACGCATTCTGGGATGTGTGCCACCTCCTCGGTTGCGTTTTACCCCTCAAAACAGTCGCCTGTACGTTATGGTTGTGCCACGTACTCGATTTTGACTATGTTCAAATAAAGTTTCCAGCAGTGGAGGGAGACATAGCAAAATGCTTGTGGAGAGTGATTGGTTGAATATATTCGACTTTGGGGTGTCTGCATCATTGTAATTCTTGTTTTTACACGTGGCTATGTTTTTTCCGCATCAAAATCCCGCCACATGAGAGATTTTCAGTCCTGTTATCCACGTCCATATTTTCGATATGCGCTCAACAAAGTGTAGCCACAGTGCATATTGGTGTGGTGTGGTAGTCTTCCCGTCATACACCAGTGCCAGGATGTGTTATCTGTGGTTGCAAATGGGGGCCCATTATTGGTCCTGTAGCAATGTCCTAAGTAATGTGTCAAGTAAAAAACTAACAAATTTTGTCCTCATTCAGACTTGGATTCGGTGACATTTCGACATCAAGCCGATGGCACAGTGGAATGATGGTTGTTGGTTGTCAAAGACAGAGTCCTCTTTATCCATGGTGAGCGTCTACTTGTATTAAGGAAAGCACTGTTCAATGTCCACCTAATGTGAACCAGCTCTAACTAATCTCAAACAACCTCCAGCGGATGACCGAGAGAATGTAAAGAACCACCTTGGTGATATCATAGTCTCATTACGACAGAGATTGCAGTTGATGAGGGTTTCCTTTACCATGAATGTATCAACAAGCTGTCAAAGTACACAGCTAGCTACGATTACTCACTCCCCCAACCACTACCGCTTTACCGACAAGCAGTACTTGTAGTCTACGAGTACAGTATGTACTTTTCTATCATGTTTGGTTCAGTATTATATGATGTTATTTTCTTTGAGATCTCGAACCGCGACCTGAAAGCACCTGAACAGATATTGCCCAATGATACCCGCTGACTTACTCTTTCATCACTGAAGCTACAGATGCTATAAGTATGGTAGAGTAGTGATAGCGCAATCAAGTCGACGTCGAGTCCTGGCCTTGTCTCGTCTTCTTGTATTTCCTCGCAAGTTACCCTCACCAAGTCACCCTTACGAGTACGACCTGAATTAGCTGTTGCACCATTAGTAGCTCCATTGTCTCATTCTCGAGAAGAACGACCTACGCTGTTGTCCACCCTACCTACGGTCAGTCTTTTCCGCAATTCAGGTCCAGCTTTTGTCCACTCCTGACCTTTCGCCAGTATTACCGTTATTGTATAGCCAACCACTCTGGGGCATAATTCAAGTCAAACTGCAGTTTCGTCTCGAATGTCTCGATAAACTCGACATCCAAGTCTCCCTTGCCCGCCGCGAATCTTGAATACTCGTCAAAGATGCCCGCCAGACACCAGCCCTGCAGAATCTTTCGCATGACGCCCACCAGCACGCCTATTCTGTGCTTGCCCTTGTTGGAGTGCACCAGAATGGGGAAGTTGCGTCTGTCCAGCAGAATCTGAAGAGCCTGTCTGATGGCCTCGGGGTCGTTTTCCACAAAAGGCTCCTTGGCCGAGTTCACATGGAAGTAGTGGAGTGTGATTCCCTCGCTCTTGGCCCACTCAATGTAGTCCTGGTTGTCGCCAATGTCTCTGTCGCCAAAGTAGATGATCGATTTGAGATCCAGCTGGTTGAGGAACGGGTAGTTGATGGGCAGGGGATGACCAGACCGGTATATTCCGTCCGCCACAAAGGCGAAATTGAGTGGGGGTACTAGGACCATGTGTAGAGATGATGTTATGACTTAGGGTCCTTTCAGGCTATTGTAGGTGTTGTGGTGACCTCAGATAGAGGTTAGTAGAAGATCAGAGGTAAGTATCGAGTGTCTGTGGCACTCTTAATCTGTCAGTCGCTCGAAAGACTTGCTTTGCTGTTATCTGGTCGATGTTAGTGGTTGTGTTGTTTAGTTGTTTGGTCGTATTGGAGTCTCACATCATGGCAATCCTGCATCACCATGCACGTTTTCGATTCAAGATGCATGCTTAGTAACGAGTACAAAGAACGACTCCAAAAAAAGTACTGTAGTGAAAGATTGTCAGTTTAGAGTGTCCAATGTGAAAGGGTCACTGCTACCTTTTTCACCATTTCTTCGGTCCAGAACTTGAGATAATAGTTTTGGACCATCTAGACGGTTTTAGTTGAGCTATTGGAGCAAGCTATTGTCATTTAGTCAGATAATTAGTTTAGACACTAGCCGAGCCGACACTAGAGAGAAGAGAAACACAGTGTTCGAGTCCATCCTTGAGGGGTCACGGCTATTACACCAATATTGACGCAGCCCAGGGCTTCCTCTTCTTCTTCTTTCAGCCGTGTATGTTTCACATTTCTATCATTATATAGCTATGAAGTGACTCTAACAGAGGGAGTACAGTACAGTATGTAGTGGTGTATCGACAACTTACTTCTACGCACGGTGTACTGGTCGCACCGTACACTCTTCAGTACTGTACATACTTGCAACGAGGATAGAGCCATAGATAACAACAATACTTGTACAATATGTGAAAGACGAATCATTGTCTTCCAGCCGTTCCTGTAGACTAACTATCAATAACCGATTTACCCCATATTTGCGGCTACAGTGCCACCTCCTCTCTGTCTCTCGATGCATCCCCTCATCTCATCGCCTCTTAACACTACAGTATACCCGCTCCTCCGTTCAATTCCTTAAGCCCGCATTTGAACCTTTTCTCTTTGGGTCTTTGCTTTTGGGGGAGCCACGTAACTCTCCGATTAATCCCGACATTCCCCGGTACGTTCCGACATCGGACTTCCCAATGGGGGAAACCAACGCGGTCTCACGAATGTGACACATGTGTGGATTTGGACGTCGTTTTTGGGGGTCCCAGCCGCAAAGGCCGTTATTTTTTCTCCGTTGTCAAAGCAACCACCTCGCGCGGATAATATCTCAACGCGCTGTAAAAAGGCTCGCCTAATGGGGCATCTTTTATTCTGACCACACAAGATCCCCTCATCCTTAACTCCGACGGGTCGGTTAAACGGTGATGACTCGTGAATCTAAAACTATGAGTCAAATCACGTGAGCGGTATCGGAGGAGGGAAACGACGAGGTTAGGATGGCCCTGGAGGTCTATATTTTGACCACAGGGTATAAAATCACGTGATGAACAAAATGCGAGTCTCAGCCTACATTTATCTCGTCTGGATTTTCCCCCATATCGTGTCTTCGTCTGCTCGTTCGTTCATATACAAAGTTCATTACCCCTCCTCTAGGGCTCACATGCATTTGGGGAGTGTAATGTGGGGCGTTACTTGTGGACCGATACAGGTGACTATGGGCGTCAGCTGGGGGGTCATGCCGACGTTTTTGTCGTGTGCTTATGAGTCCAATGTTTTATGACTCGTATCACCCGCTCGATCCCCCATTGAAATTACCTCAGAGGTGACAAATATCTCACTTGTGTGTATACTAAGACATGGACAACAAGGAAGTCTAGGTTTTTTAATTTTGCATAAGCTCTTTTTTCAGTTAAGCGGAGATAATAGGAATGAGGGGAGTGTGGATAGAGACCCAAGGTATTGTATCCGCTGGGCAACGTGGACGCGGAAAAACAACATCAGACTCATCAGATGACCCGTCGGATGACCCCCACGCCACAAGCACAATTTACCAGTCTCTCAGCACCCACAGTTGTCGTCATATACCTCCTCCACCACCTCGGCCCAATAAAGTTGACCCGAAAAATCTGTGAAATTGTCGAAACCTATTTTGGCCGACAATAGAGTGCACCTACTACCCACTACCCGGACCTTACATACCTACTTGTTCTGTGGTGTCCACGACTCAACTCTTCCTCACCTTCCGTCAGTACTACTCTCCAATGACGGACTTCGCCTCCAACGCATCGAAATCGGACGCCAATGGCGCGTACATGAACATTGACGACTTCGTCGAGGCCATTGCTCCTCAGTCCGAGGACTACTCGAAAATCAGCCGAAACAGCTACGCCGTGCTGTTTGAGGTTGCTGATCGAAAGAAGACCGGCAAGGTGACCGAGGCCGACTGGAACGCGTTTGTGTCGCTTCTGGGCCAGCCCGACGCCGAGTACCAGATTGCATTCAAGCTATTTGACACCCAGAGACAGGGCGCCGTCAACTTTGACGACTTTGTCAAGACCTACGACGAGCACAAATCCGAGGACGCATTGCCGTTCGACTGGACCAGCAAATGGGTGTCTCTTTACGCCGGCAAGCCCGACAACAGAACCCCCATGTCGTACCCCATGTTTTCCCAGATGCTCAGCGGTCTTCTTGGTGAACGTGTGAGACAGGCCTTTGGCCACTACGACCCCAATGGCACCGGATTCATCGATCGATTGCAGTTCGAGGAGATCATTCGAAAGGCCGCTTCCCACAAACTGTCGGATAAACTCCTCAACAATCTCCATGTCGTGTGTGACGCCAAGGTGAATGGTAACGACACCAATAAAATCTCGTACGCACAGGTCCGAGCCCTGCTCAATGTGATCCGACACGCCGATCTCATCGACAAACTTACCGTTGTGGCTACCAAAAACAGCCCCGACGGCCAGGTGGACCGAATCCAGTTCATGGACGCCGCCAGCAAGAACACAAAGGGCTCTCTGCTAAGTCCTCTGGAAGTTGACATTCTTTTTAAGCTGTCATCCCTGGGCGATTCGCCCTCCCTGAGCAGCGAGAAGATCTCCGTCGAATCATTCAAGCAGGCGTTTGATCCTCTGTGGCTGTCGCCCGAGGCACGGTACGCCAAGAGCCTCGGAAAGAAGGTGGACGCTGCCAAAAACGCGCTCACCTCGCCCCACACCTTTCTCGGAGAAGTGTTTGAGTCCGTCTACAACTTTTCTCTGGGAGCTATGGCTGGTGCCTTTGGAGCTACTGTCGTCTACCCCATTGATATGGTGAAGACCCGAATGCAGAACCAGCGAGCCTCGACTCCTGGCCAGCAGTTGCTTTACAAGAACTCGTGGGATTGTTTTAAGAAGGTTATTGCCCGTGAGGGACCTCGAGGCCTCTACTCTGGTCTGGGACCTCAGCTGGTCGGTGTGGCACCCGAAAAGGCCATCAAGCTGACCGTCAATGATCTCGTGCGAGGCAAGGCCGCCGATAAGAACGGAAACATCACCTTGCCCTGGGAAATTATTGCTGGTGGAACCGCTGGTGCCTGCCAGGTCGTCTTCACCAACCCTCTGGAGATTGTGAAGATTCGACTCCAGATCCAGGGAGAGGTTGCCAAGCACACCGACGCCCCCAAGCGATCTGCTATCTGGATCGTGCGAAATCTGGGTCTCGTGGGTCTCTATAAGGGTGCCTCGGCGTGTCTGCTGCGAGATGTTCCCTTCTCGGCCATCTACTTCCCTACTTATGCTCATCTCAAAAAGGACTACTTCGGCGAGGGTCCCAACCACAAGCTCCCCATCTGGCAGCTGCTGGTGGCCGGTGCTGTGGCTGGTATGCCCGCTGCTTACCTGACTACTCCCTGTGATGTCATCAAGACCCGTCTCCAGGTCGAGGCACGATCCGGCGAGACTTCATACACTGGCCTGAGACACGCCTTCTCAACCATTCTGCGAGAAGAGGGTCCCGCTGCCTTCTTCAAGGGAGGAGCCGCTCGAGTGCTGCGTTCGTCACCCCAGTTCGGCTGCACATTGGCTGCCTACGAGATGCTGCATAACCTGCTGCCTCTGCCCGGCCACGGAGCTTCCACCGAGGCAGGATACAAGGTCCCCTCCTCCTCCGATATCCCCCAGTCTCCCGTGCACCACATTAGATCTAGAAACGCCCTCAAGATTCTGTTGGATATCGACGAGAACTTCGGCAAGCCGGGTACTCTGACTCCTGAGCGAGCTGCTCTTATTCCTGGTCTGAAGAAGGATTAGGAAGTATGTATATGATTTATGACTGACACAATAAGTGGCGAGCGTAGCGAGATCTTGAATGATAATCGCATGAAAGAAAATCTATGCGGGTGCAAATAATGGTTGTAGAGTGCGTGCTTTGGGTTAGGAGGACGTGAAGCAATAGCTCCAGGAGTCTTCGTGGCAACTACCTGGTTAGTCTTTTGGGCGTTGAACTGGACAAATTGATTCCTTGGTCCAGTTACTGTAAGTACTGGTACATACCGTACCTGATATTCACCGCCAGAACCTTGACACGAGATTTTATACCTCCACAATGCACCATCTTGCAATGGCCTAGAGGACTTGGTCAAGTCGAGAGGAGTTCGAGAGTTCGATCTGTGAGAGGCATACAGCCATATTGCGGCAACAGTATGTTTTTTGCCAAGTGTCATATATTCTTTATGTTATACTTACTGTTCATTTGAGTTCCGAGAAACTTCATATGCAGAAAAAAAATAAAAATGCAGAGCCTGGCATGTATGAGTCTCGTACCAAGTAGCATGGTTCTTGTCTGTTTGGACTCGGTCACAAATATCCCTGGCGACACAAATAATACAACTACTGTAGGTACTTTGCTGACACTTTATTTGAGCATTCGAATCACGTCCCAAGCACGGTCACCTTGCACAACCACCTTGCCCCCAAGCCCTCTACGTAAAATGCTCCTTGTCGCCGGAATACGACAGAAATATGCTTAATCTGGTGTCCGTGGAGACTACAGTATTTAGTTGGCCAGTAGTTGTTTCTTTGTTCCATTCTAGTTGCGCGAGACTGGGAGTTTGAAATCCTGGGCTGGTGGGCTAGAGGACCAGATTGTACGTACTGCACTGCTGGTCCTGATATTTTTGTCTGGTCTCTACAATCAATAATTATTGTCAGATACGATGAATATTACTTCTGGCGATCAGGGGTGATATTATTATCACCGGTATGTACTGTACACTGTGAAGCACAACGCAGATAAAAACGGTCGAACCAAACCACTTATGGAGGTGGTATAATAACCGGTGGAATAAGCCAGTATAGTAGCTATAGTTCGCGTACATTACAATATCTTATAGTCTGAGGGTAAAGTAACTACAGTAATTACAAGTACCGGTACAAGTGCAGGGATGTCTGAGCGATGCAGTGTGGCTTGCCACGGCGACTACTGTGTTCTACCGAAAACTGGATATCGAAGCAGTGACGCTTTTTACCATAGAACTTCTTTCCACTTGTAGTTATTTCTTTTGCTGAGACTCGAATGACACTCTCTTGGTGTCAAATCATACAGCTACTCGTACCTACAGGACTGTAAGCATTCATCAGATAACAGATGTCACTATCATACTGCCAGTCAATGGTCACCGAAGGAGTACACACCTCATGATACAGTCTTAAATTTAAGATCTAAGAATGTTTCTACTACAATGTATCTACTACAATGTATCTACACTGTCCTATTATACAGAACACAGAGTTCGAGCTAACAATGGCCCGTGTCTATAGACCAAGATCCGGGCGCTTTAGTGTTTGTTTATTTCCGCTAATTACTTATCCCGTTCGGTTGACGCAGATTGATGCACCTAGACGTCAATCTGCGTGTAGTGGAGGTGAAAGATTGAAGCTGCTGTGCGTACTGTACCGTACTTGTACTTGTAACTGCAGAGTGATAGGCTGTTAAGTGGAATTCAAACAGAATACGCATGTGTCGCATGTTTCACTTGTCTCCATAGTGTGTGTGTGTGTGTGTGTGTGTGTGTCCACCGATCTGCTCACCCGTTGACTGTGACTACACCACCCCACTGGCATGTCTCTTCAACACACCGACAACCCTCTCGGTCCTCTCTCTTCCAAAAGGCATGCTGAAAATCCCCCGAATATCCTCTTCTCTCAACCCTTCAAGGTCGCGTGGCAGCTCCCCTTCAGGAATGTCTCGCACTAGCTCTCCCAACCTTCGCACCAAGGCTTCCTTTTCCATGTAGTATCTGGCCGCTAGCCGGATTAGCTGCGGCTCGTGGTTGATGGCCTTGAACATACTACTGCGGATATGTGACAGCCGGGAAACACACAGCTGGATGTACTCCTCTTTGGTCCGCAGTAGATGCGCGAGCTTGTCTGCTTCTCCTGACGAACAAGAGACCCGGTACGGCAACAGCTCTGTTTGCAACAGCTGTTTGAACTGCCAGTCCAGAGATTCGATCATATCACACTCGTCCGGGGAGTCTTGGTGGTCGCAAAAGTAGTCGTTTTTCGGGTCATTAGAAGGAGGGTTGCGCTCAAGCTCCTCGCAGAGAGCGTATATCTGTAGGTCCATGGTCAGTAACGATTCTTCATTCTCCGCACCCAGTTATATACATCCGTTATATTAATACTTACTCGTATAAAAAGTAAGATATTAACAGACTAAAAAGGCCGAGTCTCCATGTGCATCTTAGAACGAGTCTAGAAGCTCGAGTAGACAGGGGCGGTCCTTTTTGACAGCTTCTGAGTTCGTAGGGGGATTTTCTGTCGCGCAACTTTGCCTGGGTTAGACATCCCACGTGGCGTGGCGGGGGTCACAATATGGGCCTGCTGGTGTAGATGCCGTGCCTTGTGTGCCTTCTGAAACGGCCCTAGAGATCGGAGCTACCTACAAGTCAAGCTGCTAATAACGGTGGTATGGTACAGAGACTAATAAATATAATTATGAAGGGGCGGGTGGAGCCTAACTGGAGCTGAGGAACGCCGCTTTGGCGGTGGTAAAAGTGCCCTTGTTGGGCTCTCCATCTTCACTAGGCAGAACTCTCATGTAGCTGGGACACGAAGGGGCATCGCTGCTCAGACTGTAACCTCGGAGGGTCACCATGGCATCGTGGTAGTGCACAAAGTCGGAACCAATGATCATAGGGACAGGAAGACCGTCGACAATAACAAAGCGGTTGATCTTTAGATGGCCAGAAGGGAACCACAGTGGCAGATTCAACACAGACTCGAATCTAAGAGGACCACCGCCGCTAGGAATGTACTCGGCTGACTTTAGTTTGGTAACCTGATCACCCAGACCAAGATTTTCCACCACGCTCTTTTTGATGCAACACGCAAACGTACCAGTCGATACAAGGGCCTTCAAGGCAGGAGCGTCTGCAGAAAAGCCAATGTGGACGTGACAATGGGGAGCATCGAGATCCAGTTTAGTGGGATTTCTAATAGCCCGAGTAAGAGACGCACAAACAATAGCACCATCGGATGTCTCTCCAGCCACGTAGTCATCCATTTCGTGCTGCGGACACCCCGTAGCCACCTCGTCGATAATGACATCAGTGGAGCCTGGACAGGAGCTATCATTGCACTGTTCCATTTCTCCCAGCTCTATAGTCTTGACAGGACGCGGCTTTTTGTTTTCTGCCAACCGCTTGTCATAAATCTCCTTGTCAAACTCTTTCATCAGATAATCGCACCGAGCCTCATATGCATCCAGACAGTCGGCCACCCTCTTTTCGTATGGTGCGTCACTGGTATCTATATCTTCGGGCATGCAAAAGTATTGTCGGTCGTAAGGCACCAGCAGGAAGATGGCCTTAAGCACGTCAGCTCTGTCAGTCTCATCAAATGGCTGGACTGCCTCCACTGCATTCAACCAGCCTCTCACGTGGTTGAAAAAACGTCTATGTTTGCCCCACTGCAGCCGTATCTCGCCCAGGCACTCGTCCAGGTACAGAAGATAGTCGTACTTGCACGTGAAGAACCGGAACCGCTCCACAAAATGCAACTTGACTTCTGACCATGGCATCTCGCTCGTCACCTGCTCGTAGTAGTGTCTGAGACATGGCGTTCCCTTGAGCCCAAACGTCTTTTCCTTCTTGCTGATTATCGTGAGAGTGAACTGCGCAGCAATGGCCTGGTTGGAATGGTGCAAGACGTCAAACAGATTCAGTTTGAGTCTCTCATCAAGATATGTCGGGTTGTATCGTTTTTGAATCTCTTCATAGATGGCCAAAAATAAGCCTGGCTCGTGGCATCCGGGCACAAACTGAGGGATGCCCAGAAGCTTGAGATCATGGGCACTGTAGTGACAAACAGAGCTGTGGAATCCAAACGAGGTTATGGAGGCATTGTGCTTGGAGGAGAGATCTTCGGTTTGGCAGTAGTAGTTGAGAGAAAGTACCTCCTCGGCTCCTTGTCGGACAGCTTCGTCTGTGTCACTCGATCTGATGCCTGCCACGAGGGTTCCATGAGGAAGCAATGCCGCTTGATATTTGGCACGTTCCTCGGCAGAAAGACCCTCGGGGTAGGCCATTTCCTGCTTCGTGGCACCTGTAGACGTTGTCGATGACGTGGCTGTTTTGACGCGGTTTTTGTTTTTATTCTTGGGTTTCGCCATTGTGTCACAGTGTGGTAGATGTGTATTAGTGTCGAACCCTGTGGTGATCTTGGAGGAGAGAATTACACTGCATGCAGCTGCATCATGAAGCCAATTTGGGGGAGAGACGAAACAAAGTGATTGTGGAGAGCTGGAGGTGGACGGGATCCATGTGATTCAGTTATATGATAGTTTCTGTGGTCACGAGACTTGTGATAAATGCCTGTCTCACGATTTGGGCTCGTATTGCTTGGTGTAATATTATTTCCCTTCAAGTCCCTACAATATGAGTTCGAGTTTCTATATATATATTTTGTCACTACCTTAAATCACGACTATAAGCCGCTCCAACTGTAAGATGTAAGACGAAGCACACTATCTGCGGGAGTAGCTTTTCCTAAGTAAATCTAACTATATTAACAACAAATTAAACATAGCGCAATCCCACAACGCCGATATCTCAATAAATTACTATTTGAGAAGAGGTCGTCGTTAGTATTATTTGTAACTTGTTTGTCTATCTCTTGAAATGCTTTCCCAATTCCTGGAACTTCTAGATCATTGAGCTTTATGTCCACCTCATACTCAACTATTTTTCAAGTAAATGTCAACCAAGTATGTAACTTAGGACATCAGCTCATCTACGGCTGAACTATGTTGAATTCAGTACAAATAACTGTTTCTATATACGAATTCATTAGTTTTAATTCTTATTTTTCCCCCTCGAGAGAAGCAGGCGTCGTATCCCCGTCGTATCAACATGAGGAGTTGTGGGGTTATGGATTAGTTGAGTGTTAGCTGGGTAAGTGTTCATTGCGTCCTAATAACGGAATACCCATCGATATGTAACTAACACACTTCAATTGCGTGTGTACCACTTGTCTCATTGATGTCCATTCATTCGATTGAGGATTCAAAAGTATGGTATCATTGCCATTCGATCTTCATCGCCAGATGCTCATGGACAGATGGACAAGTGTAATCAACATCTTGAGTTAGAGTTGCAAATTTCATTTTCCAGCCACCCATATTTGTTCAGCAATACGTAGTGAGTACATCAGCATGGTAAGATGTAGAACACGTGACGATATTGTTGAAGAGACAAAAACAACAGCCAAACCCCACATATAAACCCTTCCATTCCCCCAGCATCAATTTGTCACTACAGTCGACTTGTATCCGGAGATAAATATATCCGAAATAGTTGCAACGGCTCCGCAAACTCCCAACTCCAACTTAATCCAGCTTGCATAATATCGCACAGCACACAGTACGCTCTTATTGTTGGTTACTTGCACATAACAGAGAAGGACACCAAAGACAGCTAATCACCACAATGCCAGCTCCCCCACCACCCCCGCCGCCGCCGCCGCCCGGATTTGGAGGACCGCCTCCCCCACCTCCTCCTGGAGGAGGATTTGGAGCATTGTCGTCTGGAGGAGCACCCAAAGCTGGCCCTCCAAAGGGCGCTCCTTCTCGAGACGCCCTCTTCAGCGACATCACCAAGGGCAACAAGGGCCGACTTAAGAAGACACAGACAAACGACAGATCTGCAGCACAGACTGGAGGAGGAGGAGTGTTGTCTGGAGGCGCTCCGAAGGGACCCTCCTCTGCACCTGCCGTGCCGGGCATGGGTATGGGTGCTCCTGCTGTGCCTGGAATGGGAGCCCCGGCCGTTCCAGGCATGGGAGCACCAGCAGTTCCTGGTATGGGAGCTCCTGCTGCTCCTTCGGCGCCTGCAGCTGCGTCTGCCCCTTCAGCCCCGGCGATGGCCCAGCAAGACATGTCTGGCCTGTTTGCTGGAGGTATGCCCAAGCTCAAGAAGCGAGGAGGCAACATCAGCTTGACGGACGACCACAGCAGCAGCGGTAACTCGTCGCCACCTCAAGGGGGGGCTCCAGCCATCCCGTCGCTGCGAAAAACTTCAGGAGCTCCCTCGGCCCCCGGAGGTTTCGCTCCCCCGCCTCCTCCCGCTCCCCCTGGAGGCGCCCCTGCTATTCCGGGAGCTCCATCTGTGGCCTCCAGCTACAGAAGTGCATCAGCATCTTCTGGTGCCCCCCCTCCTCCCCCCGGAGGTGCCCCGCCTATTCCTGGAGGAGCTCCCCCGCCTCTGCCAGGAAAAGTCAGCACCTCAGGAGGTGCTCCCACTTTTGGAGCTCCTCCTCCTCCGCCTCCAGGTGGAGCCCCCGCATATGGAGCTCCCGCTCCTCCTACACCGGGCACTTCATCGCCCAAGCCTCCCCCAAAACCTGCGAAACGTCCCCCGGCCCTCAAGCCCAAGCCCAAGATCCCTACTCCAGGCTTGAAGCCCGCGGTCCCTACTCCTGGGCAGCGACGATCCGTGAGCCCTTCACCTGGAGCCCCACCTCCTCCCATTCCCGGTTCTGTGGCGCCGTCAGTGCGCCACGCACCTTCACAGTCAGTGTCTAGCATCGCGAGCTCAGTCAGCACCCCCAGCACCCCTCCTCCAGCCCCTCCGGCGCCCCCGCCTGTGCCTGGAGGAGCCGCTCCCCCAATTCCAGGCTCAGCGGCCCCTCCCGCTCCTCCTCCCGCTCCTCCAGCAGGTTTTGGAGCCCCTGCTCCCCCCAGTTTTGGAGCACCCACGCCGCCTCCGGCTCCCCCAGCTCCCTCAGCTCCCCCAGCTCCCCCAGCTCCCCCAGCTCCACCCTCGGAACCCCCGAGCACACCTAGAGGCCCTGCCATGTTTGGAGCCCCCATGCCCAAATCACCAGCTGCTGCATCGCCTGGAGCTCCCCCTCCCCCTCCTCCTGGGGCTGCTGCACCTGGTTTGGCTCCCCCAGCTCCTCCAGCACAGCCTCCGTCGCCAGGACGGCCCTCTGGAGCTCCCCCGCCTCCTCCTGGGCCTCCTGCTCCCCCTACAGATCAATTTCACTCAATGATTCTGGACGATGGAAGCAGCAGTGGGAGCCATGGTGCTCCTCCTCCCCCTCCTCCCTCTGCGCCACCTTCCAACGGAGGACACAGTCACGGAGCACCCCCTCCTCCCCCTCCCAATGGAGGAGTTAACAGACGTAGGGACGTTGTCCAGCGAACTTCGACTCTAGGATCAAACAATATCCGAACGCTCGACACGTCGGCGTACACCATCGCTCCACGGGCTGTGAGCACGCCTGTAGGCTCTAGCTCTGGCGGAGGGGGAGGTTCCAAGCCGCCGCAGATCAAGATTGACGACAGTCGGTGGAAGTGGAGAAACGCTCACGATCTGCCCAAGCCCAGACGGTTTGAGGGTAAAACAAAACTGTATGCCAGTGGCCGGGGTTCGTCGGTGCCCCTTAACCTGGCTGCCTATGAGTAATGAGGAAGGATGTGGATGTACAATGACAGGCATGAGTGGATTACGAATTGCCAAGGATGATCCACTCATAGATAATATATATGAATGTTGACGGAAGGGTTCTAGTACGTGGACACCCATATACTGATAAATTGTAGTGTATCTGCGATAAAATCTATTGTACAATGAATAAATACGAGTGGAGAGAGTGTGTGTCTCCAAAAATCCTGTTTGGTGGTGTTCCAAACTACTGTTGGTGAGTTACTGCTTGATGGGCTGTACTCTGGAACCCTTACCGGCCTTTCCCATAGCGACCACTCCGCTCTCAGGCCCGCTTCGTCGTTTACCGGCGACTTTGCTTTTACCGCTAAGGTTTCTGTTGCCCCAGTTTCGTGTGACCAGGTCACATGCCGAGATGCTCGTATTGAGAGATGCCTTGCGTTCGAACGGCACGTACTCCTCGTCGAGAATGACCTGACCACGGTTTGACGACGTCCACTTCTTTCTCTTGAAACCCTGGGCTCGGTCGTTTACTAGACTTCGGTCCAGCATGAGTAGCTCCTCGACATCAAGACTCTCGTCGTAGTTGAGTTCGTCTGCGTCAGGCACAAAAACCGGTCCCTGCCAGTTGGTTCCTCCAATTCCTTCCTTCATGACTCCCTTGTCCATGTGTTGAGAGTAGAGCTTTTTCTCGAGTCCCAGTCGAGTGAATCCCCGGAAGTAGCTGAGTTGCAGCAGCTGGTCCACGTCATGCAGGCGGTACTGAGCCTCTACTGTCAACAGCAAATCCAGAGCTTCAATGGCAGCCATACTGACTTGAGGTTGGGTCACGGGGAACAAGTTCGAGTGTTCCTTGAGCTTCATTCGTCGATATTCGTCAGTAGAGTGGTATCTGTAGGGCACTGTTCCATACAGACATTCGTAGAAGACCGCACCCAAACTCCACCAGTCGACCAGATGGTTGTATTTCGCTCTGACCACCTCGGGTGCCATGTAGCCAATGGTTCCACAACCGCTGTCGGTCTTGTACTCTCCATACGGCAGCATACAAGCCACGTTGAAGTCTCCCAGTCTAGCGTGTCCCAGTTCATCCAGCATGATATTGTCTGGTTTAATATCTCGGTGGACAACGCCCTTTTCGTGCAAATAGGCCACAGCACAGGCCACCTCGACCACCCAGAAGCGGATGGTGGCCTCAGAAAAGGTCTTGCGTTCAATATGCCATCGGAGATCTCCACCGGTCATGAGGTCCAGCAGTGTGTAGAGATACTCGCTGTCGCAAAAGGTCTGGTGAAGATTGCACAGAAATGGGTGCTGCAGTCGCAGCAGGATTCGGCGTTCGTTGAGCATCAATTGTGTCCGGCCCAGCTTGACGATATCTTCTCGGACAGAGTACTTCAGAGCGTATACATTGTTGGTGGTCATTTGCCTGACTACTCTCACTTTACTGAAAGCTCCACTACCCACAACTTGCAGAAGTTCGTAGTTGTCGAGATTATCGAGCGACGCACTGCTGTCAATGGTGCTGGAGTCGCTGGGGAGCATCATGGGATCGGATACGTAGGGAGGGGGCACCTTGGGTTTCTTGGGCGGCGCCTGGGGAAGAAACGACTCTCGTCGTCGGCTTGCTTCCTCGGGGTCTTCGTCCGCAAGTCGAGTTTGAGCTTGTCCCATGGCGGTTGTGGCTTTGGTCGGTGGTGTGAGGGAGTGAGGGGAGGAAGATGGCCTTCCTACCGAGGACGTTGGTGATCGTCAAGGGGATTTGGGCTGAGGTTAACCTGGCAAAGGTTATTATAAGCGGCAATGGTTTTTTATCAATTTTGGAAGAAGATGATTTTTGGTATCGAGACGGAAGAGTAGTGGCAAGCTTGTCCTCCACCGTTTGACACATTATCAGCTGCCTGATAATGACACCAAGCCCAGGACAAGCCCTTCAAAAGGTCTGGCAGTTGCAAGCGCAACTTTAACGGGGGTCTCTACATTATAGGGCGATAGATCTGCGGTACGAAAGCCACCAGCATATTCGGTGCTACAGTAGTAAGTTGATTCGAAATACTCGTATAACCGTTCAGACATCAATTATTCACGTATTTATTAATTCAACCCCCCATTTGACAGGTCACCCACAGATGATGGTACCTAGCCGTACGATACATGGATAGCGTCTCCTATTCATCAGGCCAAACTCAAACAAGCCATCCCATGTAAAACTATATTGAAATCATGTCCGAACAAGTGAGTGCACTGTGAGAGTGTACATATAGGCTCGTTCTGATCAATAAGTAGGGACGATTTAGGTGAAGGAGTGTAGAAGACAAAGTGTCTAGTAGATTGGCTAAAAAGCTCCGTCCATCATCTACCCCACTCCCCTTGTTCATGCACAGACAGTTCTACCGGATACCACCGATAGATTATTTTATGTTAACAAAGACTTAAAAAAAGGGGAGGACCCCTTCCTTGTGAACCTTGCATGGGTTGGGTTTAGCTTATTGCCAGGGGTCTAACAACTAATGTAGAGGCGTCTTTAGACCATTTAGTGGTAGGTGTTAGTAGAAAAATTATTTGGAGTCCCTTTTTTTAGCCCTCACCATCTTTTCCCGACCCAAATACCCCCTAGAAAGCCCATCTACGGCTGCCGTTGCAAATCCTACAATCCTCACGTCAAAGTTCAACTAAAGATGAGTTGCAGCAACGGCCAGCAAGGGGTGACGATCTTGTCGTGAAGCGCACCCAGGAAAATCTTACGCGGTTCTACAACCTGCTTTGTGGCACCGAACAATTCGTGACTAGGTTTCGAATCTCCGGCTTTGTTGAAAATATTTCATTCATCGCGCAATCTTCCCCAACGTCTTTGCTTCTTTTTCAAACCCCGTTATCGCCTGGGTTCCGGCATGTCCAGGCCGATGGAACCCTTAAAAAGAGTAGCAATTAATAGCATCACGGAAGGGAGAACGCACTGCGCAAACTCATTGACGGCTCTAGAAAAGATTTATTCTATAATATCACGTGATAATCACCCAAATACACCACCTTTGACCCCTCATATTCTCATCTCAATCCCGTTGAAATTTCGGAAACTCAATTTTAACCGAGACAGACCCTGCAACCTGACGCACTCTCTAAAAAGGTGTGTAAGTACTTGTAGCATGAAAGGTGGGCAGGTGGAGAAGACACAACACGTCTCAAATATTAAATTACGTAATTATCTATATTATTTACACCGATCTATATACGAGGACGACAAAAATGCTGCTGAGAATCACATCAACCAGCGCAAATTGCAACACCGTCCACACAAACTGATACAACAGCTTGGGAGAAAAGACTGTCCAGATGAAGAGATGCTCTCTGAGGAAAAAGCAAGTGATCATCACCGCCGAAATGGCCACACTGGAAAAGGCCAAAACCACGTAGACTCGCAGCGTCAGCGCCTGCTGCACCAGCTTAGTCGTCAGCTTGACGTCATTGTTCTTCTCGGCAATCTTGGCAAAGATGGCGTTTCGAACGTGATCTTCAAGCAGGAAACTGAGTCCGGCTGTGGACCAGTACAGAGGGCCAATCCAGTTGGACACAAACGTCAACACGCCCACAAACTCAATCTGGTAGAGTGTGACGCCATTGTAGGCGTTAGACAGGTCGATGGACGCCATACTGTTGGAGTTACCCATTGAGAAGAATGACACCTGCTCAAGAAGTAGAGTCGAAACCGACAGCACCAGAACGAGCTTCTGGAATAGTGCCTCCGTCTGGTAAATGTCACGTGATGAGAAGATAAAGGACCGGTTGGTGGCCTTTCGTAAGAAAATCTCTAGAAAGTAGTACACCATAAACAGCGGGATGTTTTGGATCCGCGACTGCGTGATGAGGAACAGAGTTAGGAACGCATGCAAGTCGCGGATGAGATTAACCTTATCGGTCCCGGCCAAACTCAGGACTCGGTACAGGGAGCCTGCTGCAATGGTGGAGAAGGCAAACCGAGCCAGGCCGGCCATTCGAGCGTTCACCTCGTTCAAAGTACCGGGTAGGCCCATCAGATAGAGCAGGGGAGCAGGGACAACCTCTCCGGCCTCCCAGGCCTGGGTAATTTTGAAGCCCACAGAGGCAAAAGTGGTAATGAGAGTGAGCAGAAAGGCCAGTTTGGACTCAACCTTGGAAAATCCGTATCTCCATACCTTGTTGAAAGCCACTCCGTAGGTGACGAGAATAAGGATCCAGAGAACTGGGTGGTTGCCGTCCTTGGACAGCCACGTAACTATGTCGTCCTTCTTGGTGAATTTTTGGCCCGTTTGGTTCCAGGAGATCATCATTCGCACGAAGACCTGTACAAACATCCAGTTGAAACCGTCTCCAAACTTGTTACGGCTGCCGGAAATGTACAGAAACGCCATCCAGCCTGATGTGATCCAATACCAGATTTGGTGCTCCTCCTCCACAGTAGACGAGCCGAATACGGAAATGAAATAGACCAGCAGAATGATGAGATAGAGCCGTTTCAGCCCCTGAACTGCAAGAGTCAGGGCTGAGAAGACGGTCAGAGCCAGAATGGTAGATAGGAGACCCAGACCAATACCACCGAGCATATCGTTAGTATTATAGTTGGAAGATGCATGAGTCAGGTACGACTGGGCCTCATATAAAAAGTTGTAGTAGTCCTTAACTGAGGGGTTGCTGTTGAGAGTGTCGTACAGCTCGTAGACCTCTTTGGCGTCACTTTCGCGTGACGCTTGGCCCTGTAAAATCTGGACCATCTGATCTGCATTGTTTTTGAGCACATTGAGCTGATCTTCGGGAGACCAAAGACCCAGCATTTGAGACACTAGCACTCCCAAGTTGTTTTTGGGAGTGTTGAGGCCCAGAAGTGCTGTCAGAGTAGGCACCAGATCCGTCTGGTCCATTCTGGAGTGGTATTTGTAGGTGTCTGTCCAGGGCAAAGGAGAAGTCTCCGCTGTTTCAGTAAGCTGAGCTGTTTCAAATTTGGGAGAAGCAAAAACCATGGCCGCAGATGTTTCTCCAGCACTACTTCCTCCGTGATTTCCGACCTCGTTCATGCCGTGATCGCCCAGAAGAATCAGCACCGTGTCGTCGTCACAGCTGTTGTACAGCTTGTCGAAAATATCGTCCATCTCCTTCTGTTTGGCAGGCATAAATGGAGATTCAGGACCAGTCTTATGTCCAATATGATCCAAACCGAGATAGTGCAGAATCAGCACATCCCACTCGGTTTTCTGGTCCAATTGGGTGTCAATATGACGCGTCACATTGTTATCCACCTCTGTGTAGTCCGACACAAAAAAGGAGGCAGTTCCTTCACAGTCGTCAAACATGCCTGGGAACAGCTTGATCCAGGTGTCGTCTCCAAACATGTGGATTTTGCGGCCATCACGGGACGCCTGGGCCAGCCACGAGTCCTGGTTAGCTAGCGTGGACGAATTGTCGCTCTCGGCAATGTTGAGAACCGCGTCCAAAAAGTTTGGCGTCGATCCAGTTGTCAAACCCTTGATACGGGGTAAAGTGACTGTTGGAGGCGTCGAATGGGCCGTGAAAGGGATAGCGCCACCGGAATTAATGCGCTTGTGAAGTTGTGGACAATTGCTTTGGTCCGAAAATGCGAAATCGCTTCGAAACGCGTCCACCACCATGATGATGGCCTTTTGGAAAGGCGCCTCGGTGGAAACACGTGATTCGGTGTATCCAGGAAGCAAGACACGTGAGGGCAGAAACCCGCGGGCAAATAGTAACACCGCAGCAAGCTGCAGCACCACAATGGTCACGGCCAAAGTCCACCTTTTCCAGAGCATGTTGGTGTGTGGTTAGTTGTTCCAATACTGTAATACAGAGTTGCATCTTGTCTTATATTAGGATTAGGGTTGAGGAGGAGTGATCGAGGGGTGAATTGGAAGGGAGTCTGTGGAGGGTGATTTTTGAAGGCAAGATTGGCCTTTACGAGAATGTCGTATTTTGTTTGCATATTTAGTCGATTGATTTCTTTCTGTGTAATTTTGTGGCGCCCAATGAATTCTATGACATGTTTCGTGTGCTTGGATATGCAGTGAGTGACTTAAGTAAGTTCTAAGTAGTAAGTACAATTTTGAGATGTCTCCATTGAAGTCAACAACAAGGATGTGGAGTAAATATGTTCAAAAATAAAGACAATTGATATAAATAATAGCTAGTAAAAACATCTACTGCATAATATACATTCTGACACTTCTGATATGGGTGTCTGATATAGGTGTTTGGCTCAGTTGTAGTAAACATATTTCACTAAAATTGTGTTGGCAAGTAGTAGCTAAGATCTAAATAATCTATTAAAGACATACGAAAAAAAATGAATAAAGTCAAGTCTAGAATCTGCTTAACTCTCGTAATCAACCCAGGGGAGATCGATAAAGGAGTCAGGGTACTGCATTTCCAGAGGTGCTTCGTCTCCAGACTCAAGGGGAGGCAGTGGGGCGGTAGGGAACGGAGCATCGTCAAAGTGGGAGGAGCTGGTAGTGGGCTCAGGCTGCTCGATGAGATCCTCGGGGGCCCAAGAGGTCCGGATATCAGTAGAAGTGGTCGAGGGAGTAGAGAAGGAAGAGGAAGAGTACCTGGATCGGGCAGATCGGGTAGATCGAGAAGAGTTGGTGGTAGGAATGGAGAAGGCCACGGTGGTGGTGGTGTTAGCCACATAGCTGGAAGACCAGATGGTAGAGGTGTTGACCAAAGAGGTGGGCCAGATGTAAGAAGTCACAGGAGTGGAAGAGTTGAAGGCCGAAGAAGAAGTCCACCAGGTGGAAGAGGATGAAGAAGAAGGCCAGGCGGTGGAGAAATTGCTGCTGCTGGTGGTCCAGGAGTACTCAGTCGACGTCTCGTCCTCCCAGTCCTCGTATTCCTCATATTCGGACTCCCAGTAGCTGTCGTCAGTCTCATAGTCTCGCTCCTCGAAACCCAGAGAGGTATTGTACGAGGGAGTAGTGGGAGCAGCTGTGGTCAGAGGAGTAGTGATGTTGAAGATACCAGTGGGGACACTGATGGGGATGGAGGACCAGAGGGTGGATGAGTTGTACCAGGTAGTAGGATAGGCGGTGGAGGAGTTCCTTGTGTTGGACACGTACGAAGAAGTGGGTGCAGACTCAGACCAGGTAGACGTGTTCTGTCGGTGTCGCTGGTATGGAGGGGAAATGATGGTGGAGTTGACGGGAACGGGATTCCAGTACTCGCTGTTCTCGGAAATAGAAGAGCTCGTGGGGTAGGCAGCAGTAGAAGAGTTGTACCAGGTGGAGCTAGAGTACTTCGTCTCGGTGGAAGAGTTGGACCAGACAGAAGATGTGGCTGTAGCGTGAGAGGTGGTCACGGCCTTGGAGGTGGACTCGGGGTCTCCAGAATACCAGGAAGAAGTCGAGACAGTGTGGTGGTACCAGGAGGTCCAGTTCATGGAAGAAGACGAGGTAGTGTCAAAGTCTCGCTCATAGATGGGAGCAGTAGTGGAAGAGTTCCAGATCGAGGTGGGGCTAGCTGAGGACTCGACGGAGCTCCAGACCCAGGAAGAGGTGTTCACAATGGGCGTAGGAGTGGCTGAAGAAGAAGTGTTCCAGAGAGTAGTGGGGGAAGCAGAAGAAGAAGAAGAAGAAGTCCACCAAATGGATGTGTTCCAAGCGGTGGAAGTCTGCGTCTCAGACTCGGTCCACCAGGTTGAAGAGTTCCAGGCAGGGGTAGACGAGGTAGCAGTCTCAGTCCACACGACAGTGGAGGTATTCCAGAGAGTGGTGGAGGAGGTAGACGTGTTCCAAATGGGAGTAGGTGTAGCCTGAGCGGTAGAGGTGTTCCACAGAGCAGAGGTGGAGTACCAGTATTCCTCATCTTCGTCATCGTCCTCGTCCTCTGTGTCTTCATCATAGTCATACTCGTCGCCGTCCTCAAACCCGGTGGGAACTGGAACAGCTCGTTCAACATTAGTAGGATACGCAATGGTCGAGGTGTTGGAAGCGGTCAAGATCGCAGTGGAAGTGTTCCAAGCAGAAGAAGCTGAGGAGAACGTAGAAGATTCCACCGGAGTGGAGCTGTCGACGTAATAGGTGGTGGGACCAACAGACTCGGCCGAAGTGGTCCTGTTGTTCCACATTGACTCCAGAGAAGAAATGTCCGACATGAGTTCGGACCAAATGGGCAGAGTGGTATGGGTACCATCATCAGACCAAGAGGAAGAGGTGGTCAAAGAGGCAGAGTAGTTGGTCGAAGGAGAAGCTGAAGAAGAAATAGTAGTCGTGCCATTGGTCGCATTGTACAGGTTGTACTGAGCGGAAACCACAGCTGCAACAGCTGCCAGGGTGGCGATTGGGAACTTCATGGGTGTCTTGGAGGGAGAGAAAACGGGTTCTTCACCTCATCATCTTGAGCTATATATATGTTTCCTCGTGGCAGGTTGAAAAGTTCCCGAAATTCTCTGTTTCTACCACTTTGAGTGGACGCAGAGAGAGTAGGGTGCAGTAACCCCTTGTGGCAGCAATAGATAGAATTCGCAAATGAGAAGATTTCATGCTCCGAGCTTCTCTAGAACTATCTTGCGGGCCGTCCATCTGCACCTGCTCCATTGGGGAGGTACTGCGGTGACGTAGTGATGGGTGATGAGATGACCGCGGCTAACGGTGTAGATCACTGGTGGGGGTGGCTTGAAAGGTTGATTTTCACGAACAATGAGTTGAGGTGGAAAAGAGAGGAGTTGACTGGATGAAAACTGATATCTTTTTTCTCAATTAAATCAACTCTGCCTTATCATAATCCTCTCAATTACTTATATTGAGGTACGCATAGCTGTTAAATGAAGGTACAGTTTTGTGTGCCAGCTACTTTATGTAAAGGGTACATAGCGTAGGTAGTCTTACAAAAGCACAGCACTAGAGGTTGTCTATAGTAAAAACAATAAAAAATGACGGCAATCATTGAAAAAATTCTTTGTGTCTAAAGAGTGGCTCTGGGATGTCCCCCGCCCACGTGGAGGTCTGCCTACCAAGCCGTCAGACGTCAGACTTCTGTCATTCGCGAGAAGTCGCGATAACGGTAGCGGAGCCAGTCGGAGATATGATAGTTTCAAATTGAATGATGAGATTTCAAGTGGTCAAGTTCTCATATCCTCAGCAGTTAGTTTCACTTTCTCTCAAGCTCTCGGTGTATAGTTTCCCCTATTGATACAGTAATATATTGGAAGAATGATACACATTCAGATTGAAGCTAATTCCAACATCATTGCTAACCATACCAGTGTTCATGTGTCATTTCCAGATTCCTTTTTTTCTCTTTCCCACAGCCTCTTTCATGTAGTCACAACTTGCTCTGTTCGTACCACCAATATGAGCGCCTACACTATGCATGAAGAAATCAATTTCGAAACAACTCTTCTTACGCTTGGTGCGAATTATACGTAACTATGTGTCCTTATTGAATCCATCTTGTATGCTATGTCGTATAACAGCTTGGTTTATACAATATCCTGCTATTCTATGCTACTGTACTGTATTGTACTGGATGTACATACTCTACGCCTTAATATACTCGTTAAGAAGGTGGTAGTCATTGTCTATGAGCTGTAATTAAAAGAAACGAGTGTTGATTTTCTGTTTCACCACATTTTTACGGCCGTATCTACGAGACCATCAAGTGTAACTGTCGTATTTTTTTTATTCGAGCCCGATATCTCCTTCCCTGTTGGGTCAGAAGTGTGTGTAGAGAAAATCTCTCAACATCATGTGAATATCGTGGAGAGAAGGACAGGTGCAAGAGAGTTCATTTCGAAACGAAAAATTGACTTGAAATGGGATTGTCAAAGAGTACATGACCCATAGCCGCCCTGGTGGGTCCTCTATGGCAAGTGGACACTGACACTTCCCTAGATTAGAGATGCCATCTGCCTCGTTTACGAGACAATAGATAGATACCCAGACATGTGAATATAACTTATATTGTGATAATAAATCATTTGTAAAAGTTCTTGAAGTTGGTAATACGACCAGACCATTTCAAGTTTGTCTCTAAGCCGAAGCTGACATACCGAAGCTGACATACTTCTGCTTACTGTAGATGATAGCTGTACACCGTTCACATGAAAACAGCGAAGGCATGAAAGAAGTGTAGAGTGTCTCCTTATAACCTATATTATGCATTGTGGATCTCTGCACTTGTCTTCTCTCAAGCGCCTCTCTCTGTCAAGCCACAGCCGTCTCTCGTTATCTCTTACTCTATACATATGCGTTTGGACAGGGTAATGAGCTGGAGTTGCAAGCACTTGAGAAAGAACACGGTCACTGGGGAGTTATGACTGATAGCATATCTGACTTACTCATTCTTTTGTGTCTTTTTATCCAGTACAGTACATTCATACATACAGTACATACCTATCAGAAGCCTTATCTTCTGTTGCTTCGTGTTGAGCCATGCCCGAAGTCTGATCTGGTGCAAGAACTACAAGACGGCGTGAGGTACAGTAGTAGATACTGTATACATAACAGGGTACTCGATACAAGTGTTTGCAACGGATGGTATTGCTTTCAACGTTCGTAATAGGCCCCAACTAGTATTCTATCCCCTACTGAAGCTCGACCACTTCTTTCGGCACCAGTCATTGGAACAACAGTACATAATGGCCTAATTTCCCTTGACCATCAAACACACCCCTTTTACACATTGCAAGAAGTCCATCAGTGGATGTCGCAATTACAGTATACAGTACTGTACATACTGTATGTACTGCATTTTCGATACCCGGTAAACCTCGCCCTTCAACTCTCAATTCTGCCACCATGTGCGACACATAATCATGATCCGATATTTCGAGGAACAGTAGCACATATATATAAGTATCTGTTTTCAAAAATCGTCGGTATTTTGAATGAGTGGTCAAAACGAGCTCGAAGCTCCGTCTTGTTTGCCACTCAACTCGACGACAGTGGCAGTTTCTCTTTCATTTAATATTATGGCTCATTTTGGTGAGTCCCAAAAACGCGTCCTTAATTAGTGACCTGTCGTGGTCGTGCACGAGTAGGGTAACTGGGCAATATGGACGTGAAGAAGGGTTTGGAGAAAAGATGAGTTTTATATATCAGCAACAGATATCACTCCGACAAGCTGATTAATCATTAATATCAAACACAACTCTTGCCATTACTTAACCATAGACTTGCACCACGCCAAGTTGCAGCTTTGTACTGCCAGGTCCGTCCCAACTCTAACCTCCAGTATGCACGTAGGCTGTAAATTCACTTGGGCCAAACCTCTCCGCACACAGCTAACCAACCACTTTACACAACCGCCATCACCGACTCATGAGCGCCACGAAATCCGCCGGCCCCACCACGTTGGCTAACCACCTCGACAAGGAGGTTAAGACCGACGTGCTTGGCGCTATTGACTCCGACAAGCTCACCGAGGCAACACAGGGCGACCACAAGGCCATCAATGAGGAGTACAAGATCTGGAAGAAGAACAGCCCGTATCTGTATAATGTGGTTATTGCCACCGTCATGGACCACCCCACTCTGACGGTGGAGTGGCTGCCTGATCTTTTTGACGACATCACCCCGGGCAGTATGAGTGCCCGTCTCATGTTTGGATCTCATAGCTCAGGTCTCGACAAGGACTACATCCACGTTGCATCCGTGGAGCTACCCACTCACCTGCGACCCGAAACTATCGGGCTATTGTCCCAGCAAGAGGGGGGTACTGACATGAAGCAGCATCATGATGCTCACGGCCGACACAAGCGAATCGCCATTGTGCAGAGCATCTACGAGGACGGCGAGGTCAATGTGGCCCGATACAACCCGCTGGCATCGAAACAGATTGCCGCCGCCCATGTCACTGGCGACATTCACATCTTCGACCGCAACAACATCATGAACTCCAAGGAAGAGGCTAAGCCCATCTACAACCTCAAGCATCACACCAAGGAGGGCTGGGGTCTCAACTGGAACATCAATCATGCCGACCAGCTGGTCAGTGGCGCCATCGACTCTACCGTGGCCTTCTGGAAAATCCCCGAGGCTGCCTCTGACGGTTCCTGCAAGGACGTAACACCTCATACCGTCTACCACCATGACGCGGCCGTCAACGACGTCAAGTTCAGCTACAAGATGGACTTTCTGATCGGGTCCGCCTCGGACGACTGCACCCTGCGATTGTGGGACACCCGAAAGCCCGGAAACAAGGCCGCTTGCACCATCAAGGAGTCTCGAGGAATCAACTCGCTGGACTTCAACCCCCACAGCGAGTTTCTGGTCGCAACAGGCTCAGCTGACGAGACCGTCAAGGTGTGGGATATGAGAAAAATGGACACTCCCATTTCGCAGCTCTACTCCCATTGCGACGAGGTGACCAAGGTGCAGTGGTGCCCCCACCAGCCCTCGGTTCTGGCATCTGGAGGACACGACCGAGCCATTCTCGTGTGGGATATTGCTCGTCTTCACGACGATCTCAGCTCGGATGAAAATGACGAGGGACCTCCTGAGCTTCTGTTCCATCACGGAGGCCACAGCTCGCGGATCTCCGACTTTGACTGGCATCCTACTTTGCCCTGGGTCATTGCTTCTGCTGCTGAGGACAATGTTATTCAGGTGTGGCGAATGGCTGAGAGTATCAGTAACGACGAGGCTGTTCCTGCTGATGACGTTGATATGGAGGACTAAGGAGGAAAACTTTTGTATAGTTAGCTAATATATGTATTTGTAAGAGTGGAGTCGTAGCTCATCTGAATGTGATTCCTGGACTTTACAGATACTACAAGTAGCTGTTACCGTACCTACTGTACCAGAATTGCTATTATACAATCATTATGCTATATGTTTATTTGTTATCCGTGTCAGTAAGCAAGTAGCTCACTCGCGCTTCTCTTTTTCCACCTAATTGTTAACCAAGTACCGCAGTCGCCATTCTCGCTGGAACTTCTCCTGCAAATCCGACAGCTGTCGGATCAACGCGTTGCAAGCATTTGTGAGGGCCTCCTGTGGCGAATAGTCGTCTTCGGTCTGGATTCGCAGCACAAAGTTGGCAAATAAAGGATGTTCCACCTTGTAGGCCGCAAAGATGACCCGCGAGTCGTGTAGCAGTTGTGATCGGAGCAGGTTGCCCAGTGTGTGATCTTCTTTCTCGAACTTGATGTTGGCGCAGTTGGGAATTCGAGTGTCCGGGGTGACCTCAAGTCTGTGTTAGGGGAGATAAGAGGAAAACGCTGTCACACATGCGATGGAGGTAAAAACGACATCGTAGCATGAAAGCTGTGGCGAAGAGCCTGCTCACAAAGGCCGTCCCATGGAGAGAGACTCGTTGATAGTGTCTCTCTCGTACAGACCCCATCATCATCACTGTAGCATAAAATGATCGAATCTGCACATTTCTACGTCGGACCTAGAACCACGGTAAACACTTGACCGTCCCTGATACACTGGCATCGCTTCAGAACATCAGATCAGTCTGTGTCCAAAACAGTCTTGAGAGTCGAAGAAGCAGCCCTGGTGCACGATCGTCGTTTATCGTCCCTTTTTCTCGCCAGATACTCACTTTGGGACTCCATCGGGAAGCAGAAACAACTCGAATCTATCGGGAGCGTTCATTTTTGGTTGTGTATGTGTTGATGCTGATAGTGACGGTGACGCCTGTGTGCCTACACAATCTCGCGATGTTTCAGGTAGGGTAATTTGGGTTTGGGAGTGGCTGGGAGTTCGATTCGGTGGTCTGCGTGTTTTTGAGTTATCATGTGTGGAGATGAGAACCTGATGAAGATTTACAAGTAGTTCATTTTTTGTAAGATCTGTTCAATTTACAGAGAAAAATCGTATTTTTTCTTGAATACTGGTGAGCGTACAGTATTTGTAGTCTTCTATGATGTTCTAAAAAAGACAGGAAAGGCTCTCAGGTTCTGACACTTACGATCATCATACGCTCGAGATGACAGTCTGATCTGATCCTGTAAGCCCTGGAGGCTTCCATAGTATGACCCAATTGTACGTATATTACCAATATAGCCATTGTACATCACTTTCCAATGTAACACAGTTCTGCTGGCTGCTTATTAGTGCTAACATGGAGACTCGAGAACAAGGCTACCATAGACGAAGACATTGACCCCTGTCGAGACCAAAGAAGATTGAAAGCGGTCGGAAAGGAAATCAGCCACTTCTGCTTGTGTCACCAAGCCGGCGACAGGGTCTTAGTTGTCTTATTCGCCATGAATTTTGTATTATTCACCTTGCTCTGCAATATGGTTGAGTTGCAGGAGTTGCCATAATGGACAAGAACGACAATAAACGTGATAACGCACAATATGTGGGTTAACAGCCCTGTTCATTCAGATACTCATTGCAATATATTGATGGCTTTTCATCTTTCTAATGCGTCTTCCTCTCCTGTCCAACTTTCCTGGTTATTATCCATTCCCCAGATTCAATTACCCCACCATGCATGTCCCCTCCAAGTCCCTTGCATCTAGACCCGCCAATATGGTCATCCACGCAATCTCTATAGACCAATCTTTGGTTATTGTAGCGATGGACATTAGCTCCGCTCTCTAATCCAGTGTTGTTGTTGTTGTATTATACATCTATACAAGAAGAAGAACAAAAAAAGGACCCTTCACCAATAGTTCTACCCACGGTACTTGTAGCTCGCTTAAGGCACATTCACATGGTTTCAACCTAATCATGGTGGGGCAGGTTCGGATAAATAGAAGCAGGTCTCCAGAGCTAGTGGCCACCACTGAACCACCATTATGAGCGAAAAGCTCCGCGAATTAAGGAGACGTCGAGAATTACCTCCTTTACCTGGGTGAGTGAGTTGTGTCTGTTATGGAGCTTGTAGCTCTTGTTGTGTGGCCGGAGGCAGTTGTACTGCAAGTGACGGGATTTTTCCCTGGGTGAAGAGCTACAAACCACTGCCAAAGGAGTCCAATACTCTCTGGCCGTCTCTACCAACACTATCTACAGTATGTGCCAGGCCCGGACATGAACTGCTACATTGTTCCTGATGAGTAAGCGTTTTATGCAGGCCTCTGCGTGTCTCAGATTAGGGTTGTAGACCCTGTCTAAGAACCGGTTACAGGTTATGACCAAAATATCTGGAAAAAAATGAGCTCTCTTTTCGGAGTCACCCTAACACAGCCCAAAAATCCCCAGCAACCGTTCCGGTGAGTATCTTGCCCGTTGGTCATTTTTCTGTCGCATAGTGTTGTGTGATGCAGTCATGCATTCCTCATGTAAGAGGTTATGACGCTGGCCCAATTTGAATTTTGCCTACTCTGTTTCCTTGCATCTTTCGCATCAGCGGACGACAAAAACGTGAGTGTCTAGCGGCTTCAAAAGCGGCCGAATGAGGCAGAGACAAGACGCGGCAGGCATATGACGTTGCATCGATCGATCCGCCAAACTACCGACTAACCCAGGACCCCCGCAACACATTTATTATTACTCCCACACGTCCATTGGCGTAATTACTGTGAGTATTACAAAAGGAGTATGAAGAGGGGTGTCGGAGACATGGAGCGACGGCGACGACGGCAAGGCTGCCACAAAGGGTGGGCCTGGACGATGACCCTGAAACTGGTTTTGACGATGATATTCCTGACGTGTTGTTCAGCTGTTACTTCAAACTAGCCGAAGTGCGGCGCCCGATCAACAACGTCTTATCTACGAATCGGGGCTAGAACGATACTGCTGTTGTTATGGTAACAACTACAACTCGACTGAGCACATATTCTTACACGTTTGTCTGTGTTGCTTCCGTGCCTGTGTTTGTGTGTCTGTGGTGCCGTTTCGCCCACATGCAGCAGTATTGATTCGACGTCACCAGGGTGTATCAAGTCACATGCATCAAGCTGTGGTGTAGCAGAGGACATGGAACCCCGACGTCGTGCGATTTCATTGTGACATGGCCATTTATCATCATCCCCGGCCTTACTGTGTCAGTTGCCCGTTTGCCTCGTACACCTGTCTGACCGTGCTTTGTGCCATAAATCACACTTCGACGTTGCCTCTATGCAGCTGGTCCCAACCCAAAATCATGCACCTCATACTAACTCAGACAATGGACCAACCACAGGAGAAACCAGCATCCAACGCTACGTCTCCCAAAATGTCGCCAAAGACTGAGCCCGAGGCGGAATCCGGAGCGGCTCCTGCTATCACTACTGCTCCTGCATCCACCCCGGCTGCTGCCGTCCCCGCTCCTGACGCCGCGTCTGTCGCAACACCCTCAGCAACACCAGTCGCAACATCATCAGCAAAAGAAGCATCCACCCAGGCAGCACCCACCACCACCGCTGCTCCTGCTTCTGATGCCCCGGTTGCCACCGCTCCCCTCGCAACCAGTGTTCCGCCTACTGTGAAACCGGAGGAGAGTGTTCCTGCTCCTGGCCCCGCCGGCAGTGCTTCTACCACCACGGCGTCCACGTCAGCAGTGCCAACACCCGTACCTGCCACAGCACCAGCACCTGCTGTTCCCGCTGTCGCAGCACCCCCTTCCACTGGCTCTGCTCCACCTTCTACTGCGGGCCCCAGTTCGGCTTCCCCGGCTCCTCCCCATCCTGCTCCTCCGGCCTCTGCGCCCGCTCCTGCACATTACCACGGCTCTCCCCCTCATCAGATGCACCCCGGCCCTGTCCCTGGACCCCGAGGCTCGCCTGCTCCTCCTCAGCAGTCCCAGCAGCACACTCCTCAGCCTGGGGCACAACCCTCGCCCGCTGGAGACATTGAACACATGCACCATATGCACTTGCCACCGCGAAACCACTCGCAGACCAGCGTGTACCGTGCACTCAATGTGACTGATGCGCTCACATATCTGGACCAGGTGAAAATCCAGTTCAGCGATAACCCGGACGTGTACAACCGGTTCCTGGACATTATGAAGGACTTCAAGAGCCACACGCTCGACACCCCAGGCGTCATTTCGCGTGTCTCCAACCTTTTCCGAGGCTTCCCACATCTCATTGAGGGCTTCAACACGTTCCTTCCTCCCGGATACCGCATTGAGTGCAGTGGCGATCCCTCCGACCCCCATCCTATCAAAGTAACCACCCCCGCGGGTACTACTACTGGTGCCGAGATGGGTATTACCCAAGGTCAGCAGCCTCAGCCTCATTTGCAGCAACAGACTCAGCAACAGCAGCAGCAGCAGCAGCAAGGAGGTCCCCAGCAGCAACAGGGAGGTCCCCAGGGTGGTCCTCAGCAAGGAGGCCCTCAGGGAGGCCCCCAAGGCCCCCCTCACATGCAGCACCCTCACATGCAGCAGCACCCCCACCACCCCCCTCCACATGGAGCTCCTCTCTACGGTCCTCCCTCCGAGCAGGCCGCTGGACAGTCTCTTCAGCAACTCTCTGGAGTAGATAACCGAGCCTCCCCCAGCGAGCCCAGCCGCCGATCTGGAGCACCCGTCGAGTTCAACCACGCCATCAACTACGTGCACAAGATCAAGAACCGGTTTGCTGACCAAGAAGAGACTTACAAGCACTTTCTGGAGATCCTGCAGACCTACCAAAAGGAGCAGAAACCCATTGGTGAAGTGTACCAACAGGTGACAATCCTGTTCCGCAACGAGCCCGACCTGCTGGACGACTTCAAGCAGTTTCTGCCTGACACTAGCGGTGAGGCTGCTGCTTATCTGGAGGCTGTGGGTCAACAGCAGCGTCTTCCTCCCGTTGGAAACTTTGCTCCTGCCTATCCTGGTCCTGTTCATCAGCCTAGTGGAACCCCGGGGGCTGCAACTGCTCCTCCCCCTTCTACTGCTGCTCCCTCGGTCAAGAGAAAGCGATCTTCTGTCAGCGAATTTCCTACCGAATATAGCAATATTCGAGGCGGGGCTGCTGCTGCTGCTGGAGCTGCGAACAAGCGGAAGAAGGAGGACTCTCCTTCCCTTCTGCCCACGCCCTCTCCATTGGCTCCCACTTCTGGCAACGATGCTCTCGTGGAGGAGATCTCCTTCTTCGACCGAGCCAAGAAACACATTTCCAACAAGGCTGTGTACAACGAGTTCCTAAAAATTCTTAACCTCTTCTCCCAGGGTCTCATTGACAAGGCTACTCTTGTGGAGCGAGTGGAGGGCTTTCTGGGTGGTTCTCACGAGCTGTTTGCCTGGTTCAAGAAGTTCGTCAACTATCAAGAGAAGCCGCTGCATATCGAGAACATTGTGTTCAAAAAGTCGCATCTTGAGCTATCGTTGTGTCCTCCTCTGGGCCCCTCCTACCGGCTGCTTCCCAAGTCGGAGCGGTTCATGCCCTGTTCCGGACGTGATGAAATGTGCTGGGAGGTGCTGAACGACGAGTGGGTCGGCCACCCTACCTGGGCGTCCGAGGACTCTGGTTTTGTCGCCCACCGAAAGAACCAGTACGAGGAGGTTCTTCATCGAGTCGAGGAGGAGCGTCATGAGTACGACTACTACATTGAGGCGAACCTGCGGTCGATTCAGACGCTTGAGACCATCAGCAACCGAATCGCCAACATGAGCCATGAGGAGCGGCTCAACTTCCGACTGCAGCCTGGTCTGGGACATGGCACCACCATCTACCAGAAGGTGATTCGCAAGATATATGACAAGGAGCGAGGCCTGGAAGTGATCGAGGCGCTTCATGAGAACCCTGGTATTGCTGTTCCTGTTGTTCTGCGACGTCTGAAGCAGAAGGACGAGGAATGGCGACGAGCACACCGAGAGTGGAACAAGGTGTGGCGGGAAACCGAGCAGAAGGCCTTCTACAAGTCTCTGGACCATCTGGGACTCACCTTCAAGCAGCTTGACAAGAAGATGTTGACCAGCAAGCAGCTTGTTGCCGAGTTGGCTGCTGCTCGAGTCGACAGCAATGCCACTCCTGCCGCCAAGAAGCCTCTCCTCGGTCTCAAGCCTGTTCAGCAGCTGGACTACGATTTCAAGGACTATTCTGTGTTTGGAGATGTTCTCAAGCTGGTCAGTGTGTTTCTGGAGCATAGCAGCAGTTATAGCGCTAATGATCGGGAGAAGCTGGGTGTTGTTATGGACGGTTTCCTCTGGTTGTTCTTTGGTTACGAGAGCGAGTCTGCCAAGGTCGAGGAGTTTAAGGAGGAGACTGAGGACAAGATTGACGAGGACGACAAGGAGGCTGAGGCTCGAGACAAGAAGGAGGATGACAAGAAGGAAGAGTCTCCTATCAAGGTCGAAGAGGAGAAGGAGATGAAGGATGAGTCCAAGGAGTCTACGGATGCTAAGGATGAGTCCAAGGTGTCCAATGATGCCAAGGATGAGTCCAAGGAGTCTAAGGATGCCAAGGATGATGTCCCTACCACTAACGGACACTCCAATGGAACGGCTAAGATTCGCCCATCTCTCCGTGAAATCCTGCTAAAGGCCAAGTCTCGAGACAACAGTCCTGACGCTGAGGATCCTTCTCACCCCTGGATCCACACCGAAACCCCTCTCAACACTTCCACGCCCGGCAAGCGACACCGGTTCAACCTTTTTGCCAACACCACCATCTACGTTTTCTTCCGTCTGCTGCAAACTCTGTACCAGCGACTTGTGGAGGTCAAGGCTCTGGAGGAGACTGTGTCAGCAGAGATTGCTTCTCGAACCCCCGTTGACTTTGCCGTCGATCTTAACCTCTACGACCACAAGCTGGACGACATGGGTCTGCGATTCAAGTCGAAGAACTGCTATCCTCAGCTGCTCAATCTGTCGTGTCGACTGATTGAAGGAGATGTGGAGCACCAGTGGTTTGAGGAGGCTCTGAGACAGGCATACCGAAACCGTGCCTACAAGCTATACACCATTGACAAGGTTGTGCAGGCTCTGGTCAAGCACATGCATACTGTCATCAGTGACCAAAAGTCCAATGACATTATGCTACTTTTTGAGCGAGACCGTCTAACCCCCACGTCGTCTGTTCATCAACAGATTCTGCATCGTCTCCAGGTCAAGCAGGTGGTTGACTCGGACGAGAGTCTTTACAGAATCGAGTTTGACGAGAAGACCGGACATGTGAGCATTGTCTATTTGTCTGGTGAGGACGAGTCTGTCAGTGTGGTTGGAGCTTCTGACGAGGACAAGTGGAAGTATTATCTGACTTCCTATGTCATGGCAAACCCCACCGAGGGAGTCAAGTCGGACAAGATCCGAATGCCTCTGTTGAGAAGAACTCTGGAAGACTTTGAGTCGCGTGACGAGGAGGAAGACGGGCATGTGCATTCCGATTCGATCTTTGAGACGGTGGAGCAGAATCTGCTTGTTCGAATTGCTCTGGGATCATTCAAAATGTTTTTTGTCCCTGGAACCGAAGACTGTTTTGTCCGAAAGAGTGTCAAGACTGAGCCTGTCAAGGGCGAGACTGTCCGGCAGCAAAAGTTTAAGGCCATCCAGGATGGATCTTCTACCTTCAAGCAGGGTCTGGACCAGTCTCAGATTGACACTCTGGCGTCGCACTTCGAGGCATTCAAGAATGGCGAGGTGGATGAGTTGCTGGTGGATATCAAGACTAACAGCACCAGTGATACCGAAGACCCTAACAAGACCACCGAGATGGTCGATGGAGACAAGACTGAGGAGGTCAAGGAGGAAGATGAGGGAGAAAAGGTGGAGACTGAAAAGGAGGAGGTGGAAATGAAGGAGTGAAGGATTTTTGTATGATTAATGTATTTTATTGTAAAGCTAAGTCGAATGTTATCAGCGAGTGCACAGTACATACATATTAGAGCGTAGTGAGTAGCACGGTGGGCATTGATCGAAAACGCTTTTAACCGTCAGTGTTGTAATTACTGTATATGGGTGGGGAAGTTGTGGGGTTGGTGTGAGACCACAGGTATGAATGTGAACCTGTCTTAGATCCATTTATTGTGGTGTACTAGTGTCACGAGGACTACCCCGGCAGGTATAAATAAAGGTCCTTGATCGGTGAAAGTGTCACAGAAGGAAAGGTATTAATAACATGTTTTTCTTCATTGAACTATTTTGGGCCGCGATCTTCTACTTTTGCAAGTGTGGACCATTTGAGGGGAATGGACCGGTTCCAAATGACACATTATAAGGTAACCCCAAGATGGCATTATTGAGATGATTAAAGGAAGAGAATTTGAGGAACTTGTTCATCACGCAGTAAAAAAAAAAAAAAAAAAAAAAAAAAAAAAAAAAATTCGCTGCAAATGATCTACGATACTGTAACAAAATAAATAATATCTGTCAAGTAAAAATTGGACGGCTTGAGTAAAGGTTGTAAGGACAAGTTGGGCGGGGGAGTGCGGTACAGTACGAAAACTATGGCTCCAAAGTCTATCAAACCTTTGCGAGGGCGGTCTAGCCCACAATTTGGGCCATGATACTCGCCATTAGTCGGTCTCCCTCACCTAAAGGCCTACCCCTGTATTGTCCTGGTTTCATAGACTAAAGTTTACTATCAGCACGTGAATACGACAATCTCTGCTTATCGTTCTCAACATCACTTCATTTGCAAATGACCAAGGAGCGGTACTACGAGAGCCAGGAGCGCGATTTGAAAAAGGACATCCGGTCAGTTGAACGAGCGTTATTTGGGCTCGAGGATAACGTTGAAGGAGCCAGCTTGCGAGCCCTGAAGGCCCAAAAGGAGCTGGATGAAGCAGAAGCTGATTTGGAGAAGGCTCGGCAGGAAATGAAGGTGGCCAGACAGCGGCTGGACGGATACAGAGAGCAGCTGAAGGAGCTACGTGACGCAAGAAACGGCAAGACGACGCCAAAAAAAAGCCAGATCGATACCCTGGAACTCATGAATGAAGTGGAGATAGTCAGGGGGCTGGGTTTGGACTATCTGCAGAAGCTTGAGGTTAGACCGTGAAGGGACCCGCGGAGAAAAACAAGCACCTGTTTGTGTGTCACACGTACAACAGGGCCACCGGCAGCTTTATTGCCTCCAAGCCCCATTCTCGACACTACTCTACAGTGTACATACTGTACAGCGGTTTAAGACCTGTGTCAACCATGCATGTGCCGAAGAGTTTGGGGGTTCTGGGGAGGAACTTGGGTGGTGTAACAAACACCTGGAGAGTAGAGTATGATGCGTTCTCCAAGAGTATCACTGTTATTAATGTGCTCAGGATGGACTCAGTTTATTCACACGACAATCAATATATATACTAACGTCTATTTATAACAATACACCTGATAAACCATACAGAGGTACAGTACAAGCACATGATTCACTCATTGCAATCCATTTTCTATATGCTATAAATACTTTTCTTCTAAATGTCGGTATGTTCGACTCCAAAATCAGCCAACTTTTCGCCCTCCACGTTTCTCCAGTGATCTCGTTTGTAGAAATCGTTTTCTGCCTGCATCTTTCCAGCTCCAATCCCTCCCAGAAGACAATCCGGCTCCTCACCTCGTCGTCGAAGACCGTCCTTGAGGTTCTGAAGAGGTACATTCTCAGGGTCGTAGTCCACGTGGTCCGGGGGCCAGCACAGAGGCTCGCCTTCCTCTGTGTATCCGCTCTCGTTCTTCTCAAAAGTGATTCCGTCTCCTCTAGGTTGTCCCCAGGGTAGCCAAAAGGTCAGAGGAGAACCTACAGCGTTGAAGATGTTAGTGAAGAGCTCGATATCGTAAGGGAACTCGGCTCTCTCCTCGGTCACAATTTTACGTCGAACCAGACTCTCAATACGGTCACATTCCCAGGACTCAATCTGAGTAATACCGTTACACATGTTGACAAAGACACGAATAGTGAGAATGCCAACTGTGAAGAGCACAAAGAACGAAGCGGGCAGAAAGACAATCGAGAGAATGACCTCGGTCTTGTCAAACAGGTAGGAAGGAAGATGTTTATCTCTCCACAACTTCATGATTCGGATACACAGTCTGATGAAGAGGTATCCAACAGTCATATCGACCCAGACTAAAAACCGCATGAAATGAGGCATATTTCTGTGTCCCACAGTGTTGTTGGTCCAGGGACAATGGTGGTCCATCTTGAGAACGCAGACGCCCAGGGCTTTGGAATGATGAGTTCTCTCGGGCTTATAAGCCTTGCATTTGAGACAATACATCTTCATGCCATTCTCGGGAGGCGTGTAATTTTTAGGTGGCGATCCAGGAGGCACTATGATGGCGATGATGTAAGAGATCCAGACCATGGCAGAGGCGCAGATGAAGAGAGTCAGCTCGTTGTTGGAAACATGGTGAGGCAGAATGTAGATGGCCGAGAACGTCGACAGCGTGAAGATGATTATGCACGGAATTATCACTCCTATCCACGGATTGGAGAATGTGATCATGGTGGAACTGTTGAAGACACTATAGTATGCTTGAAATCGCGTCTGATCTTTGATATGCGCTGTACATGCGTTCCACGTACCAGTACATCCCAGCTTACTAAGGAGTAGATGCATATATTAGGCCCTAACCTTGAGCTCCGTTTAGACGAAATGAATTATTGTGTCGCGGAGTCATTAAACCCAGGTTGGTCGTCGCAATTGGTAGTTATGTGGCTCAATTAGTTGCTCAGTCTCCATTTTCTGATGGAGGCTGCTCTTCCGCTATCAGACTTAAAGAAATTCATACTTTTAATTGGTCCCACTATTCAGAGTCAGTTGAAGCTTCGGGATAAAGTCAAGTCAAAGTGGGGTCAGAAAGGAGGTCGTTATCTGGTGATATTACTAAGATAGGCCTCGAATTTTGCTCAGTAATTGTAACCAGCCTGGTCTCTATACCCCGCTGTTGTGTTCGTATAACGTCACGTGACCCACGACAATGGCCTAATCGTTCCATGCGGCCCGGAAAAGGCGGCTTATCTCTCCCTCTTACAGTAAGCTAGTCCCAATAAAAAGCTTATTTTGACAACCTTCCCCAACTGAGTCACTCCCCAGATTTTTTGCAGGACACCTTCTGACTACCACCACCACCAACAGTTCACCACCACAAGCGAAAATGTCTGCCGAAGTTCCTTCTAAACTCAAGCTCTGGGGAGGCCGATTCACTGGCGCCACCGATCCCCTCATGAACCTGTACAATGCGTCTCTGCCTTACGACAAGAAGATGTACGAAGCTGATCTCGAGGGTACCCGAGTGTACACTGCGGCTCTGCGAAAGCTCGACATTCTCAACGACCACGAGCTAAGCGAGATTCACCGAGGTCTGGAAGAGATCAAGAAGGAGTGGGCCGCCGGCACCTTCAAGGAAGAGGAGGGAGACGAGGACATTCACACTGCCAACGAGCGACGACTGGGCGAGATTATTGGCCGAGACATCTCTGGCAAGGTGCACACTGGCCGATCTCGAAACGATCAAGTCGCTACCGACATGCGACTGTATGTGCGAAAGGAGCTGGGAGAGATCCGAAACCTGCTGGCCGACTTCATCAAGGTGCTTATCAACCGAGGTAAGACTGAGATGGACGTGCTCATGCCGGGATACACCCATCTTCAGCGAGCCCAGCCCATCCGATGGGCCCACTGGCTTTCATCTTACGCTACTTACTTCACCTCCGACCTGCAGCGACTGGACCAGCTCATTGAGCGAGTCAACATGTCTCCTCTGGGCTGTGGAGCTCTGGCTGGCCACCCCTTTGGCATTGACCGAGAGTACATTGCCACCGAGCTTGGCTTTGGCGGCATCATCGGTAACTCCCTTGTTGGTGTCGGTGACCGAGACTTTGTCACCGAGACTCTCTTCTGGGGCTCTCTGCTCATGAACCACATTTCTCGATTTGCTGAGGATCTCATCATCTACTCCACTGCCGAGTTTGGCTTCATCCAGCTTGCCGATGCCTACTCCACCGGTTCTTCTCTCATGCCCCAGAAGAAGAACCCGGACTCTCTGGAGCTTCTTCGAGGCAAGTCTGGCCGAGCTTTTGGCCAGCTGGCCGGCTTCATGATGTCCGTCAAGTCCACTCCTTCCACCTACAACAAGGATCTGCAGGAGGACAAGGAGCCCCTGTTTGACAACCTCACCACCGTGTCTCACTCCATCCAGATTGCCACCGGCGTCATGTCCACCCTCTCCATCAACAAGGAGAAGATGGAGGGTGCTCTTACCATGGACATGCTGGCCACCGATCTGGCCGACTACCTGGTCCGAAAGGGCGTCCCCTTCCGAGAGACCCACCACATCTCTGGTGAGGCTGTTCGAACTGCCGAAGAGCTCAAGGTGTCTGGTATCGACAAGCTGACCCTGGAGCAGTACAAGAAGATTGACGAGCGATTCGAGGAGGACGTTGCCAAGGTCTTTGACTTTGAGCAGTCTGTCGAGCGACGAACCGCCATTGGAGGAACTGCCAAGTCCGCCATTCTCCAGCAGTTTGATGCTCTTGAGAAGGCTCTCTAAGTGTACTGTATATAGGAATTTATGACGTTCAAAGTTACTGTAGAGTCAGGGTGTGCTGGAAGACTTGGATGGAACACTCCGGTTGGAGTGAACGAGTGCAGAGAAGAAGGCAACCAGGAGATATATATGACCGGATCGATGGCACTTAAATGTGTGTACCAACTACATGTACAAGTACGAGTCTTCTGTTCCTGACAAGCCTATCAAAACCCCTGAGAATCCTCTGACCAAACCTGCATTCATGCAATGCAGCTGCAACCTTCCATCTCAGGCGAGCAGCGTGGTATCAAGACCGGAGTTTGCTCCATACTTTTTGCGTCATTTTCAGCACATTTTTCAAGGGATAAAGTGAACGTCGCAGCCAACCTCTGTGATACTACTCACTCAGTCTGGGTTAAAGAAACGTAGCGTAATTATGTCCGTTCTCAGCCGCGTATGTCTATTTATAGTGAGCGGAAAGTGAGTACTTATTTTGAGCTGTGGTAGCGACCTGAATATTATCGCCGTCCTCTCATCTAATGAAGACCATGAATGCAGATCATATATCATTATCTAATTGTAGAGTGACTTAGACTACATGTAGCTACTTTTACTTGTAGTTTCCCTTGGACGGTTTTGTTACCAGCATAAACAAGCGCTCGTGAAAGATGTTACTATAGTTCCCCTTGAAGTTAGCAAAGGCAGTGAAAAATTTCACTGTCTAGCTTGTGTTGATAAAATTGTGCTGATAAATCTACAAGTATACCAGGGACCCTGTTACTTTTACATATCAATTGACTGACATACTTGCATCTTTTATAGGTCAGCATCGACATCTCCATTTCTATCGCACAGACGTTGCGCTGGAGAACTCTACACAGTACAAGTATATCTATACCCTACAACATATCTAATATCATTCACTCATTCACATACTTAATTCTCCTTGTTGGACCGTTAGTGGCGTGTGGTGTACTCTCGTCTTATTGTGCGCGATAGTGGGCTCACACAGGCCATGGCGTTTGTGTTAGTTTTGCGGGCTCTGCCGCGAGACGCCGTATCGTTCATCGTCATATCCGCTCGTCTTAGCTCCGTTCTCCTGCTGTCCCCTAGTTGTTCTGGCTCAGCTGGCTGCTCTCTTTGATAGGCGACTGGACACCTGGGGGCGACGAGCCGCCAGGAGCACACGAACCTCCTCCACAACCGTTGTGCTGGAGCTTAGAGATCTTTTCGGGGTTGGGGTGCTGAAGTCCGACCTGGCCGGCATCTACCGAGTCGACCCGTCCAGCCCGGCTCATGGCATAATCTCCAGAGTCGAAGTACTTTCGCTCGTTGATTTTCTTGGAAAGCACGTCCTTCTGGGTAGGCAGCTTGCCGTAGAGCTTGAAAATCCGCTGCTCTTCAGGTGACAGAGACGACACGTCGACCTTGTTTGCACGGTTGGGGTTCAGAGACGACATGTGGAACGTGGTGTGTGTGTTTCTGAGTGTTGTTTCTGTGTGGTGGAGTTGGGTTGACTGGTTCGTAGCAGGTTTGGTGAGTGCTGTGTCGACTGCTATAATACTGGGCAGTACATACCGAACTGCACATAGACTCTAACTCAACTAAGTTTTGTCCCGTGTGCAGCCCAAGTGTAATGTCCAGGTCAAGACACATCCCAGACCTGAATGATACTGCTTGTGGACGGTGCGTGCTAGCTGCCGTCTGTCTTTCAATGAAATAATACCTCCGTCTCTGGCACTTCTGTCATCCACTTACAAGCACAGTGCAATTAGCATATGTTCTCCGAACTCTTGTACGGCAACCCCTCCCTCTAACATCTACTACACCTTTTTTTCTCACCTGGCCCACCAAATAACGTCGGCGTGGAACAAGCTATGTTACGAGAGCCAATAGCCACTCTCCACTATGGTCTTGGTTGTTTGTCGTCGAGACAACGGAACATTTTGGTACAAGTACAATGGAATGAACTCCGCAAATACAAAAAAACCCAACCATGTGGGGTCTTAGATCTACCCTAACCTGTAGGAGGAGGTGGCGACCTTGGAGAGAGAGGCAGAGACACACTTTCTGAGCGACGTAAAGCTCAGGTGAGCAGGCGAACCTTGCCGGGTTGTCGCTACAGGCCATTTTGCCCGCTTCCGTCTCATTTTATATAGCCAGATACCAGCCTGTGGGTACGAGCATGTGTGTTGCTGCTCTGATAGCACAGTATATCTAGAGCAAGTGGCAAATGACAGCAGAACATTTTTGCTACACATGAGTATGTACTTGTACATACTGTACCCGTCGCTTGTATCGTAGGACACTCTGATATGCTTGTATTGTCGCACTTACGATGTGATCCAGATACGAACGCAAGCGAAAAGCCATTTATTACACCTCTGCTCCATGGTACAGTAAGTACGAGTACGAGTAACTGCTTTCACATGAAGAAACACACTAACTGGCTTAGTAACAAATGTCTTGGGTCTTGTGGAACGCGCCATTACATCATGTTACCTTGGAACAGTGTTTAACAGCATGCAGACCAGGCCAAATCAAGGTCAAATCACGGACACGACCCTCATTTTGGCTCCATCGAGAGGGGCTGTGTCCCTATAGCGGCGTCCAACGGCCTACGTGGGAGACACTTGCTTCGTGCTTTTGCATACCGCTCGCTTGCATGTTGACCAATGGCACTACTGGTCCTCTGAACATGCCCCCAACGTCGGGTCATGGGAACACCTTATGGCTTTAGAGTTCCACATGTGAAGACGGAAACCACCTTTCAACAAGAAGCGAACTGAAAGCAAATGTAAACTTGGGCATGAAGATATCTCAGAACGGTATGAGACAGTTACCAGACGGTGTATTATCTGAGGCTCTTGCAACACGACAACCTGGTAAGCCAAGATACACGAATTATTTGCAGTTTGAATCGATGGTGACAGCTTCACTCGTCTGGTGGCGAAGGCCCATATTTTGTGCTGTACATTCATTCGGCAGGTAGTTCGTGAGCTGCACTTCTCGGTGGACTATCGTTTGTACAATGCAACACCTCAACCCCGCCGCCCTGACAGACCAACAGTGTCTGGTGAAAAGCGTTGGCTAAATCTAAATCGACCTGATGAACAAGACCTTGTGGAAGTAAAAATGCCGCTAATTGTTGCCTGGACCGAGCGCAGAGCCCTTCGCTTTTGTACAGGAATTACCCCATCTCATTTTTCATGGAAGTGTGAAGTCAATAGCATACTTCACCTCTCAGAAGTGCTCTTCAACTGTGACGTAAAGGAGTCTTTTACTCGGTGCTATGCAGCATTCTGCGCCTGCTACAGTAGTTCGTACAAGCCTCGACGTTGAGCAAGAATGTGCCCACAGAAGAGTGCTCAAAAACACCTCCAGATCTGCAACTGAGGTCGTGGTACTTGTACATCACGATCATCATCTCGTTTTTCCTCTAACCATACCCAATGGGGAGAGTTATTGAGCAGGGTAACATGTACCCCCGTTCACTTTAGCCCAACTTTATCAGAACCTTGTCAAAACAGCAGCTATCTGTGTGGCGTGCTTAGTCAGTGTCCCATCTACGTCATCGGCAAGACCGACGTTCAATCGGTCCGTCTGTTACGCAAATATGGAACACCAGCTTGCTGGATCAGAGATTGATTCGAGGGGGCTAACGTGACTTTCATGACCGTGCTAAAACAGCTGATGTTACAGTAAGTATAAGCGTGGTTATGTTTCTGAGCTGAGACGGTCTTGTAGTGTTTGAGAATGAGTGGGTAGATTTCTGAATGTCTCTCAATCAGACATTTCCCATGAACGGCTGCTGGAAGAAACCCATTCGATGGCTATATGCACTGATAGTTTTCGTTTGCATATCATCCAAACACCGTTTTGTAACCACAGCATACATCTTCTGAGAATTGCCACTATATCACCTACAGTAGCTGATGACATCCCGTAGCCCGACCATTGTTCTTGCTCTTACAGTAAGACCCTTTTCACCATAACTACTTGGAACAGTATCGGCGGCGATATCTGTCAGTCTTCAAGGAACAATACTCTTGAGACGTCAAAGCCGAAGTTCGGTCGGCCCTGTTGTCACATTCACGTCATTACGTCAAGAATATCAAATGAGCGGTGGGCTAGCGTCGAGTACATACTGTAGCTTCTAGACTACCATAGTGGAGCCCCAGGGAAGTAGTCCAGGTGTAAAAAGCTATCGATATGTGTGTTTGTAGCCATCTATGGTGTTGTTTTCCTGCGACTAATACCCCCATCATGTGTTGATGAGCACAGAATGTCTCATACGGTGTGGCTGACTTCTCTATCATGAGTAGATGCCTGGTAATACTGTAGCTACTATACTGTATATTACAATTTACATGCTGTACTACAGTATATGTTCTGTCTCCGCCTTCATCCGGGAAAAGTGGAGTATCTTTAAGCACAGAGATACAGCTGGAGATAATGCTCTCGGTAGCGCAAGTTGTGCATTAGCACGATCTCTGTTTTTTAGTCTAATGAGGTATCTGCTATACCCCTGTTGACTCGAGGAGCTAACCACAAACATCTTGTCGATGTTTGTGAAGCGTTACATCAGTCTACAGTTTCTACATGGGATCATTCAGAAAATACAATGGCTAATGACGTGCTACTAACAAAGTATTATGTTATTATATTAGATTAAGTAGAACTCTGGAGAAACTGAACCGAGTACACATACAGTAGCTACTACCGTAGCTACTGTAGAAGATGTCTACATTTAAAGAGAGATTCCAAGACCAGCGAGGAGGCCCTTAACCTTGTCGACCAGGGCAAGAGCGGGGTTGACCTGGCCACTGAGAAGAGGCACGTCACCGAGCAGGGTGTTGAGAACCTGATCAAGAGTTCCGAGGAGAGCAGGCAGAACGTCAAGGACGGGGCCAAGCACTGCCTTGTCGACATCGTCAACAAGCAGAACCACAATCTTCTCGAGAGTGGTGGTGATGCTGAGAACCAGAGGAGAGAGGATGATGGGAACAAGGAGTCCGATCACGGGTCCGAGCAGAGGAAGGTCCTCGAGAGCGGCTACGACGCTGTTGAGACCGGTGGTGAGGTCGGTGAAGGTCTTGGCCAGAACCTCAGCAGCAGAGGCAGAGCCAGGTTTGATGATAGAGTTAACAGATCCAACCAGCAGATTGATGACCACGCCAACAATGGAGGTCAGAGAGCCGACCAGATCAAGAAGGCCTCGCTCCTGGAGAGCGTGGGCAGTGTAGACCTCGACTGTTCGAGCGGCCAACTCCTCGTAGGCACGCTCGTTGAGAACAACAGGAGCAGGGGCAGGGGCAGGGGCAGCGTTGGGGGCAGGAGCGGCAACAGCAGCGGTGGCCAGGGCGGCAGCAAGGATCATAGACTTGGCAGAGACCATTGTGTAAGAGATTAGTTTGTGAGAAAGAAGATGTTTGTGATAGGAGATGAGGGAGGGAAACCAGGTCTTTGGGGTCTCTTATATATCCTTGGAACAGTCAACGGTCTGGTCAGCTACTCTCAACCCGGAACATTTCTCTCTTCATTGTTCAGAGTGGCGTGCATAGGGGGCTAGGCTAAGCAACAAGCAGAGGCACTAGCGGGCTCTTTGTCTCCTGGACTTGGTTATCTAGGAGTGCCTCTGGTACGTGCGTAGATGTTTAGAGGACCCCCAAGATGGACACGCGGTATGTAGGTAGGGCTCAATCTTGTTCCTGGGTGCCTGCTTGGAATCTGTATAATAGAGTGGAGAGTGCGGAGAGAGAGCCAGAGATCATCGAGATCTGCGCAGATTGTGTAGTGATTATGCGTGTGGATCGTTTCTTCAGGGAGGGAGAGAGCTACGCAGTTCAATCGAACCATCGCGACTTCTGCTGCTGTCTCAGTCTTATTCGCTTATCTAGCTGGATGATGTGATCCGGCGTGCTATGTTGGCCCCCGGCGCGACATTCTCACGTTCCCGTCCCCTTTACCAGCAGCTCTGCCGGATCGGGAAGCGCTATCTGGCGACTGCGTAACGGAACAATCGGTGGAGTAGTGACGCGTTAGGGGTGGAGGAGGGTGGAGTAGCACGTCCTGGGATGGTCATGGGATCTTGATTATAGCGTAAATTGGTTTCAGGCCGCCCAATGAGTCCTGTTTTGTGGAGGTATCTGGTTATCAATCCCAGCTGCTTAATGGTTGGTGATATTTTTCACGTCCCTTCCAATCGCTTCTTTGTTCTGACAAGCGTTGTGGTTACTGTGGTTCCTGCGGTTGAACGGAACAGGGTTTGTAGTCTATCCATAGCGAGTAATATTGTGAACTGAAGGAGACAATACCACCTACTGAAATGAAACGAAGGGGACACATAAATTGAAAAAACAATGGGCCCCACTACATTTACATTGCCACAAAAACGATTTAAGCACCCTGTATTACTTGTGGCTGGTACCACTGTATTACAACTACTGTACTAGCTACCCAGAATTGCGTCATACACTCAGATAGCGTTTAATTGTTCTCCCAGATACTCCCAGATACAAGGGCTCGAAGAAACTAGACACAAAAAACAGAGCTATTAATCGAGCGCGACCAGAAAAAACGTTCACCATGGAAACAGCGCAAGCCCAAGCTTCGGCGGGTAACTCCTTGGGCGCTCCGAACCCCCCACCTCCTGATTTATCGCGAGGTGATGGAGCCACCTCAACCGAAACCCCCAACCAAACCGACATTGAAAAAATCCAAAAAAACGACAAAAACGATGAAAACAACAAAAAAAACGACAAAAACGACAAAAACGACAAAAAAAACGACAACAATATCACCCTCAACGCCTGGAAGAGCAAGGCCGAAGTCAAGGCTCTCCTGACATCGAACCCCTCCACACTCAAATTCAACCTCAACAAGGAGCGAATTTCGGAGCCCCTTGCGGCGCCGAATGGTAGGCATACCTCCGGCCGTTTCAACGTGTCCTATGTAGCCAGCAAGGAAAACTTCTTCCGAAGAGCTCTTGACCGCTCCGCCACCCCTGATTGGAATCTTCCTATCTCCATGTTCCTCGAGCACCTCGATAACGCCGCTGAAGTCGACGAGAAGGACACCATCAGTGTCCTCGAGGGCGTCATCGAAAAGTTCGACGAGATCAAGGGTCAGGTTGGTCTGGCGGAGTTTGACCTGTCCAGGCACAACCTAGACATCGTCCCCCACCTGATCGACCAGATTAACTTAGAACAGGACCCTGAAGACTGCTACCAAGTGGGAAATGGTTGGCACTACCTGACGTCGGACGCCCTCACTGACCCCCACGAACAACGAATGGCTGTCATTCTGGAGACAGTTAGTCTCATTGTTGAGGCCAATACTCAAGATTATCGCATCATGAGGAAGGGCTCGGCTAACCCTGCTGGACGAAGAGTACTTTACTACTTCAACCTACCCTCGTACATGAAGATGGAGCGTCAGACGGAGGATGCTTTCAAGATCCACCTCAACGCTATTCTCAACCAGTTCGACGTAGACATTGATCAGGCCATTCCAGGTTCCTCCCTCTTGAGTGGCACCCTTCTGATGACCTCTGCCAACCATCAGAACATCTCGGGTCCTGTGATCGCAGTTCGTGCTCTCCTAGGCTCCACCCTGCCCCAGACCATCCCCGACTTCTTCGTCAACCTGGATCCCACCAAGGCTAGGCTTACCGGCTCAAAGTTGATCAAGATGCACTTCGCCAACGGCGATAACATCTGTGTTAAGTGCAAGAGCACTAAGCACATCCGGGAGGCCTGCCCCGAGAAAGACATGGTCACTCCCAAGATCTTCCGCACCCGCGCTCACCAGGGTACCCTCCCACAGAGAGGTAAAGCCCTTGCTTCCATCCATGCCCCATCCACCGTGGAGCCCCCGGTCCAAACTCGCAAGTTCCACCACACGCCTGCTACTCACCAGTGGGAGACCGTCGGCACTAAGTCCCCTAGACATAGACGGACTCGAGACACGTCCCCCCAACCCACCGGTCAGAAGCCCCTCCGATCTTACTACAACTTTGAAGTCTTGAGCGACAAAACCGGAGAGGACACACCCGAAGAGACCGAGCAAACTAACCAGCTGCCCTCTACGAACCAGCAGCATGGAACTCAGAATCTACCCATCAACATCCCCGCCTCCGAGGAAGACACAGTTCCCGACGACCAGGAAACGGAACCGGCTGACGTATCCATGAACGGCTTTGACGCCCAGCCTGACGCACTTGCTCACCCTGAAGTAGCCCCTGATGTCACCCAGTTTCTTCCCCCCGCTACCCCGCTTAACACCGAGGCCACCAACAACGGCCTTCCCCACGACCACACCAGTCCCAACACGACCAACCAAACACAACCCCCCCCCGGAAGTATCCACGAGGGCCGACCCCGAGGAGGGCACACCACCTCCAGTTTCTCTGGCGAGCCCTCTCACACCACGCTCGGCAAGAAGCACATTGCGGTCTTCCAGACCGCCTCGAGCGAGGTTCCGGTGCAAATCCTGAACCCGGACAGGTCGGAGAACAGACTCTGCTGGCTGCCTTCTCAGGAGGTAGCAAAGTTCATTGACGGGAGGTGCCCGACATTCCTGTCTACATGCCACTTCAAAGTTTTCCACGATGGTGCGACACTCAGCTCGGTAGACGAGATTGTAGAACCCCCGAACAGTCCCCCGAACCCCCCTAGGGTGACCACTCTCCATGAGGTGGACACAATGCTCCGACCGGGGCAGAACCAGTAAGCATGTCTTTCACCTCTACTACCACCCCTTCTAAAGCCCCATGTAAGAGCACCCAGGCCAAAATGAAATCTCCGAATGTTAAAGTCATCACGGCTAACATCGGCGGTTTTAAGATGGCGGAAGCGCTTAACCGATTACCCGACACCATTGTAAACATTATTCGAACTACTCACTACCCCGATCTCGTCCTTCTTCAAGAGACGAACTGGGTGGACTCCTCCCTACAAACCGCTCAACAAATCATTTCAAACTCGCCCTACCCGGGGGGCAGACACTACACCCTCCTCGGCTCCACAGCTGGTGTTTCTAATAGAAGCGTCGGCGTGGGGCTAGTCTATTCCGACAACGTCACCATCACAAACTTTACAACAGTTTTTGAATACTTCCCAGCCCTAGACAACAGACTGTGTTTGGCCGACGTGCACATCAAAGGCACCGACAGACACCTATCGCTGATCAACGTATACGCACCAAACGAGCAAGGAGCCTCCCCCTTCACTAACCGGCAGTTCTACCAGTCACTAGACGACTATCTACGCCTCCATCCCTGCCAATACCCCCTGATAGCGGCAGGCGATTGGAACGCGGTCGCCTCCAACGACGGCAGGATTGGCGAAAAAGTGACGACTCACCTTAAGGACTTCTTAGCTAACTGGGACTTACTAGACACCTACACTCTAATCAGCAAACACAGAAAAGGCCTTTACACTCACACCAACAACAGCCGCGGAGCTGGCAGGCGCCTGGATCAGCTGCACATCTCTTCGACACTCTCACAGTGGATCAAATCCACACAACTGGTAACCAACAAGCAGGGTCACAACATCACAAAGTCCTCTCACCACGCGGTCCAATTCGTCTTTAACTTTGGCAACCTCACCCAGCGACAAGACAGAGGCCCAGGCACCTGGAGGATGCCCTGGTGGGTTTTTGACACAGAGTACATTGCTTGGCTCAAGTTCCACGTCAAATCCATTCTGAAGCGATATGGTCCTTTGAAGCCCAGCCTGAAGCTGCAATGCCTGAAAGAAAACATTAAGGTCACCATCCAACAGGAAGCCAAAAACCGCGCACTTCGAGATTCCAACCACCCAGACAACAGACGCCGCGAGGCCCTCATGGCAACAGCCTCAGACTGGCAAGCCTACCCAGCTAACGAGCCATACCCGATGCTCCATGCTCGGGTCGAACAATCCAAGCAACAGATGGAGATCCACTCCCTACGGAACCACCAAGGCCGAGTGAAGACCGACACCTCCTCTCTCTGCGACATCTCAGCTCGATACTTTGACAACATCTTCGACAGAGCTGCCGATATCAACGACACCGACGACAGCGCCTTTTTAGACCTCTTCCCCGAAGAAACCCGGAGGGTGAATACAGCTAACCCAAGCCTGGACTCGTCTTTTACCAAGGAGGAGATCTTCGATACCATCAAGGCGTCTACGCACAACAGCGCGCCAGGGCCAGACGGCATCCCGTACAGGTTCTACCGCGACTGCTGGGATGAGCTGGGGGACTTGATGACGGACGTCTACAACGAAGCTGGAGCCGACTCGCCCATCAGCACCGAACGCAACACCGCTATCATCAAACTACTGTACAAGTCGGGAGATCAGGCCGACATCTCCAACTACAGGCCTATTTCTTTGATCAACACAGAGGTGAAGATCTACACACAGCTCATTAACAAAGCCATCCAGAACATTCTTCCGGACAGCATTCACGGCGCCCAAAACGGTTTCGTACCGGGTCGACACATCACTAACAATCTCGACACCATGGATCATTTTTGCAACGCCTACTCCCAGCTGAACATGGGTTGGGTCGTAGGATCACTGGACTTCCGGAAAGCCTACGACACTATCAGCCAGAGTTGGGTGATAAAGACGCTTCGAAATGTGGGTGTCTCGGAACTGATGATCAACCGTATCCTAGCTGTACAACAGAACGCAGTAACGAGAATCAACATCAGAGGTGTCCTATCTCGCCCAGTCCGCATCAAGATCGGAGTGAGACAAGGATGCCCTCTCTCTCCAACCCTCTTCATCATCGCAGTAGACGCACTTGTGCGTCGTCTGGACCGAGAGATGTTTGGACTGGCCCCAGGCCTGCCACTATCCCACCACCACACCACTGGGCACAGGCCGCCACAACCCCCTACTCACCCGGAGGCAGTGGCAGCTGGACACATGAAGGTGTCGGCTTTCGCGGACGACATAGCGGTGTTCCTCAACAACATCCAGGACGTGGCCACGGTTGGTAGAGTGCTCTGCCTCTTCCAACGGGTCTCAGGCCTCACACTAAACCCGTCAAAGACGGTGCTTCAGAAGATCGGCCCCCCCCCCGATTGTTTTGTTCCACTAACCTTTATTGACGCAGAATGGCAGCGAACAATTGACGCCACCTGGCCAACCGACAACAACACACGACAGGCCCCGACGCTCCGGACATCTGACAACATTTTCCGGTACCTCGGAGTACACTTCGGAAATCGCGAAAGGTTGGACACGCACTACGCTCAGATCAAGGAGGACCTCAAGGAGTCGCTGCGACGCCTTTCACTATGGGGTCTCCCCTATTACAGCAAGGCGTGGATGATCAACATCTACTTCTTCTCGAAACTGAATTTCCTTGGACCCTACGTCAGCCAGATCGACAACACCTTCATCCGAGAGCTGAACGAACTAGCGTGCGACAAGATCAACAAATTATCACCCGACAAAACACGCAAAACCTTCAGCAATGGTTTCATCCAAACTCCGGTAGGCAGAGGAGGACTGAACCTGCGGGACATGGGACGTTTCATGGTGTGCCTGAAGGCCGCTCGGGCTTACAGGTTCTTCCATGGCTCATCGCCGGCCCTTTGGGACTGCACCTTCCAGTTCTACAGCAGAACTCACAGTCTCACACAGGAAAAGCCACACCAGCGCGTCGACTGCCGCTTTCCGACAGGCCAAGCTTGGGGCTACGCAGCCTCCCCCACCATGCGAGACGCAATCAGAGCTTCTTTCGAGCTCAACAAGCCCCTCACCGCGGAACATGCCAACCCTCGAGAAGATCACGAGCCCTCTACAACAGACACAGTTAATCACAGACTCTGGGAACGAAACCAGGTGAACGTGAGAGCAGCAGAATCTTTCCGGGAAGCGCACGTCGACATCGCAGCCGCGAGACGATACCATCCGGTCAGAATGGTGTCCACAGCGGAAATCGACCACCTCCGGTGGAGCATGGGACCACTTACTCTGGAGAACTTCATGTTTCACAAGACCTCGTCTCCCGACTTGCCAAACTTCCCACAAACACTTGCACGACCGAAGAAGTGGACTCAACGAAGCGACTACGGGGGCATCTCTGACGACATGGTCTGGCAGGAGGTAATGCATGACCTTCGAAAACACTACATCGCCGACGCCAACAAAGCACAAGTTCTTCACCTCATGCGGATATCTCGACTTCCGCTCGTGAAATGGAGATACCCTGACGACCACGTTTTCACCAAGAAGAATCCAGGATGCGGGCTCTGTGATAAGGCCATCATTCAGGATCTGCACGAGCATATCTTCTGCAAGTGCGAAGTTCTTCTTTCCATGTTGACCAGGATGAAGATTCCGTCAGTGAACTCTCTAAAGGACTGGATCTTTACCGAGTCGAAATGTGGAGTACTCCCCTCTTTCCCAGGGCATGTGAACAGTGACGCCCCCCGGAAACATCAACAAGTCAAGACACGCAAATATCTGCGGGAATTGGCTTATGGGATCTGGAAGATGGAGAGATCCCTCCGGTACTCAGGGGACGACGCCACCCTGGGACATGTCCAACAGGGTTTGCTTCAATTCCTGAAGGAAGCCCAGATGTGTTTCTACGATGGACAACCGCCAGCACTTCACGATGAGCGAGAGTAGAGACAGTAGCAAGCGCAAAAGGCGGCCGAGACCACCGAGAGAACAGCGTAGCAGGGCGCGTAGTCACCACAGGGGACGCAGAACCAAACCAATGACGAAGAAGAACCACAAGGAGACGTTTTCAAAGGCAATGCAAATGAAGAGGGCAATGGAAGGATTGAGATTAGAGAACTGGAGACTGGAGTGGCGTTTTCCCGATGAACGAACAAACACGCGAAGCTATGTGGACCAACATACAACACGGACTGAACCAGGTTTTTTTATGATTTTTTTACTGGAAATAGGTACGTGCCAAGTTGGACCATGAAACTAAACGTGTTTAATTAGTAATATTCGTGTAAGCGTACATTCATTTCAAAGGTTATTCTTTCACGGCAAAGTTATAATTAAATGAATGTATATGCAGAAAAAAAAAAAAAAAGGGCGAAACGAAACTTTATGCGGACCTCCGGCCCAGCCATGCACCGGTTTAGACACATGGACGGTTCTCCAACACCGGTGTTTTAGACGAGGTGGGCTTGTTGGAGGTTCTCTGCCGGAAAATTGGCACGGAAATTTATCTGCGACTCGGTCTATGGACGCTACCATGCCCATATAAACACTGTTTACTGACGGTACTGGTGCATACTTTCACTTGTACCTCGAATCAGGCGAACATAGGGCCTTGGCAGGCTACGCTGAAGGTCCAGCCTAAACCGGACTCGGACGGAGAAGATAAGGCTCTCAAACCTACTGTAACCCGGTTTGGTGACATCGGCGCTGGTTCAGGAAATCAGGTGCACCCTTTCCGCGCCCATTGCAAGAATACGACTCGCGTTCTTCTTTGTGTGGTATTCCTTGTACGCCGTTGAGTACAGTGTTCGTGCACGTCTACATACATACACAATGGTTTCCCAACAATTTTATTGAGTGCAAGTCCCTCTTCCTCCCACCCGTCGCTACAATAGCGCTAGCTCCAAACAATACCCGGGGTAGCGGTAGTACAGGTACCAATACGCAACACAAGTAGCCGTACCTACAGTAGAGTGGGCAATCTCAGTGATCCACTAGAGGACTTAGCGGCTTGGCACAGGAGAAAACTTACATAGCGACCTAAAAGTCGGTCTGACAGCCCTTTATTATTGGGGGTAATTGTCAGACAACCCACCGAGGTCGTAAATATGCACAGGCGTGGTGTTTAGTGTGCGTTTCAGAAGAGTGGTTTCGGGCCTCATCTGTCATTGTTTGGCTAGCCTGGAATTTCTTGGCTGCTTGCCTTGGAATAATTAACCGTCCTTGTGAATGTTCTTATCTATCAGATATACCATGCTACAGTACATACAAGAATAGTGCATACTACGGGGAAGTAGTATAGGAGTACCTCGGTCACTGTCAATTGGCAGTAATGTAAGGACGATGGTGCGGGGTAGCATGAGTTTCTACTTGTACTTGAATATTACAGTACTTACTATACAATATTGTACAAGTATGAGTGATGTAGAGATGCTCAAGAAGACGTTCATTTGGATGATTCCTTCAACCAGAAAGTGTAAGTACTACATCTTTGTACTTGTGCGAGTACTATATCTCGATTATCAAAATGGAGAGCGCCAACAACGCAGGGACGTAACATTGGAGGTATAGTTCACGGAGGCTTCGTAACCTCGTCTCTGTACAAACAAGTACGAGTAGTGCATTGACAGGGCGATATTTATTTACGTCCTGAGCTAAGCAATCACTGTCCAATCAGCTATCAAACTACTGTACTTGTAGTCAAGTGCCACAGTCCTGTTCTTATCTCAATAGACGGAGCATTCTTGATTGGTCCAAGGCCCCTCCACCAAAGCCACCTGTAGGCTACAATGCCAATGAACATGGTCCAATTCAGACCTGTTTACGAAACAAGCTATCGCGTGGTCCTACAGCATCATCACGGGTCGAACATGAAACAGGACGCAAATGCCACATTCTTGGATGTTCACAGAGCCGACCAAGGAGTAGTAATCTCGTAATCTTGCGCAGGTGCTGGATCTATGGAGATCGGCATGGACTCACATAGTGTGCTCTTGTTCAGGAATGTACCCTCAACATAAACACTCAGAATATATTGATGGAGATCTATTTAGATCGTCTTGACCACAGCGCAGCTTTCACGATTTGCTTTTCGCTCCGGCAGCTCACATGCTGTAGACCGTAGCTTGTCTGGCATTGATGTGCTTGACTAATTTAGGACTGCCACCTTCGCCCGTATAGCTGACGCAGTCTGACATATCCTGGTCTGTGCAATGAAACAAGCCGAACGGAAAGACCGGAACTGGCAGATCGAGAGTAAGTGCAAACTCAGGTGACAGGATCGGGCAAGAGACATTGATTTGTATCAGATATAAGACAAAGATACAGGCAGACCTGACACTAGCAACGGATGATCCAACGTCGTTCCTCGGTATGTCTCGGTCTCGGCTCTTGGCTGTGCGCTCATCACTACAGTACAATGTAGCGTATGTACGTACCGCTGCGCTACATCGCTACATCGCTTAGCCTTCCTGGGTTGACGTTGTCAGAGGTGCTTTTTTTTTCGTTGCTCTCCTTCCCACTGCTTGCAGTAATCTCTACTTCCATTTTGAGAGGGATCGTCGTGGCGTGATTAAACAACGTTCGCGAGTGATCGACACCGAGAGCAAAAGGAGACGGCCAACTTTAGAAGGCAGGGAAAGCCCCCCCAGGACCCTCGCGCAAAGCAGGGTGCGCGTGGGGGCCTTAGACTTAACTCCTGCTTGCAGCCAAAAGAAAATAACCGAGTGTGCGTGGAGAGGAAGGACCCTGAAGACCATGATACTGGGTGCAATGTCATGGTGTGATTGCTCCTGTGTTTTGGACCCGGGAACAGAATGCTGGTACCAGTAGTCTCTGTTCGGACACGGCACTCTACATCTTCCTTCTCTTCGTTTAGGTGGAATTTATGATCTTCACTGCACATACTCTCACGAAGTCCAATTGGTTGTTGATGTCAATATTGACGTGTTTTTGAAAGTGTCGATCTTCACAATTGACTTTGCATCTCAAGGGTTACACTGAGAATGTTCCTCGGAGAAAGCGCAAGAAGTCGGAACTCAAGCAATTTTGCAAAGGAGAAGAAAACGATATATGCTACTTGTACAACACTTTGTTGTTATGGAATGGGGTATTCATTTTTGAGAGTTATTATTAACATCTATATCATTGGTACTGCAGACTTCTGACCCAGAGCTTCAAAATAAATTACTTGAATTGTAGAGATAATTTCCGCTATAGGGAGCCTCTTAGTGGTGGGTGGCCTCAACAGAGGAGAGAGACTGGGCAAGAACGTTGGAGGCGGAGCCGAGCTCGGAGAGCTGGCCCTGGAGACCGGGAACGTTGCCAAGACCGCCGATAAGACCGCCAACACCGCCGAGGATGCCGTTAAGGAGGTCACCAACGGGGCCAACAACACCGTCACCGACAATGGAGAGGAGAGAAGTGGCAATAGCCTCAATAAGAGCCTTCAGGGAGGTGATAAGAGGGGAGAAGAGCACAACACCGAGGATGTCGCCAACAAGGGTGGTGAGGGGAGACTTCTTCAGGTCCATGACAAGCTGGCCAATGGCCCAGTTGAGCTTGGTGAAGAACTCCTTGACAGTGGCGTAGTAGGTGGGTCGGTCAGAAGAGGGCTTCAGGAGCAGGTTGAGGGTGCCCTGGACAAGCTGGAGGGTGATGTTGACAATGTTGAAAGCCTCACCGATGACGTTTCCAATGAGCTGGAGGTCTCGCTTGTCGAGGTCCTCAGGCTGAGTGGGGGCAGCGACAGCGGCGGAGACGATAGCAGAAGCAGCGAGGATGTTCTTGATGGCAACCATTATGATAGATGTTAGTGGGTATTTGTCGTGTGAAACGAAGCGAACGAATGTGAGAAGAATGTGTTGTAGAGAACTGGTCTGGAGAAGAAAAACAGGAGGGAGGTGGTGGCTGTATTTATAATGAAATCTGGCCCTTTGCGTCCCTCTGAGTCTCTCGCCAGGGTTTAGGGCCGCGCACCACTGTTTGGCGCGCAGCGGGTTAGTGATCTTCATGATCTTCGAGATCGTCGGATCGTCCAATGTTGTTTGCTGGGGGGTCACCAACAAGAGCGAAAACACACGGGAGACTAAGGTCTCTGGTATCTTGAGGGGACTATGATTGGGGTATCATAATGGTTTGAAGCACCGGTTGTAGATATCATCTATCATCCAGGCAGCGAGCAAGCACGATGGCATGCCATGGGGTATCACAGCGTCATCACGTGTATAAGGCAGGTGTGAAGGGGTTCAGGGTACGCATCAGACGCATACTAACCACTCACTGGTTGCCCACACGCAACGCCCCTTTCTGGCAAAACACATTTTTGGATTAGCATTGTCGCGACGCTGATCATCCCAGAGAAGCAACGATTTTCTCAAGTGCGACTAGAAAATTTACAAGGGTAGTAGGGTTGAAGCAGCACATGTTTGGACAGAGTGACGAAATCCACAGTGCGTGTGTGTTAGCGGGTGGGTGAATCCATGGTAGATCGACCACCTCAGTCGTGCGTATCGAGATCATAGCCTACGAGCGTAGCATTGGCTGGTACAAGACACTTGTTTAGGAGGATTGACATCCGATACTGTAGATTGGGCTAGTTGGCGGATTACGAGCAGATTACGAGATGCAATTCAGGCCAAGCCAGTTTTGGCGTGGGCGACACACCTGAGAATCCTACCCCTGTCATTGTTGTGATTATTCACATCCGTTTAGTTTTATCATGTGTTGTGGTTTTTGGCAGCCCAGGCAAACTGTACATACACTACAATGAAGGTGTGCCAACGGAATGAGAGTGAGCCCAGAGGCACATGGTGATACGGGTTGTCTGCCATCGCACCCTTGTTAGAAAAAAACGCGTGTACGAAGATACAGACATTGGTTTTGCTTGTTTGGTCCCTTTCCTGGCCCTGTCTCTGCAGCATGTCTTCCCTGCATGCTTATACAGGACTGTCCTCCCTTCGCCCACTTGAAAAAATGTCGGCACACATTGAGTGTCCATGGAAAGCATGGAAACCGCCGTCTGGATGTCGACGCGTACTGTGTCAGGCTGCTGGGCGCCTCTCCCGCTCGTAAAAATAGTTTGCCTCGTCTCAAAATGTCTTGTACACTATACTGTAATCAGGCAATACAGCCGATATCATGTTGGATGTCTATAGTATGCGGCTGTTGATGAGGAATGAGCGACTATTCGGGCTTGAGATTTGGTCAGATCATGGATTCGGTCTCCTCCACCAGCCTCCGCTCCACCCACCGGAGTATGCCTGTTATCGCCTATCTGACTGTCCATCATGTCAATCAGCTACACTGTACAGATTACTCGTGGCTTCTGTTTACGAAGACCTTTACCCACACACACACACACACACACACACACATAGACTGTGTGTTTGTAAGTTCCACTTTGTGGCTTCTATTTTGCAATTGATCTACAGCAATGCACCATTTCGGTGATGATCACCATATACCCAAAACAACACGTCTGGGGTGATCGGCCGTGAGCCATAATAACACTACGTCCATTACCGGTACTGCTAGCAGGGAGGGAGCTGGGCGAGATGCTGGAATGAGGAGATCTACCCACTGCTATGTGGACGATGCTGGGAATGTATATTATTTTTGAGACTGCAGGAATTTTACCCCTGATGGCCGTTATCATATCCACCGTCACTTTTTTGTTCCTGGTTCCCCTTGATTCCTAGGCACGACCCCTGGAGGATGCTGCCGTTTCCCGTACTACTGCTGACAGGGCCCTCGCCCATTAACATTAGACACTACGTCCATAGCCATCGCCAGGCTATACAGAATTTGCCCCCTAACTCAGAGCCTGTCCGAACAGAGTGCTACAAGCGATAGCGATCTTCGCTTGAGCTAAATGTTATTGCAAGTCTGCGAGCCAAGGCATCCCTGGAAGCCTAACGCAGCGATTGTCATAGATTCGAGGGCATTGGGTCATCCGAATCTGGCGATAAGAACGTCGATCTGCGCCTTTCGAAGAACAAAGAAGAGACGTTTCCAGTCACAGCAAGCACGCTATTGGGCAACGTCGACACGTAGGGTCCGCGGACATGGCACATGCAGGTCGTGTCAGCGCGTGATAGTGACGTCCTCCCACAATCTGTTGTGATATCGAGGGCTGGGCATTGTAGGCAGCGGCAAGTAGAAGTACGGATGCTCATCTCAATGCAACGGGCTGGTGTATGGATTATCCTCGGCCCAGGCATTAAATCGCAGATCTTCTTTCTCGTTGACGATCTCGCACCAAACGAGGCGGGTTAGGGAAGTCGTCTCAAGTAAGGCCCATTTAGACTTTGGTGTTTTTTGTTCAACTTTGTTGGACTGTCTCTTTTCGGCCGAGGTCAATCTCTCACTTCCCCTATACACTGTCAATTCATTCAGCATAAGATCCTCAAATCGTCTCTCTGTGCGGCCTTTTTAAACTTCCGTAGCCGACTCATTAGCCTCGGAAAAGCAAACCACAAACCCATTGTTTGGCCATTGTAAAGCTCATTATCACTGCAGAAAAAACATGGGATTAACCGCCAATCACACATCCCGTTACACCTAACTCCACCAGCCCACGTTACATTGATAGGCGAGATGGTCCTGAATATAGCACAATTCGCTTCCACACTGTCCACTGAACAACCCTCATATCCAGCCCTGTGTGCTGTATTCAGGGTGAGTCGGAACGTCCCGCCTGCAACATTTGCACCCAAACCACCCTCTCAAAATTGACTTCCCGATTGTGCTTACAGTGGATTGCCGGGTAGCTTTTTCGTCATGCTGTCTTGCAACGAGACCGGGTAACTCCATTTCCTTTCTAGGCCTGATGGAATAGATTGATTGACTAATCACGAACCTGTAATCATTCTGTACATGTGTCCAATATCATCACTTGCTAGTTGTATATTGCCTCGAACAAAACGTGGGGAAATAATACCCTGACAAAGAAACCCACCGCCCGACCAGGCAGATCGATAAGTTGGCAACTATGCTCTGCCTTATCCGATGGTGCGATTGCCGTGAAAAGCCCAGAGATAGAAGCGACTTCGCATACGCAATGCAGGCTGAGAACCTCACCACAAGGACAGACACGGCTCACCCGATGGCGCTGATCCCCGACAAGGGCCCTATCGGTAGTCAGAGCTCCCTCTCAGACAATCGGGACGTGTTAGACGAGAGACCTTCTCTGGTCTCATAGTTACTCGTTGTTTAGCTTGTCTCAGGCTACCTTGTATGTACATACCGACTGGGCGGATGGGATGATATCGATTGTGTGCAGAGAGGTGCATCAGTACTTGTCGTTCTGCGAGCCATTACCGGATTCACCAGTTCTCACTTCACGCCAAGATGATGATCCCTCGGCTTCAATGGGCTGGGCGGTTGGTACCAACGGTGCTACAAGCATGTCCATCACTGTCCATCTTTTGGAATATCCCGCGCTGTTTCGTTACCTTACTCCGCTGGTGCAGCTTCATGACTATCACTCCCAGCAAAAAGCAAGCTGAGTTTGAGAGAACCATGGTTACAGTATGTACAATACAATATGCGCGCAGTCTCAACCGTAACCGCCCGTACCAAACGGCAACCTACCCTCGAACGCGAATGGGTCTTCCTCAAACTTGGTCTGTATACTCGCTCACTGGCACCCAATCCCACACAACCATATAGGCGGCCGACCACGCCGTTACTGGCCGTTTTATGAGTCTCCACCCAGCTATGAGATCGGCAGTTGTAGTAGTTGTGGTATTTTTCTGACCAGGGGGTGCTTCCATAGCCGATGACTTCAAGCTTGTGCAAAGAACAAGTTGGACGGGCCTAAAGAAGCTTGCCAGGCCTCTCAATTTCCCCTGGAAGCCATGCCACTATATAATTAATAGCTGCGGCAGGATACAAGGGGGTCCACTGGTAGCAGCCTGATTCTGGACTAAAAGCGCACCTCGAAGGAAAAATTGTTTATCCGAGAAAAAGTTCCTGGGTGGGCGGCTATATCATCCAGTGGAGGAAACATGGGGTTTCTCGTGTCCCACATAAATGACAGGGCTAAGCGATGAGCTGACTGAGCTGACTCCGGTTGTGAAATCAAATATCGCAGACTGTGCATGCTCGGAAACCGATTGTGGCGCATTTAGTGTCCATGCTAGCGGGAGTCTGAGGTTGGTGGCATGGTGGGTTTACACACGTATGCATCACGTAGAAGAGTCCACTGTAAATAGAATCGCCATCCGCCATAGCTGGGGCGATATGACAATATTCACACTCTTAGCCACAGGTTTTACTAGCCCCACATCACGTGAGTGTACCGTCCGTGGCGCTCATCTCCGCTGCAGACTCAATGACGACACGCATGGATACGGCGTGGCTTGCATTAGCCACGGGAATACGCCATCAAAGAATTCCGTGGCACAACTGTGGCTGGAAATGAAACTGTGATTCAAGGGTGGTTATAAACACTTATTGGGACTCTCTAGCGCGCTCAATTGACCAGCAGACACCCAAATCAACATGCCCCACTCACAGAAACGACCCAATTTCCTCATTATCGTTGCCGATGATCTGGGATGGTCTGACACCCAGCCCTTTGGAGGAGAGATTCACACTCCCAATCTCGAGCGACTGGCCAAGTCTGGAGTCAGATTTACCGACTTCCACACCGCCTCCGCCTGCTCTCCTACGAGATCCATGTTGTTCTCGGGTACAGACAACCACATCGCTGGCCTTGGGCAGATGGCCGAGACCGTGAAACGGTTCACTGAGTTCCAGGGAAAGCCCGGATATGAGGGGTATCTTAACGATCGTGTGGCCGCTCTTCCTGAGCTTCTGTCTGATGCTGGCTACCACACTATTATGAGTGGAAAGTGGCATTTGGGCCTTGTTCCTGAACGGTTCCCTTCCGCTCGAGGATTCCAAAAGTCGTTTGCTCTTTTGCCTGGTGGAGCCAACCACTATGCCTTCGAGCCTGGAACCAAAGACAAGCCCGCTGTGCCTTTCCTGCCTCAATTGTACGCTCAGGACAAGGAGTATGTTGAGGTCGACGACTCCCACTTCTACTCCTCTGATAGCTTTACCGATACTCTGCTGGAGTACATCGAGGAAAAGCCCAAAGACAAGCCCTGGTTTGCCTACTTGCCCTTCACTGCGCCCCATTGGCCTCTCCAGGCCCCCAAGGAGTATATTAACAAGTACAAGGGCAAATATGACGAGGGTCCCGATGTTCTGCGAGAACAGCGACTCAAGGAACAGGTGAAGCTGGGGCTAGTTGGAAAAGACGTTGTCAGTGCCCCCATTCTTGCCGACAACGAGACTGAATGGCATGACAAGACTGCGGAAGAAAAGGCTTACTCCGCCCGAACAATGGAGATCTACGCAGCCATGGTGCAAAAGATGGACGAGAACATTGGACGGGTGCTGGATCACCTCGAAAAGACAGGAGAGATCGACAACACCTTCATCTCTTTCATGTCCGACAACGGAGCCGAGGGTGCTATTCTTGAAGCCATTCCTCTTCTGACCAACGACCTCAACGAGAAATACTTTGACAATTCTATTGAAAATATCGGAGCCAAGAACTCGTTCATCTGGTACGGTCCCCGTTGGGCCCAGGCTGCTACCGCCCCTGCCAAGTACACTAAGGGTTACATCTTCGAGGGAGGTATTCGATGTCCTCTTATTGTCAGATATCCTGGATTTGAGAATCCCGGATCCATCTCTAACGAGTTTACTACCGTCATGGACATTCTTCCTACTGTTCTCGAGCTGGCAGGAGTCACTCATCCTGGAACAAACTACAAGGGCCGAGAGGTGGTGGTCCCCAAGGGAGTATCCTGGGTCTCTAACCTGTCGGGAAAGTCCAAGGAGGCTATCCACAGCAACACCCATTTCACTGGATGGGAGCTCTTTGGACAACGTGCTATCCGAAAGGGCAACCTGAAAGCCATTCTTGCTCCTGAAGAGGGCAAAGAGGATACCTGGGAGCTCTACGATCTGGATGCTGACTTTGGTGAAACCAAAGACCTGGCAAAGACACACCCTGATGTCCTGAAGGAGCTGGTCGAGCTGTGGTACCTCTACGAGGGGGATTGTGGAGTCTTTATTCCTGACAATGCCGACCAGATGAACCTGCGAAAAATGCTCAAGGAGAACCCTCGTCGTAAGGCATGGGGCGAGAAGAAATAGATTAATATATTGAATGAAGTTGCGGTGTTTGTAATGCTATTATCGAATATAGGAATAAATATGTGTCATTGGTGACTGGATCACGGTATGTTCGGGGTGGGGGTATGTTCGGGTCATGAGCTGTGAATGTGGTCAGTAGCTGAGTTACCCATAATATGGAGCATGTTGTAGCTAGCTGAATCACTTCTGCTAGTCAGCTGTAAATGGAACATGCTTTTTATCATGGTCTTCGAAGCTCGACATAGTCTCACCATAGTCGAATCATCGAGCTCTCGCGGTCATTCTCTCGGGTCTCTCAGTTCTCTCGTCCTTTCTTGACTTTCCAGCGCCCTCCAGACGCGACAACTTGAGACCTTCTCGTACCTCCTTTTCTGACAGGAACGGTGGCGCGATGATGGTTCTGTCGGGTGTTTGGGGTCCGTTTGCAAACAGTTCATGGACTCCCAGGTCCTTCCAGGCCGGTGTCTTCTTTGTGGCTCGATGATGCTGGTTCCGGGTTCCAAACAGAGAAGCTCCATCAGTCACAAGTCCGTCGTCATCATCGCTCAGCTGAGTATCATGTTCAGGAGCCACGTCAATGTGATCAAACTCCAGCTTGTCCTGCATCCACTCGTCGAACACAGTACATGTCTTTGGAGCTGTTAGGTGGATATGTGATCTCACTGAGTCTCGTTGCATTTTGTACTGTACCAGTACTGTACTTGTACAAGTAGGTGGATGTGTCGCGTGAAGAGTGCGTTTTGTGTTTGGTGATGTTATGCATGATAGTTCAGACACGCATAGTCTCTCGCTCTGCGGTTGTTGAGAGTTTACGTAATTCTTAATCACTTGTACTTGTAAATACTTGTACTTGTACTTGTAAAAATAAGCTTATCGTATCCACAAAAAATAAGCTCAATGACATGGGATCATGTGACCAGCCAAGTGTTCAACTGAGCCTTCAACAGGCCGCGACGGGACAGTGTTGAAAGGGCCGCAGAGGAATAACCAGGCTCCCAAGTCTGCCCAGACAATCCCACGAGGTCGTACGGGGATTTTATTAACCTACTCTTCAATTACCCCACCCCCACCTATCCAAATCGGGACTCATTAGTACCGCAACCTATTAAGTGCCTCCTTTAGGCAACGCCGGTAAAGCACTGCTCCTCGGAAATATCGGATCGTCGGACAATGCGGCTTTTACAGAGTACGAGTGCTGCAACAGAAATGAGTTGCAACAGTGAAACATGTGTTTCTGGCGGGACAGCTACGGGGAATAATACAGTAAGCTAGAGTGCTCGGTGGTGCCAACCAGGATGTACTACCTGTATTACAGTGGCCCGGGCTGAGCCACCTGCACTTAGCTGTCAGATTCTGATGTACGGTCTAATCTCTGTCGCTGTGGCGGGTTGGCTGTACACTGGACCATTATCACCAGCAATACTCGCTTCGCCAGACATTACCGCTCACTTGGACGATAGCTAATTTTCAAAGATGGTTCATCTTGGTTACATTTTCTCATTGTTCCTGACAGTAACCATCTAGTTTAGGAAAAGCCCTTATCCATATTGCCCAAGATTGTGCGCAATCTACGTTAGTGCAGTGACCACCAGGCGTTCCTGAGGGCATATAGCGAGAGATAAAAAATGGCGCTTGCGGGGTGCTAGAGTGGATATTTTGCCACCAACAGTTTAACAACTGCTTCTACACTTCGTAACGTACCCTACATCACTCCCATCTACCCCCTAATACCAGTTGCATCTCTCTCCTAATCGTCCCCCCACACCATTGCTCCTCTAAATAACGCTAGCATAGCCCAACCCTAAAAGAGTGACCCAGTCCCATCTCCGACACATCACCACATCGATTACACCACCACACCACACAGCAGAAAAGCACACTACCAAAAATACAATGTCGAAGTCCATCGTCCGTTCCATCAAGAACGTCACGAACGGATACACCTCGGCCCAGGTGAAGGTCCGAAATGGTGAGTATACAATTCTCCCCTCTCTACTATTGCACAATCCCCTTCTCATCACCACCGTTTTTTTTTCTCGCTCTACTAACATCTAGCCACATCCAACGACGCTTGGGGTCCGTCCACGTTTGACCTTGAGGAAATCGCCAGACTCACCCACTCCAACCAGGAGCTTTTCGAGGTGATGGACATGATCGATCGACGACTCAACGACAAGGGCAAAAACTGGCGCCATGTCATCAAGGCCCTCAATCTGCTGGACTACTGTATCCACTGTGGCTCGGAGAACGTTGTTCTGTGGTGCAAGGACAACCTGTACGTGGTTAAGACCCTGCGGGAGTTCCATTACATCGATGAGAACGGCCGAGACCAGGGTGCCAGCATCCGTTCCCGAGCAAAAGAAATCACCTCATTGCTGCTGGACGATGAGCGACTACGAAACGAGCGGGCCAATCGGTCCTCCTGGAAGAAGGGACGACGGGCTCAGGGAGACGACTACGGCTCTGACGAGGAGAGTGGAATTGTCTCTTCTCGAACCAGAACCGCCGACGACCGACGAGACGACCGACGAGACGACCGACGAGATTCTCGACGAGATTCTCGACGACCCTCCAGACGAGGATCCACGCCAGACGATGACCTAGCCCGTGCGCTTGCCGAGTCGCAGCGAACGGCCGACGAGGAGGCCCGAATGCGACAGAACGGAGGAGCCGAGGACGAGGCTCTGAGAAAGGCCATTGCTCTGTCGGAGGAGGAGCAGAAGAATCGAGATCTCGGTGGCGGAATGGCCCAGGGAACCGCACAGCCCATCAACCTCATCGACACAGACAGCTTTCCCACTCAGTTCCAGCCACAGCAGCAGCAGCAGCAGATGCAGCCCACTGGCTATGATCTGTTTGGCAACGCCATCTACGGCCAGCAGCAGCCCACCATGAACACTGGAGTGCTCCAGAACGCATACGCCACTGGAGGCATGTTCGACCAGCAGCCCAACCAGTTCCAGCAGCAGCAGCAGCAGTTCCAGCCTCAGCAGCAGCAGTACACCGGATTCCAACCCCAGCAGCAGCCCCAGCAACAGCAGTACACTGGTTTCCAGCAGCAAAACGACTTCTCTCAGTCCTTCCAGCAGCAGCAGCAGCAGCAGCCTGCTGAGCCCCTCCAGCCTCTCAAAACTGGCTCTAACAACCCCTTTGCAAAGCATGATTCTACAAACGGCTCTTCTTCCACTGGTCCCTCCCTCAACTTCATGGCTTCTAACAACATGACCACCCAGGCACATCCCAACCACCAACAGCAGCAGCAGCAGCAGCAGCAGCAACAGCAACCGGCACCCAAGCAGCGTGCGCAGGTCACTGGCGGTGCTCATCCCGAACTCAACAACCTGCTCATGACCGGAGACGGAGTCGACACCTTTGGAAACACTGGCGAGACCCGAATCCCCGCACAGCACACCCGAGACACGTTCATGAACGCTCGTCTGCAGCCCCAGGCCACAGCCAACAACAACCCGTTTGTGGGCCAGCAGTACACCGGTATCCCCAGCACTCAGATCCAGCCTGCAGTGACCGGCTACGGTTTTGGCAACGCGCCACAGCAGACCGGCATGCAGCAGAGCAACGGACAGCAGCAGTACGGACAGCAGCAGTACGGACAGCAGCAGAACCAGCAGCAGTATGGTCAACAGCAGTATGGCCAGTTTGGACAGCAGCAGCCTCAGCAGCAACAGTACGGCGGAGGAGCACCCCAGCAATCGCTGATAGATTTGTAAGATGCTTTTTAAGGAGGCGAATATGCGAGACGATGATGATTCGATGCTTTTCTTTAGTGTAATGATTATGAAGTGGTTTCTTTAAGCAAGCCACTGCTAACGATATATGGGGTTTCTGTAGATATGCGTCGTTCTTGGGTACACGGTGCTTGCAGTACATACGCCTGTACATACATACAGTTCAAGTACAGTACTCATAGTTATAGTGATACAAATACGCTCAGATGGAGCAATTAGTGGTTTATTAAATGGAAATGCTAATAAATAGGAACGCCTACCAGTATGGCGACGTTTTTTTTTTGTCTGTAGTTTACAGTGTTAGTTGTTTGGTTGCTAGTTGCTGTTAGCTCTCCTCCCGCCTGATGATCACACTTCCAGCGTAGCTCTCATCACTGCTGCTATGAGTAGGGGCCACTCGAGGACTGACATCATAGTAGTCATCGGGACCGATAACTGAGCCAACAGGTGAGAAGCGAGAGATTCGAGACCCACGGGTGGAGCTTCGAGACAGCGGATGCTCAAAAAGACCAGTGTCATTCTGGGGATGATCGCCTCCGGTGAAAAAGTGATAGGGATGGTTGATGACTGGATGAGCAGCCTGGTTCATGGAACCTGCACGAACGTGGCTGTTTTGTTGTTGCAACACATGTTCAGCATCCGACCTGGCGTTAGAGCCTCGATGCACAGGTGACTCGCTGTTGACGTTGCTCGACCAGGTAGTTAGCACAGCCAGGTCGTCTGACAGGAAGTTAGGAGCAACGGAGGCGTTGGATTTACTGCCGATAGCCGGTGGAGGAAGCAGATGATTGTGTGAGGTAAACTGCGTGCCTGCGACACTGCTGGGGTTGGCAGTGGTGTTTTTGTAGAGAACATCTTCCGGGGGGAAGTCGATGTTCTCCATCAGACGCAAGAGACGCTCGATAAATGTGCGAATCTCGGGGGCAGAAATGGGCTTGCCGGAAAATCGAAGTCTCTCGTAGAGCTCGACAAACTGTAATCCGACGTTTGCGTCCGAAATAACATGGCACGATATCAGATGAGAAATGTACTCTCTGAAGGGCATACCGACGGGTTTTCCAAACGAAAAGTGAATGTTTCTGGCGCGCGAATCAACCAGTAATGCCGTAGTGTCAACAACATCCTTATACGGAACGTCTGGAGGTATGTCTCCTGACGAGTCAGGAGGTGCCAGGCCGTCATGGGCCACCTTCTCTATTGGTCTCGTGTCTCGTAGGATTTGTTTGCATCTGTCCAAATCGTTTCTGATCTCCTTGGCAATATTTTTGGGCACGTCGTCTGGGCGAGGCACGTAGCGTCGCGGGATATCTGAGAGGTTTTGTCGGGTTCGAAACAGTCGTAGAAACGAAAGTAGTAATGCTAGAAAGATGAAGATGACACAACCAGCAATGACGATAGCGCCGTTCCAGAACTGGTTGGTTTGTCGCGACTGGGTGATAATGTCGATCGGAGATACGACCATAAAGCCGATAATGAAGACGATGAGCAGCACATGCGATAGCAGGTAGAGCCATTGTTTGAAGGATCGTTTGGCCCTCAGAGGTTCTGTGATCAGGGTTTTCGAGCTGTCTTCCGACGGTATCGACGCGGTGACCACCGTCTTGACCGTCGCGCCTCTCAGGGTCCCCGTCCCTTCGTCTTTTTCCATGTGTGGTGTTGTTGCGTTGAGCGACTGGTGATGTTCTTCCAGATGGTGTGCTTACGAAGGTTATAATCATGCACAGCCGCTGGCATGCATGGGTGAGGATGGAGGTTGGTCAGCATAATGACTAGACGACTTTTTTACCCCAACGGCACCATAAAATGGTCTTCTTTTGAGCGAGGAATAAAAATAGCTGACTCAGCCGTTTTGATTTCCCCTCTGTGCGTCTGGTTTTTTGCTACACGTGCCTCTTCACACGATCCAGGGTTACTGTAACACGAAGCTCGGTTTGTGCGTCGTCTTTTTTCCCAACAACGATGCTTTTTTTTTTTCTGCGCAGATTAAAATGCTGCAGCCAGGCAAGACAACGCGGGGCTACCAGTAGACACAACATGAAATAATGCTGCTCCCCCCGTTAATTAAAGTGAAACCGAGATAAAAATGGACCCGCTGTGTACGAATACACTCTTCTTGAATCCTTATATATATCCCCATATCCCCAATCACGCAAAGTATATCTCGCAAACGGTTGTTGTGATGGACAGTGAGTTTCAATTTGAGGTGGCAGAAAACGTGTGGATTTACAGGGCAGGAAAGAACGTTGTCGCCATGCTTACTCATCTGGGTGGCGTCATAACGGTAATTTGAGAGAAAAGGGTCCATAAATCCAACACAAAGCCTCCAATAATGCGCTCTATATAACCTCCGACCAAGTTCCAACCGCCCCAAACCCCAAACAATCTGTCTGGGAAACGGAACACATGCTTGGTAGACACAACTTTATACAACGGTTATGCATGCAGTCCAGGCACCAACCAGTATAACCCTTAGTTGTGTCAGTACATCGAACACAAACGACACATGTCTGAGTATAAGATATCGACTGTATATACATATGTATGTACGACCTGTATCTGTCTTGGCTTCGTGGACCTCGCTCCACCAAGTCTTCAAAAGTCGGCTTGATATGGTGCCCTCGTGTGGGGTTGAACCAACGGGATATATACGAAACAACCTGTATCTACGAGGGCTAAAGAAACGGGATTATTATTATGCTAACAAGGGGAGGTAAATTCTAAAGGAGGACCAACCATTTTTTATCGATTGTGAGAGTGTCAGAGACTGATTTAGTCGAGTCGTCGTCGCTGGTTCTGCAGCTTGATGTTCTCGTACTGCCGGCCATCCTTTCGCCGTCGCTGGTTCTTGAACTTGGGGATGGCCCGAGCTCCAGCAGTGATCTGTGTGAACAGGACATAGATACAGGCGAAAATGACGACAACAGAGGGAATGGTGATGATGGTGATCATCATGCCCTCCTCGTTCTTGTCCAAATCAAGTCGTCCCTTGTCCTTCTTCTGCACGATGGCACCTCGTCGGAATCGCACAAAAGTAGAGTTCTTCAGAAGATAGTCATCGGTGATCTCGTCGTCATCCATGTAGTCAGGCTGGATAGCAACGGCAACCTTCTGCTCGTACTCGCCATCGAGCCACTCCTCCTCAATCTCCATAGGGTAGACTCCCCAGGTGTTTGACACCCATTCGGTGATGTGGAAGACACTGCTGTCCTCAATTTCTCGCTTGTGCAGAGCCTTACCCTGAATGTATGCGCAGTGGAGTCGGACCTTCTCGGCGTCGGGGAATTCTCGGGTGTACCAGGTGAACCAGTGGACGTGATCAAGCATGACACCCTTTCCGTATTGAGGGGAGCACCAGGGGCCAACTCGCTGCTTCTTCACCTTGATAAACTTCTCGGGTGTGCATCGCTCAACAGGGTTGAAGGAGGCCTCGATGGGATCCTCCTCGTCCAACATCTCATTATGGACCACGACATCAGTAGGGTGAGCGGTCTTGTAGCCAGCAGAACGAGCGTTCTCAGTCACGTCTCGGTTGACGTGGAACCAGTCTCCATACTCAGGAGGAGCATTCTTAGTCTTTCCTTTGACCACCTTGGGAGTGATGGTCTTGGCCTGACCGTCCTTCTTCAGCTTGATCCAAGGGTTGGGAACAGCACCCACCTGTCGCTGGCCTCGGAAAAGCGCGTCTCCCCAGACGGTGGGGGTGACATGCATGGGTTCACCTCCATCTGTGGGCTTCAGCAGCCACGGCTTGGTCACATGGGCCTTTGTGATTTTAGTTTTCTTGGAGAACACCTTGGGGGGTCGCTTAAAGGGGTCTGCTCGCTTCTCGAGGTCAGACACGTCTGTGGGCTCGGATCCGGGCAAATCTGTGATGGTCGAGTAGTCGATGGCTTCGGTGTTTACCACGGTAGCTGTTGGCAGCGCCAGAACGGCTCCGGCAAGAAGAAGTACCGAGAATTTCATTGTTGTGTACAGTAGTGTTACACGTGTGTTGAGGCTATGCGATGTAGCGTGCGAATGCGGGTTTGGGGGGCACTAGGGCAGATGCTGAGCTCAAATACTCTTGTTTTCAACGTGTTTTTAGGCGGTGGCGAAAATGGTCGTGACTTCACAGGTGTGTTAGGAAGACTGTTGGAGGGTGATGTGTGTTTTTAAACCTGATGCGTGATTTAGCTCAAAAAATGAGATACATGAAGTATAAGCAGAATGTTTGTACGGCTGGGAGGAGAAACGGGTGAAAAGTCGGGCGTTTGGAGGCGTAAAACGTGCGTTCGAGCAGCAAAAATGTTCATAACAGTGAATCAACATATTAAACGCCCTCAAACGGCCAATAAGCATTATATTCACGGACTTACCGCCGCCTTGCTTTCGCCAGTCGTATCTCAGTGTTACGTTTCCCGGACTTGTAGAGTTCTGAGCCTAATCCAGGTTTTTGGTGGCACCCAAGTCTTCTCCCAAACACGAGTATTTTCCAGCATATGCAGATTTTCCTAGGACCGTTAAAAATTAAATCCGACGGAGATAACGCGCCCGCAGAAACTTTGAGACGCACAGTAAGCAGAAAAAGTTAGTGGTAGACGACTGGCACAGATACTGAACAAAACAACCACTATCAATCACACATTCACCATGGCTGAACAAATAAGAACCAACCTTGTTCATCAGCATCTGTGGAGCGACGTGGTCATCCACCAGACTAAGCTCACAGACCTGGTGCATGGAACTCCACCCAGGACTTTGCACCCTGATGACGCTGAGATCAGATCGGAATGGCTAGTACCTGCCAGATCCAACGACGACTGGACTATCAAGCAGTGGGACGAGTGTTTTCGCGAGGCTGAGGGTGTGGCTGGAAAAGACGTCGATCGCATGCTAATGGCCATCGTGGACAATGACTCCACCATCGTCTACTACTTCGTCTACAAGGGTCTGGTCAAGCCTCGAAAGAACTAGATTCACAACTATTATACACCCTGTTCCGTTATGATCCCGGTCCAGGCATTATCACCTTGCATTATAAATATATGTACATTACATGAAACAATATGGTCTGGGGCATAGTAATGTAGCACCCAGTCAGCCAGAAGACCTGTAGCTCGCGGCTTAAATAGGTCTTGACTGTAACATCAACTTCCATCTTTGTCACTCCAAAAACACCATGGATTCGTCAATCACAGGGCTCAGTTTCACATTGCCACTGTTAACCCAACGTCTAACAGATTTCTTCAAAACCCGTCCTCCCAGTTGTACCTTCTTGGCTTTTTCGTCGCTGTAGAGAACTACAGCATGCATTTCTTTGAGTGCTCGCATCACATCTTCCGGCTGGATATAAGTATGTTCGCTGATCGTCTCAATCGTGATGACGTCTTCTGTACACTCTATCAAGATGAACCGGGCTATCGTAGTACACCAGTAAGACATATATGATAAAGTGCCGAACTTCGACAGCGGTCGCTCTGGACTTCCTTTACGGCCTTCGTACTTCGACAGCACGTATGAAAACTCGATCAGCAGTTTGCCCAGCCCTCGCCTTTGATACGGAGGAAATACCAGAATGCAAGCCAGATTGTTTTCGTCCCACGACAGTTTCTCCTTGGAGAAGAAGCCCATGGGTTTAAAGTGCCTGCTGCTGGCGGTATCCTTGCCGAGCACAACATAAAATTCAAAGGCATCGGCGCCGAAGAACACAGACTTGTGGTCCAGGAAGAGCTTCGCGAACAGACAGAGATTCTGGCAGTAGAGCTTGTGAACGGCGCCATCAACACGGCGAATGGCATAGTCTTTCGATTTGTAAACCGTCTCTCCGGGGTGCTTGAACACATACTTGCAGGTGCTTCGGTGTTGGGCCATGTCCTTGGAGACCTTCGAGTATTTGAAACACGAGTCGCAGACAAACAGCTGTTTGACCTGGAAGTCGACCTGGGCTGGTGGTTGGTCATTGGGGGCCACAGATGCGTTTGCTGATGATCCAGAGGACGAAATGGTTGAGGATGTTAATGCAGAAGAGGTTCCTCCAGGTGTGCCAACAGACGGAGAGCTGTAGCGCTCAATGAAGAGCCGGGACATGTCGCAGGTGTGATTGTCCTTGTCCTTGTCGAGGGCCTTGGCCTCCATCAACGCCATGGCCCGCTTCCAGGTCAACTTCTTGAGTTCGTCCTTCTGTGAAAAATAGTATGCCGACGAGTGGTACCACGTGTCGAATTCACGAGGGCCAAAGACCACCCGTCCAATGTTTCGTGGAGGCTCTTCTTCCTCCTCATCGTCCAAGGGGTCGTCGTGCATTAGTGTTGGCATGCCAGGAGAAGATGTTGTCTATGTTGAAGGACTTCGTTTCTCGTCACCACAGAACAGTCATGCACGCTTCAACGTCGCGCTTAAAGACCCATGAGGCGGATGTGTAATAGATTACTTGTAGAGCAATTACTAACGAGAATGGTGTATAACATACTAGGGCTCAGTGTGCACACTATGTAACCATCATTTAATATAAATGTGTCTCTTTTAATTACACCTTTCATTTTTCTACTGAGACCACCTCACTTGCGGCTCGTACTATTTTCGCCCCTCAAAAATCGATGCCAATTTTTGGGAACCAAAATTTTATTGTTTATAATTATGTGAACTGCAGTTTGGTTTATAACTGAGACTCTCAAAGAAAAACATATATTACGTGAACATTTACTTCAAGTTATTATAGAAAAAGAACCTGTCTCCTCCCAACAGCCACATCACATGACCGCGCATACATCATGCACAATCAGAAAAAATTGGGCAATATAGCATAACCTGCGTGAAGCTGATTCAACCCATCGCTTCAACTATGGCGAAATACAAGCTAGGATACAACGCAAAGGCCCGAGCCGGCTCGCTGAAGAAGCAGCAGGAGCTCAAGGCCGCCAAGCAGAAAACCTGGGTCAAGAAGCCTACAGCAGAGGAGGAGGAAGAAGACGCCAATGCCGAGCTCATGGTGCCCAAGAGTGAGGCCGAGAAGGAGGCTCGAAAGAGAAAGCTCCAGGAAGAGCTCACACCTACGGAGAGCAAGATGACTTCAAAGAAGCGAAAGCGTCTAGACAAGTACATTGTGAGTATGACACGAGGATACGTCGCAGGTTTAGCTTAACCAGATTAGCTGAACCAGATTAGCTGAACCAAGGACATTCGCTGCGCTTATGATTACATACTAACTCAGGAAAAACAACTCAAGAGAGAAGAGAAGAAGGCATTGTTTTCCGAGTTTGCTGCTCGAAAGGGCACCTTTGATACATCTCAGCTCAAGTCTATGAAACACATGGGTGACAAGGAAACCAAAAAAGCCCGGATCGAGGAAGCTTTGCGTCTGGAGAAACTGGGTCTCGGTAATGAGGAGACCAAGGAGATTCTGTACGAGAAACACGATCACGAAGAGTGGGATGACGAGAAGCATTCTCATCTCCTGACTGAGCTGGAGCGAAAGGAGAAGCAAATGGCCGAAGAGGAAGAGCAGGAGAACAAAAGCTCATTCATTGACATGCGACCCAAGGCTGGTGGTGGTTTCGGTTTCCAGAACCTGGCCAAGGTTTCCAAGCCCGCAAAAAACTCTTACTCTTGGCGAAAGAAGCTCGAGATTGAGCGTGCTCGAAAGAACAAGAAGGACTACGTTAGCTCCGGGGAGGACGACGATACCGATTCTGATGAGGAGGATTCTGACGAAGATTCAGACGAGGATTCGGATGAGGAGTCTGAGGAGTCAGAAGAGGAAGGCACCAAAAAAGTGAAGGTGGCTGCCGAGGAGGAGATCGAGGAAGATGTCGAGGAAGAGGAAGAAGAAGATGAAGACGAGCAGGAGGAGGAGGATGAGGACGAAGATGAGGACGAGGAAGAGGAAGACGAGGAAGATGACGAGTATACCGAAATCGTCACCAAAAAGTCAAAGGGTTCTTCTTTCAAGGAATGGATCGATGAACAGTCTGGACCCAAGTCTTCCAACATCGAGGATCTCTCGCATATCAAGATCAAGAAAGAAAGAGTGGACAGAGACGAGGACCGCCTTACTCCTCCTCCCGAAGACATTGCCCAACCCGAGTACGCCAAAAGAAAGGCCTTTTATGTCAACGTTCAGCGAGACCCTGAAATCCAGACCTCCCGAATGAACCTTCCTGTCACCGGAGAAGAACAGAGAATCATGGAAGCCATTTTCAACAACGATTGTGTCATCATCTGTGGTGAAACTGGTTCAGGTAAGACTACACAGACTCCTCAATTCCTGATCGAGGCGGGTTTCGGAACGAAGGGTAGTGACTACCCTGGTATGATCGGTGTCACCCAGCCTCGACGAGTGGCCGCCATCTCTATGGCGCAACGTGTTGCTAACGAGTTGGGTAACCAAGGTGATAGAGTTGCCCATCAGGTGCGATTCGATGTCACCGTGAAGGATAATACAGCTCTCAAGTTCATGACTGATGGTGTGTTGCTGCGAGAACTGTCCCAAGACTTTGCTCTTACCAAGTACTCTGCTCTGGTAATTGATGAGGCCCATGAACGTAACATCAACACTGATATTCTCATTGGTGTGCTTTCTCGAGTTCTCAAGTTGCGAAAGGAGATGTTCAACGAAGGCAAGTGCGAGTCTCCCCTCAAGCTCATTATCATGTCTGCTACTCTGCGGGTTTCCGATTTCACAGAGAACAAGACTCTTTTCCCAGTTCCTCCTCCTGTTCTCAAGGTTGAGGCCCGACAATATCCCGTTTCTGTCCACTTCAACAAACGAACAACTTACGACTACATGGACGAGATCTACCGAAAGACCTGCAAGATCCACAAACGACTGCCCGATGGTGGTATTCTGATCTTCCTGACTGGCCAAAACGAGATTGTTAACGTGGTCAAGCGGCTTCGGAAGGCCTTCCCTGATCGAACTAAGGTGTGGCGGCCCAAGGACAAGTCTGAGGATCTCCAGGTCAAGGTGTCTGCCAATGAGACTGTAGTGGAGGCCGAGGAGGTTGATTTTGGCGCCGATATGCGACAACAGGACTATGCTGCTGTCGAGGGAGAGTCTGAGACAGATGAGGAGGACGGAGAAGAAGGTTTCGAAGAGGAGCTTGCTGTCGAGGAGCGAAATGAGTCTGCTCCTCTGCACGTGCTTCCTCTTTACTCTCTGCTGCCTACCAAGGAGCAGATGAAGGTGTTTGAGGAGGTTCCTGCCGGCCATCGACTGTGTGTCGTTGCTACTAACGTTGCTGAAACTTCGCTGACCATTCCTGGTATCAGATATGTGGTTGATTGTGGTCGAGCAAAGGAGCGAAAGTACGATGAAGAGACTGGTGTTCAGTCCTTTGAGGTTGATTTCATCTCCAAGGCTTCTGCCGATCAGCGAGCTGGTCGTGCCGGTCGAACTGGTCCCGGTCACTGCTACCGTGTCTTCTCATCTGCCGTCTATGAGGAGTTCTTCCCTCAATTCTCCATCCCCGAGATTCTCCGATGCCCTGTTGAGGGCATTGTTCTGGAGATGAAACACATGGGTATTGACAAGGTGGTCAACTTCCCCTTCCCCACTCCCCCCGACAGACAGTCCCTGGCCAAGGCCGAGAAGCTGCTGGAGTACCTAGGTGCCCTCAGCAACACTGGTGTTATTTCTGATATGGGTAAGCAGATGTCTCTGTTCCCTCTGTCCCCGCGATTCGCCAAGATGCTCATTATTGGTTCTCAGCTCGAGTGCCTGCCTTACATGGTTGCCATTGTTGCTGCTCTCACAGTTGGAGATCCCTTCATTGGAGAGCACGAGCTTGGCATCAATGAGAAACCACAGAAGCCCAAGGTTGAGGAGGTTGATGAAGACGGAGACCGGATTAAGAGCAACGAGTCTGACTCCGAGCCCGAGGACATTTACGAGATTGAGCGAAAGCGAAAGCTGCGATCCAGCTACCATAAGGCCCAGGCAAAGCTGGCCTCCCTGGACCCTGCATCTGACGCTCTGAAGCTGCTCTCTGCCGTCTGCGCCATGGACTACGATTCCGACCTGGAGAACTTCTGCAAGGGCTTCTTCCTGCGACACAAGCTGATGGAGGAGATGCGAAAGCTGAGACAGCAACTGAGCCGAATCGTTGTGGCCAACTCCGACCCTCGAGCAGCTCCTATGCTCAAGGAACAGTTGAATGCCAAGCTCAAGCCTCCTTCTAAGCTCCAGATCAAGGCTCTCAAGCAGATGATTGCCACTGGTTTTGTTGACCAGGTGGCTCAGCGTCTGGACAAGGTCAGCGAGGACTACAAGCTCACTTCTCGAGAGCGAATCATCAACGTTCCCTACCAGACTCTGTTCCCCACCTCCACCACCAACAAGAAGACTGACGACCAAGGAAACCCTCTGCCTGACGACACTCAGGTGTTCATTCACCCCGGATCTGTCATTAACACTATGGGAACTCATCCTCCCGAAATGTTGGTATTTGCTTCCGTCAACCGATCGGGATCTTCCAAGCTGAGAATCAAGCCTCTCTGTGATATCACATCTGCCCAGATTGGCAACATTGCCAAGGGCACTGCTCTACTCACATACTCCAAGCCCCTGCCTCCCCCCTACGGCCCCAAGATGATCACCAGTACCTCTCGAGAGTGTTGGGTGGTTCCTCGGCTGGGAGCTGCTATTGGCTCTGGAGGCACTGGATGGGATCTGCCTCCTATTAAGGTGAAACAGGAGAAGAAGGGTAGCCAGTGGGTTACCTTGTAAAAATTGCCATAGCAACAAACGAACAAAAACCATAGCATGTTTATATTGTATTAGATTTCTTCATAATTTTAGGGAAACACACTGTATCTTCACTTCGTAGCTACAGCACTTACTAAGCACTTTTTACATCCTCGGTAAGTAATTAGGTTTGTGCATCCATACCCCACATAAAGTTGAACATGAAAGAAGGGAAGACTGATTTGCCCCCACAGCACCAGACAACCAGCAATACGGCGGTTGATCATTGTTAAGCCAAACGATTGGAACCTGATCATATCATATCAACCCAAAACGACCTTTCCTCACGACAAAAAATGGACTACTTTTCGTCACTCAACGCGAGCCAGCTGGATCCTGATGTGCCCACACTGTTTGAGCTTCTGTCTGCTAAACAGCTGGAGGGTCTGATTGCCCCTTCGGTTCGATATATTCTTGCATTCTACGCCCAGAGACATCCGCGGTATCTACTGCGAATCGTCAACCGCTACGACGAGCTGTACGCGTTGTTCATGGGTCTGGTGGAGTACTATAATCTCAAGACATGGAATGCCAGCTTCACAGAAAAGTTCTACGGTCTGAAACGAACACAGATCCTGACGAATCCCGCACTGAGAACACGCCAGGCCGTGCCGGATCTGGTCGAGGCTGAAAAACGGCTGAGCAAGAAGAAAATCTGGGGATCACTCTTTTTCCTCATTGTGGTGCCATATGTGAAGGAGAAGTTGGATGCGCGATACGAGAGACTCAAGGGCCGGTACCTAGCTAGGGATATCAATGAGGAGCGAATCGAGATCAAGAGAACAGGTACGGCCCAACAAATAGCAGTCTTCGAGTTTGACTACTGGCTTCTCAAGCTCTACCCCATTGTCACCATGGGATGCACCACTGCCACCCTGGCCTTCCACATGCTCTTCCTCTTCTCCGTCACGAGGGCGTATAGCATTGATGACTTCCTGCTTAACATTCAGTTCTCTCGAATGACCCGGTACGACTACCAGATGGAGACCCAGAGAGATAGCAGAAACGCTGCTAACGTGGCCCATACCATGAAGTCCATCTCCGAGTACCCCGTTGCAGAGCGTGTGATGCTGCTGCTCACAACAAAGGCTGGAGCCAACGCCATGCGATCTGCTGCTCTTAGCGGCCTTTCGTATGTGCTTCCCACTTCTATTTTCGCCCTCAAGTTCCTTGAGTGGTGGTACGCGTCTGATTTCGCTCGACAGCTGAATCAAAAGAGACGAGGAGACTTGGAAGACAATCTTCCGGTGCCAGATAAGGTCAAGGGAGCCGACAAACTTGCGGAGTCCGTGGCAAAGTGGAAGGAGGACACCTCCAAGTGCCCTCTCTGTAGCAAGGAGCTGGTCAATCCTACAGTCATTGAGTCAGGTTATGTGTTTTGCTACACTTGCATTTACCGACATTTGGAGGATGGAGACGAGGAGACAGGCGGTCGATGTCCCGTGACTGGCCAGAAGCTGCTGGGATGCAGATGGCAGGACGATGTATGGCAGGTGACCGGTCTGAGACGACTGATGGTGTAACGATACATACTATAGCATAACATGTACATTTAAACGCATCTTTTATCTTTATGCGACAGGGCGTGTTTGCGCGCTTCCCATTGTAAAATTACAGTACATTGTATAACTTATATGAACCTCCTGTCGAATCTCGACCTTTACCTTTTGTTTCCGATTGTATTCTCCTTCTCCTAAATTGGCTTAATCTTGAAATGCAGACCCACCAGAGAAAACACCAGGGCCTTGATATCCTGAACCAGATAGTAGAACGTCCGCAGACCTTCGGGGTCGTCCGATCTCTGCACATCCGACAAGGATCCTATTCGACCAGTCTCGAATGCAATGTGGTAGTTGGCAAATTTGATTTCCAGCTCCTGTTTACCGTCTCTGTTCTTTGGCGGCCACTTGGCATCGTTTTCCTTGAGGATTTCCGACTCTTTGATCATCTTCTTGAGCACCTTGACCACCACTGGTGAAACAGCCACTTCTCGACGGATAAGAGTGTCATTCTTGTAGTTCGAGTTGTTGGCGTATCGCAGCAGCGCAGATCGACCCTGGTCCAGCAACTGAAAGTCGAATTCCAAAAACTCATGGCCAAATCGACCCGTGTGGCCCGAGTAGTATTGTAGATAAAAGGCTTCTTCTTTGGCGTCTACCCTCAGAGAGAGGGGCTTTTCGATAAGATCATCTTCAGGCTCCACTACTTCGAGCTCCTCCTCCATCTGCACGTCCTCTCCGGGACGCGTCGCAATGCTGTATTCCTCTTCTTCCGCCATGTTGGATTTTCGTTTCTCTGTTCACGTCCTCGTTTGAAGATGTCGTGCAGTGCAGCAATCAAGGTTAGGGTTGGAGATGGATGCATGTAAGTAAATACTTACCGGAAATGGTTAGGGTGTAGTTGGGTAAAAGTGATAACAATAGAGTTTAAGGTTTTTTTTTTATATAAAAAAAACAAAAAACAAAAAACAACAACAACAAAGACGAGTAGACATTATCCGTAGTTAAGAAGGGTACAATATTTACAGATAAAGCACCTAAGCTAGGCATGTAAACATATCCCTGACGATTTTTGCTCATATGTTCCTATTACTCACACTGACCAGCATATTTTTTTTATGACACCTTCGCCTGATGCTCACACATACCCCTATGAATCTCTTCCGAAAGAAGCGATGACACCACAAGGTTCTTTGTCTTGACTCTTTTCACTTCTAGACTCCCTATCTCCACTACCAAACACGATACCCTTGATTGAGCTCTCCTAGGTCAACATTAGGCAGAGTCAGAGTCAGAAGAATCAAGACACCTCCTACAATAACAGGGCCATATAACATGTGTCAGTAGACATTGTCGAAAACCACTACTCTGGAGTCTCGCTCGGGAGAACCTCTTGCAATCTTTAGCGGCGTCTGAACATTTAACCATCTTGTCTCTCTCAGCTTCGGAGAGAAAGGATGCAAACTCAGCCTGCTTCTTGGGATACTGCTGTTGGTAAAGTGATCCCGAAATAGCGTCTCCAACAGCTGTTCCAACCGAAATCGAAGAATCGAAAATGACAGTGGCAGACCTGCCTATGAAACAACACTGACTGAATCATGACCAAAACGGGAAACTGAAGCGTCCCCAAACCCTTGATTACCTGTGCTACAATGAACTGCGCAAGCGAGTGGTAGGGCTGTTTGTACCGGTAGGTGAGACCTAGACCCAGCATGTAGAGGCGTCCACCGACTACAATGATGGGTTTGAATCTGTTGGAGTACAGTACATACTTGATGATCAGGGCAACAATGAGCGATCCGGCCGTGTATCCCACAACCCACACAGAAGTGACGTTTGTAGCTGCTGTGACAGACAGACCCTTGCAGACCAGCAGCCAAGGCGTAGTAATATGGAGAGTAAATGTAGTAGGCCAGTGAATAGAGCGCTACCACTGCACACCCAGTGATGAGGGTACGGTCTTTAAGAGAAGAGAAAGAGAGAAAAGCCCCCTGGAGTGGTACATCTTTTCCCAGATCGGAACGGGAACCAGGAGAATAGGCCCTTATATGATCATAGGCAGTACATGTGGCTGGCCCCTAGATTTTGAGGTCTTGACGAGGATCTCAGGAAGTAAGAGTAGACTGAGACCCCAGTGAAGAGAATGAGGCCTGCAATATCGAACTGAGCTATGGTGACTCGGAAGTTTAGCACTGCTTTACCACACTCCAAACCTAGAGCCCGAGCTCTTATCTTGTGTCTGAACATGATTGTTAGAACCTGGATCGACGACACAGGAATGATGATTCACCACATAGCCCCAGCTCCAGGTTGATAGCGCTGGTGATGGGAGCTGCGACCAGGGACAAAAAGATAACAGATATTGGGTAGCACCACAAAGTATGCTCGGTTTTTGAGATTATAAGTGTCTGCTGCAAAGACCTGTTCCATAAACTGGATACCTACCTGGCCAAACACGTAGAAATGTGGGCTCCAAAGTAGGTGCCAATGCTGGGTGAAGCTGCTAGCATGATAAAGCCAATGGTGAAGATTATCACAGAGAGAAGAAGTGTTTCAAAACGACCCAGGACGTCTGCAAACTTAGCCAAGATGGGCCGTGTGGCAATATACATGACAGCCCTGACTACACTGAGGGCAGAAAGTAAAGACATTTGGTTGAAATAAGAAGTTGCAAAGGTGGAGTAGACACCCGCAGTCTGGACTTTTAGACCTAGAGAGATTCAAAGCAGCAGCATGGGCCCCTAAGCAAGCCATATATCCTTTCTGTTCCAAAGAGAAGTGATCTGCTACATCTCTTGAGTTTGCGGGGGCTCCAACTTCGCCATCACTGTTGTCTTCCTGCTGATGAATCGAAGGGTTGAAGATCTTCTTGGTCCTTGTAGTCGTGTCAGGCTGTTCTGGGGCTTCAGAATCAGAGTCATACGATGAATCTAGCTCGCTGTTCTCCTCGGACTTCTGAGGGGCGATGAGGGCATGCTTGATCGCTCACATCCACTTGGTGTCTGTAAATGCCACTGTAATAAACCTGAATGAAAGAGAAGCAGATGAGCGACCATATCTCTTCTTACAGAGCTGAGACTTTTGTTTATCTATCTAATCAATCTTCTCATGGTATCGTAAAAGAGACTTTCACCTCCGTTCCGAGAAGAATCGATGAAGGGTAGTGTATGTACCACAGAACACAACAACGAGGGCAGTTATTTGATCAGGGAATCCCGAAGTACAAATATCACCAGTAATACTAGTCATTTCATTTCATTTTCGGTCTCTAATATCATAGAGAGTCCAGATCTCTCATGTTTTATAGTTTTCTATACTGCATGCAGTCGAACAACGAGAAACGGAACCCGAAGTGCATATAAGAGGCACGATCTATAATACAAATCGGACTCCGAGGCGCGCGATCAGTAGGCTGAAATGTCTTTCTGGGATGCGGATGAATGATCCAAAGTTACTACTTTTAGTGACCAAGTGGTAGTGTGGGTTTATGTCCAGCAGATTTCAAGGTTACTTGGTCGGCTCACTACTCATTCCACAGGGTCTCCCAATCTCAAGATCGTAGTCACCCAGTCCGTCAGGCTGTTCAGCAGGCGACATAATGTTCGGCGTCCAACACTTCAATTATATGCTCACGTACTATAAATACAGTATGTACAGTAGCCACATTAATTGGCCATACAACGCGTCACATTGTTAATCTATATATAAATATGCAATAGAGACAGAGTCCCCAGACAGAGAAGGTACAATGCAGTATCTTGTAGCCTTCATCTGTTCGTTAATGTTTTTAAATGTGCAACAGTAATTTTTGTTGAGCGGCGGTTAGTCTCGATGCATGGCGGCGTTCTTCTCGATGATGGCATTCCAGTCAGAGGTGAGCACGAAGTAGGCCTCGGTGGCAGCAATTCCCACAATACCCACAATGATACCAGCCCAAAGACCCATCAGCTCCCACTTGCAGATAAAGCCAAAGAAGAGAGACAGAGGAGTGGCTACGGCGTAGTAGTAAAAGAGATTCACATAACCTCCAATCTTCTGTCGGCCCTGTCCTCTCAGGACACCAGCCACGACTGAAGAAATACAGTCAAAAAACTGGCCGATGGCACACAGAGGCAGCACAAAGGCCACCAGATTTACCACGTCCACGTCAGACGAAAAGAGACCAGCAATGGGCCGTCGGAAGAGGAAAAGGGTAGTGCAGTTGAAAGTGGAGATGAGAACAGTGGAGTAGAGGGCAATTCGAGCAGCTCGCTTGGCCGACTGGGGCTGTGCAGCACCAATGAAATGGGCCACTCGGGTGGAAGCAGCAATGGCAACCGAGAAGGGAATCTGGTAGGCCAGGGCCATGACTGTCGACAGAACGGACTGTGCTGCCAGGGCTGCAGATCCAAAGTAGGAGGATGCGAGAGTGAGGATTTCGAAAGCCAAAAACTCGGCCTCAACCATGATGACACCGGGGATGGCCAGTCGCAGCATGGGGCCCCAATTGGAGAAGGCGGCTCGGGGAGAAATGCCGAACCAGCACTGTCGGCCGTCCACAAAGGCAATGTAGGCGATGATGAGTATGGCCATGGCCCACTCGGTGATGACAACAGCGACAGGAGCTCCAGCGTAGCCAATACCGACATGCTTATCCCAGACCAGCAGCCAGTTCAGGAAGGCATTGAGGGGAGCGCAGATTGCCAGGACATAGGTTCCAGCCATGAAGATACCCTGGGCTTGCAGGTACTTCTTTCCACACTCAAACACGATGTAGCCAGGCACACCGAGGGCCACAATCTGGAGATAGAGTGCCGCCAGGGCTGCTAATTGGCCCTCTGGAATGATGAGGGCCAGGAGAGGCTCGGAGCACATCCAAATGGCGGCAATGGGTAGGAAAACAAGAATGCTCATGCAGACGCACTGCTGGAAGTAGATGCCGACCTTTCGCATGTTGCCAGCTCCGTAGGCTTGGCAACACAGAGTGTCGAGGCAAGTCGATAGGCCCTGAAAGAGGGCAAAACCTGTAATGTTAGAAGTCATGCATGCAAGGGACACAGCACCCAGCTCTTCCTTACCCAGGTGTCCCACGGAGAAGATCGATGCAACGGTAAGGGAGTACTGCAGGAGGAAGGTGACTGCGAGGGGGAGAGAATACTGCCAGAGAATTTTGAGTTCCCGCACGTCCTGCGATCTCTTTTGGCTGGGGACATCCTCCCACACATTATCTTCGGGGTCGAGAGAGGTTGTGGAGATGGAAGCAGCAGTGGTGCCGTAGACAGGGGTATCACTGGGCTCTCTAATGGTGTTGTTGGATGCATGGTTGGTAGATGGCTCAGAGGAGCTGGACACGGCCATGGATGGTCGGGCAGGTCTGGGGTTGAGGTGGGTGGTCTCAGATGCAGATTCCAGATCTTCGTTGACTCTTTGGAAGTCCCCCGAAAACCGGTTGGATTCGCCCGAGTGGCGGTACTCGCCCGAGTGGCGGTTGTACTCGCCCGAGTGTCGTTTCATGAAAGACTTATTGTATGACTGAGAGTAGGACGAGCCGAACATCATGGAGTTGGCCATGGGCGAGGCCGGGAAGATGTTTGCTGCCGCAGCCTTGGCGGCGTTACACTCCGGGTCGTTTTTGTGATTCTCCATTGCGTGTTGTGGGTTGGAGAAGGAGAGAGTCGATCTTTGAAAAAGCTGCCAGTTGTCGATGCAAAATCCTTTCACTGTGGCTTGTGGCTAGTAAAGTATATGAGAAAGGGCCTGACAAAGAGTGTTTTTAGTTCGGCTGTGGCTATGAAGAGGCCTGGGAGCGGATCCAGATGGAGAATCAAGGGAAGATGCCTACTAAAATCGATTCGGGGAGCGCGTGGAGACAGTGGCGCACAATGTGGAGAAGGTAGCGTTGCGGAAATGTCGTCACTTGATGATGCCGATAACTTGCACAGCTAATGTATGCAATAAGCTTGCAGCCACGCACTGAGATGCATGGCTTTTATAAGTATCTGCAACAGAGTTTGCTGGACTCTAGAGGTTTGAGGTTTGAGGTTTGAGAGACAAATGAAAACAGTTTGGGTGTACTGGTAGGAGGGGAGCGAGTGAGCTAACTACGAAAATCATATGTTAGCCCCAACACTGCTAACTACATCAAAGACCTAATGGGCCGGGCAGCTGACTACCAGCTGGTAGAGTAGCTACCACATGTACATTCTACGAGTATGTACTGTACGGGCAACCTACTACTTGTACCGTAACTTTGTTGTCCGTGCCTGAACCACGCCAAAGGACTGGACCATAGCGCTGAGGGTGGGCTGTGGAGTTCTCCACATTCTGAGGCACAAAACAACAATGCAAGCAATAAAAAGAGGCTTGGTGCGTGCAGAGCGCCTCCAAATACATACCGACCGATATTATTTTCTGCTAGTGCTAAAACAGCTAAGGCAGCTCCCTGAATACGACCAACACAATCTGTACCAGTACAGTAGCCTTGTTTGTCCTGCATCGAAGCTACTAAACGAAAAAAACGTCTGTTTGGGCAACTGCGGCTAGGGCTGCTCGAAAAGTTTGTCGGTTGGGCCGAGGGTCGTAAGGGGTCACATAAACTGGTGATGAGGCAGGTGGAGGATTGATTACTAATGCACAGACTTATCTTGAGTCCCCACAACCTTTTAATTCACTTTAGTCTCTCTGTTTGTGACGTTTAATACAGTATTTTGGCAGTTCTGAGAACTACTGGTAACTGTCTATAGCCATCTATTATACGCCAAGCTCAGGAATCTGTCTGTCTCATAACGGAAATTCTATTGTTGAAACCACACAAGGACAGACGAAGGGTGGTCCAGAGGAGCACAAGGAAGGTTGTAAATGCCTCAAAAGAAGACTATTAAAAAGAGAAACATAGGGAAGCGTTTTTTTGTGCCAGATGTATAGATTTGTTTCCCAAATTTCCCATTCAAATCCTACAAACAACGACAGTAACCCTTCCTAATTATCTACGTCGAGTGTGTTTCTTGGTATACATTTAGTCTTTGGGCCGATGTTAATATGACAACCTTGTTCGCAATTCTCTGGGAGGTACGTTTAAGCACGCCAAAGACAGGGACAACATAATAGGGACCGTTCTTTGAAACCTCAAAAGCCAGAATATTCTTGTTCGATAACCAAGTGCGTGTCCACATGCACCCGTCCGAGGTTTAGCGGGGTATGCACCAAAAAGGCACGTTCTGCATTGAGTCATGGGTGACCAACCAGATTGTACAGTATGTACGTATGAGTATCGGTACGTGTACACACTGAGTACCTGTTTCCAGCAAGAGTGCTCGTTCCTTGTGTGTCTAATTACTGTAATACTGTTGTTCCGTTGCCGTCATCAAGTGGACCGTACAAGGTCATACAACTGTACAATGCGTCGAGAACTTGGATCCAGCAGCCCGAGCGCGGTTATCACTGGCCGGACTTGAGATCGGCCGGAAATTATGAGATTTCCAGTGTCGCTGTCTCACTCGACTGAACTGTATCATCTTTGTCTGGATCTTCCCCCAGAATCATGTTTAAACAAGTGGATGTAGATACTGTACTACGCGAGGTAGAGAGCGGTACATGGGTATGTACAGTACATACTCCTGGAAGACTGACGACATGGATACTTGCATAAGAAAACAACTACAATTACAAGTAATTTCTTTATGTACTCGTTGCAGTCTTTTATACAGCTTCTGCTGTATCTGTTAACAGGCTGCTCATAGCAACGTTAACATTCTATTCTGAACCTCGACACGAGGTCGATCCTCAATCCCTGGAGGCTTCAGGGTTCGTTTGCAAGTATCTCCCCGTTTATTGCTCAAATCCCATAATACAAAACAGAGCTACTGTATGTACTGTAGTGTTATCTGGAGCTCTTGGTACCGTATAGATTTGGGATGGTTACTTGACTGATAGTCATGAAGTGAAACATAGATCCTCAGGCAAGGCTATAATATCGGGTTAACAGTACAATATCGACGAGCACTTGTAGTCGATTTAAACCTCGCCTGCAAAAACTACGTTGCGCCAAACTTACGCTGCCAACCTACTACTTGTACTGTACGTATTACAACTCATTACCAAAGGTCGTCCTAATAAATGCGTAATTCCATATCATATACAAGAGCCTCTAATGAGAGGCCCGCTCACCGGCGGTGGTGCAGTAAAAGTCGGACACCACAATGGGCCGGTAGATACCCTGCAGACCAGTCCAGATGGTGTAAGTGTGGGTCTTGATGCTGCCCACAGTGTGTGTTTCCACCACCACCTCCTTGCCGGAAATCATCTCACTTCGGGTGTACTGAAGCTGGAAGGGAGGGGTGCCTTGCAAGTGGAAGTGGATCTCAGCCTTCTCAGCTCCATTCTCGTCGAAAATGAGCGACGTGCCCTCCTCCACACGGGCAGTAGGAATGGGGTGGATTCGCTTGGGCAGCTGCTTGGCTCCCTCCAGCTCAATTCGACAACTGGAAGCAGTGTCAGAAATGGCCTTAATTGTAAGGTTACCGGGCTCGGCAGCCAGTCGTCGGAACAGAGTGCCAGAGGTCGACTCTCGCACATTGCCGTTGAAATCGTAGGTGACGTCAAACGGAGGAATACCAGTAAGCGAGTACGAGATTCGCTCGCCCACACAAAAGTCTGTTCGCTCCTCAACAGCAGTAATGGTAGGAGTGTCCGCAACGTGCACGGTGACCCGCTGGTCGGCTCCAAAGTTAGACTGTCGACATCCTCGAGCATCAACCACCTGGTAGATCTGCACAGTATGCTTACCCAGACCCAGGCGCGAGTACAACTGGCTCTTGAGCTCAAAGTCGGCGCCTACATTGTTGTAGGTCACCTTCTCGGTGTGTCCGGAAGAGTCGACTCGAATGGAAACAGTGAGAGAGAAGGGGGCCTCGCCAGTCAGCTTGATGGGGATGCCGTCAGCAGAGTCAGCAATACCCTGACAAGCTCGGTAAACGCGTCCCTTGTCCACAAACTTGGCGGTGGGTCGAGCCTTGACCAGCTGTCGCAGCCTGGAGTCAGAGAAGGCCACATCATCTCCAGCGCCGACATCAGCCAGCCACTTTCGGTCGTAGTAGTTGGAGTCCAAGACACCCATGAAGAAGTACTCGTACTCACCGGGGGCGTTTGTCTCGACTCGCACGTTGGCAAAGGGAGTGGCCACCTGGATCTCATGGTCCTTGGTCTTCCCTCCAGGTCCAGTCACTCGATAGAGGACAGTGAAGGGCGGAGAACCCTCGAGAGCAATCTCAACAGAGTCCTGATCACCCTCACAAATAGGAGCTCGAGAGAGAACGCCATCCTTAGCCTCGGTGTTGCCAGCCTTGACAATCTTGACGGCAGGTCGAGCAATCCAAGTAAGAGAGAAGATAGCGTCATGGGTGATCTCTCCAGGACAATGAGCATCTCGAACAGACACAAGTCGGTAGTGACCAGGCCGAGAAACAGTGAAAAAGCCGTTGGCATCTCCAACCTGCACCCTATGTCGTTCTCGCTTCTCTCCCTCAATGTACTCGTATTCGAGATTCCATGGCCCATCACCGTTGAGAGTAACAGGCAGCTTGACGGGGGAGCCTTGGGGCACAGCCACGTCGTAGTCGCCGGAAATGGGCAGGAAGCCGGCCGAAGGACGCTGTCGACGCACCTCAACGCGGATATCCTGCTCGTCCAGCAGAGATCTGCATCCATGGGAGTCGGTGACGGCCACTAGAGAAATGGTGTACTGACCTCCCTGCGACAAACCAGACGTGGAAATCACGTGCTTCTGGTCCTTGATATCCTTGATTGTGTGGGGAACTCGTCGAGACGAACCGTGAACAATCTCGTACTCCAGAGTGAACGGAGGGACGCCTCGTAGAGTGACAGGCAGATCTACAGACTCGCCAGAGCAAACAAACCGCTGCCGAGCAATACTCTTATCAAATAAGGCACCGGCAAGCACTCGAATGGTCTGTTTCTTGGTGAAAGACGTGTCCTGGGGCTGCTTGTAAATGGCGTCACTGAACGACACAATCTCATAAGTGTAGGTACCAGCGGACTGGGGCTTGAACTTGAGCTGGTGTCGCAGTCTATGGGTGGTGATCTTCTGCGTGTCAATCACTTGTCCGTCCCGCACGGTTCGGTAGACAGCATGGAAAGGAGGCTGACCGGTGAAGGCCAGCTCGGCAGTAGCTCCCACAGGGCCAGCACATTGGTCCTGAATATCGGTGAACTCGACGGAAAGAGACGGCTTGGGAGGCACGTAAACGTGGCACTCGGATGACTCGACGATATCACCAGCACAGTACTTGCCTTGGACAGCCTCCAGCTCGTAGATACCGGCCTTGGAGACTGGAATTGACTGCTGGCCTCGAGGAACCGTGGCGTTAAATACTTCGGACTTGCCGTACTCGTCTGTGTGTTTGATGGTGAGAACCAGATCTTCCTCGGCCTGGACCTTGAGGTCGAGTGATACATGGTCACCGGCCAGACGGGCTCGTTTTTCAGCAGAACAGGTTCGGAATGAAACCTGGGGTCGAGGATGGACAAAGAACTCGTGGGTGAGCTGGCGTCGGGTTCGCCACTCCTCGTCCTTGCCCTTGGCAATAGCAGTGTAGTTGATGATATTTCCCAGTCCATCTTCCACCTCATCCACTGTGTAGACCCACTTTCCGGTCTGGCTGAGTCTGGCGTCGAGATGGATGGGCACTTCATGGGGAACAGCCCAGCTGAGATCAGCTCCGCTTTTCCACACATATCTGTTGACATCGCCACTGGCTATGGGAGAGACGAAATGACGGGGCTGAACGGACTGCACGGAAAACACAGAGGACTGACCCTCCACCTCCTTTGAGTACTTGATTCGAAGAGGAGGTACTCCGGTAACCACAAGGTTAGGCTGCTCAGTGCCGCCAATACATCTGTTGGATCCCAAATGTAGAGAGTCGTTGCTTTGTCGTAACTTGGCGCCCGGACAAGCTCCAACGATCACGTCCTTCATGTAGGTTCGAACAGCATTGTTTGAGTCATCAACTACTTTTCCAAGTCGATACAGGCCGGTCTTGTCAACCGGAAGCTCGACGTAGAACAACTTCTTCTTATCGGCGTCCTTCAACTTGTAGTCCAGAGACCGCACGTAGTCGGACCGGCCTCGGAACTTAACGAGCTGGTTCTTTGTGAAATTGAACGACTTTTCCTCGAGGTTGTCGAAATCAATGTACTTGAGTTCGAGAGAAGAAAGACCGGTGGCGTTGAGACGCACAGGAATTGTAATGGTCTGAGCACTGTCACCAGTGAGACAAAAAGGCTGATCCATGGGATTGATCAGCGCAGTGCTCTTGGGCAGAATCTGGACAATGTGTTCTCCAATCAGATGACTAGAGGCATCCTGAAGAGACGCCACCTTGATCTTGAGGCCAGAAAAGGACAGCTCCTTGTCATTGACCGTTCTCCAAACGGCCGAACCGAGTCCCAGCGCAAAAACAAGACCCTCTCGGTAGTAGACAATGCCCATGTCGAATCCCAGGAATGCAAAGGACAGCAGAGTGGTCACCACGGGGCCAAACGTGAGCCAGGGGATCCGGAAAAGTGGAAGAGTCCACAGCAGGACTAGATCCAATGCAAAGAATTTGAATAGCAGTCCAAATTGCTCTCCTGGCGACACCGGCGTCAGCAGATATGTGATTTTGGACGCCAGAAACAGCAGAAACAGCGACACGGCTGCCCATCGCTGGTTAGCTGCACTCATGTATGTTTCGGGTATTAAGGGCTCGCTTTTGGGCGGCACCGTGATTTTCTCTTGACGCCACGGCTTTTGTGTCGCATGAAATGTCTTGATGGGCTTGGCCACTCCTGAACTCCGTCGAGTGTCTGGGTAGGCTGTCGAGTCCCGCACACTGTTGATAGGTGGAGCTGTGTTGCCATCACGGCTGGTGTTAAGCAGGTCGCGCCTGTCGAACCGTCGGCTAAACCCGGGGCTGGACGTGGTCCTTCCGGCGCCATTGAGATTGGCCATTGCGTTCGATGTGTGATGTAGATGTGTTTTGTTAGCCGTCGCTTGCGATATGTTTTGAAATTTGGCTTTGCTGCACGCATTGTATATTTTCGTTTTGGCTCTGCACGTGATGGAGAAGCCGTGAGAGATGAGGACTGAGTACGAGTAGCCGCACTCCGATGGGTGAAAAGGGATATATTTTAATGACAATCACACGATTAACATGAGCTATATCTGTTGCTACGTCTCTACTGGGTGTTGGAACGGTCAAATTTTGAGGCTGACATTCTCTACTGGATGCATAAAAACAGGTATGTACATACTGCGGGTTCACTTCCCGTCTACACTCCTTAACTTTCATAACTTGCATATTAACCTAAAACTAATGCATCGCTGATGTCTTAAGTATATTGTAAGAAACGTAGTTTAGATTTACTTACGTATGTTTTTAAGTAAACTGCTACCCAAGTCGTTAACTTATTTGTTAAGGAAAGACACTGAGCTGAAAGAAGTAATATCCAGGTGTTTGTGCGGGTTTACTTCTCATTTATGCACTGTTCATAGATAATAATGGCTCATCACGTCGTGGGCCACTTGAAACGTGACACCTAAGTGTGAGCCCATAATTACTGAACTGTAAGCAGTTCGCATAGTTGAACGCGCGATAGCGCGGAAAAAAAATTTTGAGAGCCACTGGTATTTCAGATAGCTTCTCGGGCTTCTAGTTATTGTACAACGGTTCAACTTGTTCATAAATGCACATCAATGTATTGATTACTTGAACTGAGTAGTTTATCCAGCGGCGTATTCTCTGTCCTGATTGTCCGCGGTTGTTGCTGTCATCATGGTTCTTGAATGACGACACAACCGAATTCGCTTTGGACCTCCAACTACATGGCCAGTGAACTGCCTGCGAGGAATCAAGCCGTTCTTCCACTCGCGGTAAGCCTTGTCACCGCCTTTATCCCTGAAACAGTGTGCACTCGTAGCATGCCTTTGGTTCACACAGATCTGACACTTCGGGCCAGCCTTCTTCTCGTTGGAGGCTTTTACGCGTCCCACGCGTCTCCGTCTCGGACCAACAACTTCGTCCTCAACCATGTGTGCCACGCAATCTCCATTACGCGGAACATAAGCATGGACCTCTTTTGCGAGCTCCTCGTCTCTCTTCTTCCACTCTTTCTCGGATTTTCGAAGCGCTTCCCACCGTTCTCTGAACTTGCCATAGTTACAGGCATCATCCCAATCACTTTCATTCATCTGTGCGGTGGTGTGCAAGTATCTCCAACGAGGATCAAAATCTCCCAGCATGAGCCTAGCTCGGCGTTGGTGTATCACGGCTGGACCAAGGTTTTTGTCTCCCAGTTCAGCTCTAGGTCGCATCCTTTCCCTGCCGTCGTCGGACAAAATCAAATGACCAATCATGTGATAACATGGGAGTCCAGTATCCAAAGAATATTGTCCAGTACATTCCGTAGGAACGTAGTCATCGTGAGAAGCAACAGAGATCTGCTCCATACACTTTAATAGTGCTTTGGTGGAAATGAAAGTCCGGATAGATTTGCAGAATTTCTTGTCGATATCTTTGCGATACCTCTCCATCTCCCGTGCATGAGCATGTTCAAGGTCGCATAAAACGTTGACCGAGGTACGCAGAACGACCGTTGCACATTGGAAGAGAGAAATAATTCTTGTCCTCATATTACTCTTCTGAAGAGCATGAATACTCTCTATCCTGGAGGTCGTTGTCTCGAAGAAGTTGCTTTCTCTAGAATAGGCAGCCACAATGTTGTGACGATGTTTCGGGTGTTGGTCGTTTCCAAACCAATATCGTCGAATGTAGTAGTATGCCGAGTTTCTCCTTCCATCAATTGAGCGATCATGCTTGTCAGCGCGGTCCATGCCCTCCTTCTTATAGGTTAGTTTGAAGTCGGTATATAACCTTTCAAACTCGTCCGCTGTGTGAGCATGGCACATCTTTTTGAATTTCGAAACAAGTTGAGCTGTCTCAAGAGATTTCGAACCAAACAAAGCAGAACCTTTTCTCTCGACTGCCTTAGCAGCATGCCACAGACAGAGCTTCAGGTTGCTACCATTGAGTTCACTGTACTTGTGGCCCTTTTTGATGGCTGGTGCACAATCTGATAAGATCACGCCTGGGTCGGGAATTAGGTACTTCTGTAGGAAGACTTTCAGGCGATCGAGGCACCACTTGAAAGTATCAGCATCCTCTCGTGAAATAAGTGCATGGGCAATGTTGAACGACCTACCACAAGAGGCAATGCCAATAACATTGAAAAGCTTGTAGTTGAATTTGTTTGTGTTGTGAGTAACATCGATAGCGATAACACCAGAGAAAGCCCTGAGCATCTTCACTGATTTCAAGACAACGAAGAATATATCCTTGATAACATCGGGTTGTTCAGGCAGGTTAGCCTCTGGCGGCGGTGTGCTTGGCATTGGCTCCGGTGGGACTCGTCGACTAGATTGTCTCGGTCTTTTTCGTAGAAGCGGCTCCACAATCTCCTCATCTTCTGACTCGTCTTCTGATTCGTCCGTCGCCTCGTTTTCGATCCCACCATCTACGTAGTCCGATTCCTCAGTTTCTGACATCAGCTCAGCTTCCACCAGGAGGCCACCGTCCTCGTCTGCGGTCTCAAAGTGGTCCACACCTGGTTCAAGCTCTTCCGCGTCAGACGCGTCATACATATCAGGTTCCCACCTTTCCTGCCGACGATCTTCCTCAAGCAGTTCTTCAGTAATCTCTGCAGGACAACCGACGATCCTATGTTCAACATGGATCTGAGGAGAGAGTTCCAACATGATCAAGAGCGCTTCGACTGGGTCCATATCGCCACAAACCTCCTTATCGAATTTTTGCATGCTATTGGTGATGTCAAGTCGAGTGAGTCGGGATGCAGCAGGAGAAATGAGACGCAGAGCATCCAGAATCTTGCGAGGAAATGTCTGGGTCTTGACCAGAATGTCAAAAAGATCGATGTCCCGGCATCCCTTCCTGATATTGGCCAAATCAAGCTGCCGGTAGGCACCGTTGGTAGAAACTGATGCAGAAGGCTTGTGGTTATGTTTCGCACACAGGGCGTCTCCATTTTCATCCTTTTTCTGCTCATGGCAGTAAACCAGTCCAAAGTCATTCGGGCCGAGCTTGTTTACTCTTATCTGGAAAGGACAATAACATGCCACCCGTCTTGACGCATTGGTTGGTTTCCCAATCTCTCCACTCTCGTCGTCATACTTGCTCTTATGACACTGGAGAATATTCCTAGCTTTTCCACCACCAATGTGTAAGACGAAGCCATGGAGTCGTGCAGTTGTCTGAGCATAAGCGATGGCTTCGGCCTTTTCTTTGAATCTTGGCACAGTGAGATCGGTATGGAGCATTTTATAATCAAATTCAGCTTGAACTTTCTCAAAGTAATAATCGAACTCGCGTCCGTACTCTGCGAGTTTTTTCATGATGTCCATTCTTTTTTGTTCAGCGTTGCTGTCGTCAAATTTGCGAGGTTGCGATTTGACAACTGGAGGGGGAGCCAACTGTGGAGGAGTTTCGATAACAGATCCAGGTGGTGTATATGGGGTAAACTTGACAGTGCTTTCAACAGGGTCTTCTACATCCATTGAGTCCACATCAATTGGTTCGGAAAGAGATGTTTCCGGGGCACTTTGTTGCTGTGGGTGCTGCTGTGGGTGCTGCTGTGGGTGCTGCTGTGGCATACTCGGGGCATGCTCCGGAAAATGTGCACTGCACGCAGACGGTTCCGGAACCGGCGGAAACATGAAAGGGTTCTCCACTGAAAAGTTCAAGTAAGGATTTCTGTCGTCGATATTATCAATTCCGATTTGCACGTGTTTCAGCTCGTCGGGAGTATTCAACTTTTCGTATTTGCCGTCTGCTGTGCGGAGATAGACAAACACTTTATAGTCGAGTCGGAAATGGTAAAAATGCTGGGGTACTGCCGTTGGTTGATACATGAATTGGTGTTCCGTTGGTGGTCGGATGAGGACGTCTCGCTGCATCGGATTATCAGGTATGGGTGGCCTGTTCACCAGGCCAACAGGCGGGTTGCCTGTATGCTGAAATGGCTGGTGTGTCACCGGCGGTCCTAGCTGCCCTGGCATGTTGGCGTTGATCATTGGTATTGTTGAGGGTGTCTTCGTATATTGTTCGCTGTTCGCCTCCAGATCAACTACAATAATGCTGTAGGGCGTAGGGTAAGGTACAGTACTTGTACAGCGCATAGGCGTCCAGGTGCATGGACGCGCATGAAAAATCAATATACGCGAAGGCATATCGCTATCGCTGTACATACTGTTCTCATACGGGACCCAGGGCTATGACACGAATATAATAGTGCAATCTACAGTAAGCAGTCAACCCCCCTGTGGGAATTTACACTTGTACAAGTACTTGTAGTAAGGTACAGTAGATCGTACAAGTACAAGTATGTATAAGTATATGTACAATGTCCCTTATGACTGCTGAATTAGCCCCACATATTGTTCACGAATCCTTGCACAAGTACAAGTACAAGTACTGTACTGTACAATATACCTATAATTATCACGTACAGTACAGTACAAGTACTGTACAGTACTTGCAAATTAATCATCTCCTCATTCTGTGTAAAGTGTTACAATACAAACGCGTTAACGCGTAATTTGACGACGGGACAACTTAAACCTTTAGGCCATTCGAAACGGAATGTAAAGCACGTGTTGTAGACGATAGGGTCCTACAAGTACTCTGATAACCACATGGTGTATCATTGGACACGCCTTACCAAATTGGGAGGGGTCTGTTAATTTTCTGGTATTCTATACAACAAACGAGACTGGGAAACGATCTCACGTGGCTGCGTGAAAACTGAATCGGATACATCCACACTGCGCGACTGATAACATGGCCAACATCGCCACTTGCCACTGTGACAAGGTAGAAGTAGCTTACCACTATGTACAGATGTACTATAAAAGAAGTAGACAGCATCGATAAATCAACA